CTGAACACTATTATCGGCTCGTAAAGGACGCAGTTGGAGGCAGTTGCCCTCCAGCAACAACGGAGGGCAGTGGAGTGATGCTCGCAACAAGTGGCTAAAACCACAGCAAATTGGCACAATCGAGAGCAGCTTCGGTTTGGCTGCATAGCGGTGGCCTAATTGGGCGCAGCACGGGTCGGAAAGGAGATGGGCTCCTGCAGTAGAGAAGGATGTGCAGCTGAGTGGACTTGCTGATGACTAGTACCGGCAATGACTGGTTCCAGTGGCCCCATAACACCTGACTCAGAACCGTGATCTCCTGTAAGCAAGCGAGCCTTCCACATTTCGCGCGATAGCCTCAAGGCACACCTCGCCTGGCACAAGTGCTGTGGTGATGTAACCGCCACTTAGTGGCGAATGGCCACTCAGCAGTTGTTACGTAAACATTGCGTAATTGTATAATAGCGAGCAAGCGCGCCAGCGTTTACGTTTAAGAGGCTATACCCATGGATTCAATCCCTGATTTTTACAGAACACCCTCCACTTGAGCCACTCCCTAGCCTCCCCACCGCGTGAGAACACCCCCCCCCTCCCCCCCCACGTCTTGTGATGATGCCTTTCCTAGCCTGCATTCTACTTATACCTGCATTGCAACATAGGCAAAGTCATGTACACAGCACGCGTGTGCAATGCGTGTGGGCATGCACGCGTGTTGGGGCACGCGTGCATGCACCGTTTGCAACATTGTGGTCAGCTGACATTCGCAACCGCATCATCATCATCTCTACACGTGTGAAGCTGAATGAATGTGAGTTCTGTGCACAACCTTCCGCAGCAAGAGTGAGGGTTGCTGTGCAAGCGTTCACAACTGGCCAGGTTTACATGTGTATGTATGTTGAACCTCTTTCGCACCGTACGTAGCCAACCGCGCTAATCGGAGGTGTGGGACACAGTTGTGGGTTGTGCAAATATTAACTGAATATCGAACTCCCAAACAACTTCTAACTGCGGTTTGAGACAAAACCTCGATGAAGACCGGCACGGCACACGAGGGGGTGGGTGGCCAGCACCACGCCCGGATGCCTTTGTCTCCCCAGTGGCGATGTTTACACAACGTCACCAGGTACTCATTTAAGGCTGAGTCGTCCTACTCGGGGGGAGGGTGGCCCAGGAACCGGTTCGAAGATTCACCACTGTTGGTCGTGAGCTGGAATCGAACTTGGCGTGCCTGGGATCAGAGTGCAGTGCAGCAACCACTGTGCCACCGCTCCCACCTCATTATTGTCAATCCACTGCTGGATGGGAGCCTCGATCCCCCCCCTCCCACGCCATGCGGGTCTTGGTTGTCGTGCTAGGTCACCTGACCATCCTTGACTACGCTGCTCAGTGTGGGATAGTGAAGGTGGGCAGCATAGACATGAAAGTATAGTACAGTACAACGGATTTTTTTTGCTGCACTACCTCCTGCTGGCAATACAGCCCCGCAGCCCGCCAAACATCACTTGGTTTATTCATGGGGCTCACCCACCCAGGTCAAAACTCTGCTTACCTTATGAGATCTGATGGCATTGGGAGCATTCATAGAAATGCCTGCATATATATGTAGTGTGTCGGGAGCGGTAATGTAGCAGTTAGCGTGCCGCGCCATAAACTCGGCGACCTCAGGTTGTATTTCCGCATAGGTCAACACCAGTGACGATTATATTATCTGAACCGGTCCTGGGCTTCCCCTAGGTCGATTCAGCCTAAAATTAGTATCTGCTGTGGTGTGTAAACGATGCCATGTGGCAGACAAAGACCGACGAGGGTGGTGCAGGCCCCCCACCCCCTTGCGTGCCGTCCCCTTCACAGGTGCCCGCTCAAAGCACTTGCCCCAAAAGTATGTTGAGGCTGCGCTCAAACGAATTGTTAAGCTGGAGTGTAAAAACGAACCGGTTGCGTTCTCAGTGAAAATGTGGTAGGTTGGGGGGGGGGGGGGGAAGGCCAACTTTGGGGGGCAAGAGGCCTACTTTGGGGGGCAAGAGGCCTACTTTGGGGGGCAAGAGGCCTGCTTGGGGGTGCAAGAGGCCTTTTTTTTTGTCCAGGTGCTCCACACGTGGCTCGAGCGCAGTGTGTGGTCCCCGGACCACCCCGGACCACCCAGTGGCACGGGGACCGCCCTCCAGTTGGTCCGCAGGGCTGTCACGCAAATGTAGGTTGATCCGGAGAGAATGACAATTCTAGATTTAAAGCTTTCGTGACTGCAAGGATCCATACTCTTTGGTTCTATTCGGTAAAGTCACGTAAGTAAAAAATAAAACAGCAAAAATCACGACGTTTCGGCGACAACACAAGGGGCCTTCATCAGGTGAAGGGATCAGGCTGTCTCGAGGACAGCGCTGGAGTGAAACACAGCCACGCTCAGACCGCGACCTTTAAGCTGTGTGTCAAAGCACCTTGTTTCCTCGCACACAGCTTAAAGGTCGCGGTCTGAGCGTGGCTGTGTTCCACTCCAGCGCTGTCCTCGAGACAGCCTGATCCCTTCACTTGATGAAGGCCACTTGTGTTGTGGCCGAAACGTCGTGATTTTTGCTGTTTTATTTTTTACCTACGTGACTTTACCGAATAGAACCAAAGAGTATGAGAATGACAATGTTTATGCCTTTGGTTTCGGACGTGTGTTAATATTTGATCCATATTTAATTTAAAAATGAAGTTAGGTAAACTAGCCTCATTAAGTTACCATAACGCTAAGATCTAAATGCCCCCCCCCCCCACCTCTAAATAAGACCTGATAGCTGCGGTTAAAAAAAAAGTTTTATTCTTCCGGTTAATACCATTTTCTATGACTGGTATTTAGATAGGGACGTGAATGCGTCATGTCACCAGGGATGGGGGGCTGGGTGTTCCGCGGAAATGTTTATATCAGCTCAGTGGTCCGCGAGCCAAGCAAGTTTGAGAAATACCTGCTGTAGAGGACACCAATCACCTCCAACTGAGTATGGCTGATGGCATCACGTTTGTCAGCACCAGGACATTGGCGGCCTATTATTCCCTGAGTAGGTGCTCTTACCCTACTCGATAGAAAGGGAAGAGTCGGGCACTGATCGGTGGTGTGCTGACGAAAAATAGTGCCTGCTGTTGGTTAAACGTGTCGATCAGTCCCATTGCTGTTGGAGAGAGAGAGAGGGCGATCCGATGGAACTGTTGATAATAAACCTGCCCAACAATGGTCATCGGCTCCCTCGTGATCGCTACACACGCATCAAATGTTAGGAAACCACTGATCCTCGCAGCGGCTTTTGACTAGCCATCGAAAAAAGACGGTGACTGTGTCGCATGCTTTGAGATGCGCTTCCGTGGCCACCTGGAACGCTCTTCCTTCCGATATTAGGAAGCCACTGGAGCTATGCACTGTTAAATCTTGTTGAAAACGAATACTGGTAGGAACCTCCTGGTTACACCAGCCCACAGGGGATTATTGTGTCCGTCCGTCCGTCGTGCATCCAAAAATGAGAGGGGTAGGGCTGGGTGGAGAGGGGAGGGTGGGGAGGGGCTGGGTGGGGAGGGAGGGGAGGGGAGGGTGGGGAGGGTGGGGAGGGGCTGGGTGGGGCTGAGTGGGGAGGGTGGGGAGGGGCTGGGTGGGGCTGGGAGGGGAGGGTGGGGCTGGGTGGGGGTGGGAGGGGTGGGGCTGGGTGGGGAGGGGCTGGTCACCCCGTGGTGCCCTTATAAAACTCAACGTTTCACCTACTCACGCCGGCTTGTGCCCGCCCTCACAGTCGGGTATATTGTGCGGGATACACCACGTGGTGGTGCCGCCGTTGACCCTGGCCATTGACCGAGCAACCCAACGTTTCTACCAGCTCCCCCCGCAGGAGAATGTGTTTTCTTTGGAACTGCCTTTTTTGTTTCATTTGTTGTCCTTCCCCCCTCGCCTCCGATTATCACGATTGGCTACGTACGGTGCGAAATAAGTTAAACATTCATACATGCAAATCACATGTGCGATGAGTTACGAATGATCCAAAATGTAGTGCGACTTGTACACAAGTCATGCGCACATTATGTATGTTGATTATACAATCAAGGGCGGAGCCACAGGGAGGGGCTGCGGGGGGGGGGCGTGGCAAACTGGCTGTCTGGCCTTAATGTTGTCCATCAGCATTTATTTAATCAATAAAACTCTCAACCAATGTATTGCTTGTGGGTTTCATTAGCTGAGTAAAGCTCGTGAAACAATTCACTATTTTACAAAATGTTTTACATTTTACCAGGGACGGCCCGCTGGCATATGTAGCTCTTTTTCAGAAGCGACCTGGCCACAAATGATAGCTCAACGAAAGTGGCTTATCACGTGGACATTCATTAGCAACCAAATGCTCGAATCGCACGTTGATTAATTCTAGATTTGAAGCTTTCGTGACTGCAAGGATCCATACTCTTTGGTTCTATTCGGTAAAGTACCTTATGACAGCACGGTCCCTTCACCTGATGAAGGCCACTTGTGTTGTGGCCGAAACGTCGTGATTTTTGTTATTTTTTTTACCTACGTGACTTTACCGAATAGAACCAAGGAGTACGCACGTTCATTCTAAATATGGAGGGGAAAAACCGGAGGACACGGGAGAAAAAGCCACCTGAACACGGGGAGAAAGAGAGACGTGCAAACTCCAAACATACAGCAGCAGCAGGCGTCAGGGTCGGGATCGAATTCATGACCTCCTGCATACCAGGCGAGGTGGTTAACATCTCCTAGCCACCGTGATTATGATCAGAGAGAGAGAGAGAGACACGCAAACTCGAAATATACAGCAGGCGCCAGGGTCAGGATCAAAGTCGCTGTGGTGTCAGAATACTGCTCGGTTCACGATAGGATCCCCTGTTCAATGCGAATAGCAAGACTGTATATAAGTAAAGCAAACTCGTGAAGCACTGCATAGCATTGCACGTATGCCTCAAACCCAGAAGCTGAGACAAAGGTAGTGGCTCTGTGGCCCAACCAGACCATTTTGAACCCACCGTAAACGCCTCACAGTGCTCACCTCAGGACAGTTGCCCGGGGTCTGTTCGGGGGTCACGTGCACGTTTGTGATGATGGCAAAGCTGCTGGAGCCCTGGGGTGGGAGCGGCGGAGAGAGTGGGAGAGCAGGACGCAAAGGCAGCGTGTAGATGTGTATTATTATAATAATAAACAACAGTTATAACAGTCTGGATGGGCTCCCGATTGAAGAAGGGGGACCGCACAGACGAACAACTACAGAGGCATCTCCATCCTCAAGTGTGCCAGGACAAGTCTTGGGAAGGATTATTCAACATCGCCTTGCCAGGCACACTGAGGAGAGGTTTGCAGAGCCCCAATGCACAGATGGGGCTTCGGCCAGTCATCTCAGTCAGTCAACCCATGTAACCTGGGTCTGTCCCGGGACCTCCTGCTAGTGGGCGTTCGACACTTCATGTGGCCTTAAAGTGCACCTAGCCTGGTACAAGCGCCGTGGTAACGTTACTGACACTTAGCGGAGCAAGGCGGCTGTTATTGCACGTGTGTGTGTGTGTGTGGGGAGCGGTGGTGTAGCGGTTAGCGCGCTGCGCTATGAACCCGGCGACCCGAGTTCGATTCCCGCTCACGGCCAACACCGGTGACAATTATCTGAACCGGTCTTGGGCCTCCCCTAGGTCGACTCGCCCTCAAACGAGCATCCGGCACGGTGTGTAAACATCGCCTTCCTAGATTACACCTGAAGGGTAATCCTGGATTTCCTCACCGAGATTACCTCACCTGGGTGGGGGTTTACCACAGGTGAGCGGGTTCATCCCAGTTCACTGAGGGGTACAGTGGCCTCTGGCAAGTGGAAATATACCAGATGGGATTAGCCTAAGAGAGTAATGTTACCCTAATTGAGTCCAGACATCCTATGTGTGCGAGATTACCCAGCGGGACTTAAGGTTACCCATAGTGTGAGGTTACCCTGAGAGTGTGAGGTTACCCTGAGAGTGTGAGGTTACCCTGAGGTTACCCTGAGAGTGTGAGGTTACCCTGAGAGTGTGAGGTTACCCAGAGGGACGTGAGGTTACCCAGGGAGTGTGAGATTACCCAGGGAGTGTGTTAGGGAGTGTGAGGTTATCTACGGGGTGTGGAGTTGTCCAGGGTGTGTGAGGTTAGGGGCCGTCCATAAATGACGTCACGCGATTTTGGACGATGTTTTACCCCCCCCTCCCTCGTCACACGGCGTCACAAAAAGTCAGACCCCCCCCTCAAATATGACGTCACAAAGCTCTCCCCCCCCCCCCCCAAAACCAAATTTCCATTTGTAAAATAAAACATGCTTCAAATCGCTTTAAACAATTGTCATTGTAGCGCGTATTTAATGTGGCGCTGCACTCTGATGTTGTAGGAGAAAACATTTTTTATAAAAAGTCTTATTTAATTAAGTAGAACGTGTTGTCTATATTTATTTAAAGTTGCGCATTTTGATTCGACGTCACATTTCTCAACCCCCCCACCCTCCTCGTCACACATTGTCACAAATGTCTGACCCCCACGCCCCCCCCCCCCAGGTGCGTGACGTCATTTATGGACGACCCCCTTACCCAATGGTGTGCATGAGGTTACCCGGGGAGAGTGTGTGGATTACCTGAGCGGGAGAAACGCACTCGGCCACATCCCACACGCGGCGTGCCTCCGTGCCCACGGAGCCGACCGCCGCCACCCCCTTCACCTTCGTGATGATGGAGACCTCGCTCACAGTGTCAGTCGCCTGGTAGGCCTTCTGGTACACGAACACGTACCTGCAGAAGCGGTAACGCAGCGTTGTGCTGTTCGATCGTTGCAGCTCGCTACTCTTACGGAGGGGACGTCCGGGCAACAAGCAGAAACGTTTGCCAAGCTGCAGCGTGTACAACAACAATAATACTTTGCCACGGGCCGTTTCAGTTTCATTTATTTTGGTATCGAGCACTGTGAGCCATTCGGCAAAAACACATGAACAAGAAAAAGCATCTTAAAGTGACCACGCGTGACGGGTCCCCGACTTTTCCCGTTCAGTGCTCGCCAAACTGGACACCGAACGAATAAACGACGGGGCCACGTGAATCGCACACAAAGTCCGAGCCACGAAATCAAACGCAGCACCTCGCTGATCTCGTCAATGAGCATAAACCACCATCACGCAAACTCCGTGCCATCGTCGCGGCGGCGGCTTTTGGCCAACCGCATCGCGCGGCGCTTTCAGATGCGCTTCTGCGGCCGTCTGGAACGCTCTCGCCTTCCGATATTAGTGATGCCGCTCGAGGTACACAACTTTGAAATTCGAGATTGAAAACTTATTATTATTTTTTGTCAGAAATATTTTTTTGTGTTGAGTTTGTCGTCCTTCCCCTGCACGTCCGATTAGCACGGTGGGCTACGCACGGTGGCCTAAACGAAGTTCAACATACATGCGGTGGCATCTTTCACGAGCCTCCGTTATATCAGAGGGATTTGTGGTCGCGTCCTACTGCGGAGGCAGTTTCCATCTCCTCAGCAAACCGTGACCACCACCCATCGCTGCAGCGCCGCACTGTTTTCCCAATCACCGAGCGAAGGCCGTGGTAAACCTCGTCATTCTCGGACGTGGGATGTGGTACACGGTGGGAGTGGGCCTCCTCCTTTCACCCTCAGTCCCTCTTTCCTCAGTAGAGCTCCCCCCCCACCCCCTTCCTTCACCTCAGCCAGTCGCTTGGTCGTTCTTGTCATTTTAGGTACCGACACACAAACATCCACAAAGCAGAATACACACAGAAACACATTCCTACGTGTAAACACGTGGCTACACACACACAACACGTAATTGCATACAGCGTACACTGATACACTTTTGTAGAAAACGTGTGCGTGACATTAACAGGGGCTGGCGTTTAGAAGTTCATGCTTAGACAGACGACTGTAGAGAGAGAGAGATGTTTAATGAAAGGTGGAATGGTGTTGTTCCCAAAGTTGTTTAATAAGGACGTAAATTTGAATAACTACTCACTGACCATTATTTACTTATAACGAGACTATCATGAGTTTTTTGGTTCTATTCGGTAAAGTCACCTAGGTAAAAAATAAAACAACAAAAAATCACGACGTTTCGGCCATAACACAAGTGGCCTTCATCAGGTGAAGGGACCGGACTGTCCAGAGGACAGCGTTGGAGTGGACAGTCCGGTCCCTTCACCTGATGAAGGCCACTTGTGTTGTGGCCGAAACGTCGTGATTTTTTGTTTTATTTTTTTACCTACATGACTTTACCGAATAGAACCAAAGAGTATGGATCCTTGCAGTCACGAAAGCTTCAAATCTAGGACTATCATGAGTGTCATCACCTTAACGCTACTTAATTAGTAAGCTGCCAAGGAAGAAAGGAAAACACACAACTACAACATGCTGTACAGCACGTTATAGATTGGAATCAAGTGCTGTCAGCTCGTTACAAGTAAAGGCTGCCGCAGCACACGAGATCGTGGTGGGACCAGCACCACGCTCAGCCGCTTTAGTCTCCCAAGTGCTCAAGTGAATACACCACAGCAGGCGCTAATTTAAAATTGAATTGACTTATAGGGAGGGGGAACATGATTGGGTCAGAAACCATTTGCCGCTGATGTTAGCTGGACTAGGAATGAAACTAGTGCGCTAACCACTCTGGCACAACTCCCTACTACATTAAGGATACACAATACAACAACAGCAGCAGCAGCCTCTATTCACACAAAGTGTTGTGCCAGGCTCGGTACATTTTGAGGCTACATGGAGACAATAACGGATTTCTCGGGTGGCAGGAGGCCACAGGACAAACCCATAGCTGCCACTGCTATTCAGTGGCCTAAGAGCAAATGTTACGCTCCGGTTGACCGCTGTAAAGTGTTATCTTGCGTTTTTATTTAGTGTGCTGATCTTAAAGGTGCATTGAAATGTTTTGATACTCCGACCGATGCTCCTGCTGTTGTGGAGTGACTCATGCAGCCAGCTATGGTTGCAGGGTTTGGTGGTACATGTTGTTTATGTCGTTTATTGTGAAATTTCGGTCACAGTCCCCTATGATCACTGTTACATTGCTTTTATGGCTTTATTTTTGGTGATTTTGAAAAGTTTTTTTTGGTTTGGCCATGTTTGTTTGTTGTAGTTCGGAGTTAATCTGATGGCTTTAATCTAAGTTTTCTTGTGGTTGTTGTTGTTGCTGTTGTTTGACTTGCATCCCACTGGGATTTTTGCACACAGCGTTGGTGTACGGTGCTTTTTTCAGGAATATTTTGCTGTTTTTTCCTAGATTTTTCTGTTTGCGCAGTCACACACAAGAGCCGAATGGATCACAGGGCTATACCAAAACAAATGAAACTGAAAAAAAACCTGAAAACTGAAATATAAGTTATGAGCTTCCAGACCGAAGTGGCTGGCATATAAACCACCCACCTGCACAATGTGCCACCTCATTATGTTTCATCTGGCCTGGCATTCAGCTCAATATTGTGTCACCCACCGTCTGCTGTTAAATGCGATGACTGTGGCCAGCTGCCCAGTGTGGAGCCTTCCATGAGGCAATTGTACAGAGGGAAATATTTTGACACCACTAGCACCACTCATTGGCAAAACTCACTCTGGTCCTCCTGTGCCACATCGCTCATCGCCTGTCGAGTAAGTATGTGTGGCGTGTTAATTTAGCCATTGCATCGAGCCAAACAGCAGCTGCTTGGGAATTGCGATGGCTGGGCATGCGGGCTACACCATCCAGCCAAAGCATTCTTTACCCGCGCACTCATAATGCTCAAATCTCTGAAGATCTTTTAAATACAGTGAAACTGCTCTTGCCCATACCCCCTGTTGAGCATTAAGCATTGTGTGAGTTTGCTGTTGTGTGGTACACCTCCGATTATCACGGTGGGCTACGTATGGTGCGAAAGAAGTTCAGCATCCATGCGTGCATTACGCGCGTTGTTTGTGGTGGCTGTGGTGGTACACTCACCCTATGAAATAGGCCAGGATGAGCGTCTGTCCGATGCGATAGGCGACGCCGAGGCCTCTGCTCTTCACCACCACACTCTTCGGCGTCTCGTAGTCGAGAAATCCAGAGCAGCAGCCGCCCCCCTCAGAATCCTCGAAACCCCCCATCCCGCACCGGAGTCAGAAAACCTGGAGCTCGGAACTTGGGAGCGTGAACCCTCGGCGCGGGACCCTGAAATATGCCGGGCGCTGAAATCTGCGGCCAATCCCAATACGGGCCTTGAATTCCAGATGCAAGCCAAATACCAGAATGAATACAATTTAAAAGATTCAAACAAAAAAAGATGCAAAAAATTGGAACTCAGAACCTCAATCCAGACCCTGACAGACCACCGCCCAGAACCTGGTTGTAACTTTACCCTTGCAACCGAGAAAATTTTTTCCGACAGTACAAGTGACAGCAGAACTCAAAATGAACCAGACCCCAGATCGTAATCCAGATCACGACCTGGAGCCCAGAACGCAGAAGCTAACCCGGTCTTCAGTACAACGAAGGCACTGAGCGTGATATGGGACGCAGCAACAGCCTCAGAACCAGAACTCAAGAAAAGCCTCAACAAACTGAGGCTGGAATTGAGCCGTCAATCGTTTCGGTGTGAGTGGTGCGGTGTGTGAATGTTAGCAGACGCTGTTCATTAATAAGAGCTCTTCCCTTGTTTACCCCCCTCCCCATCCCTTGCCTCCCAAGTGGGCACCAGGAGATGGAGGCGCCAGGGATGTGCGGAGAGTGAAGTGGGCCAACTCTGCAGGGAGTATCTCAGACACACACAACAACTCGTATTACTTCCTCCCACCTGCTGACATCGCATCTAACACACACCGCAAACACACACCTACCACACACACCTACCACACACAGCTACCACACACACACCTACCACACACACCTACCACACACAGCTACCACACACACACACACCTACCACACACACCTACCACACACAGCTACCACACACACACACCTACCACACACACCTACCACACACACACCTACCACACACACCTACCACACACACACCTACCACACACACCTACCACACACACACACCTACCACACACACACATACCTACCACACACATACACACACCTACCACACACACCTACCACACACACCTACCACACACACACACACACCTACCACACACACCTACCACACACAGCTACCACACACACACACCTACCACACACACACACCTACCACACACACCTACCACACATACACACCTACCACACACACCTACCACACACACCTACCACACACACTGACCACACACACACCTACCACACACACCTACCACACACACCTACCACACGCACACCTACTACACACACCTACCACACACACACACACCTACCACACACACCTACCACACACACACCTACCACACACACACCTACCACACACACCTACCACACACATACCTACCACACACATACCACACACACTGACCACACATACACCTACCACACACACCTACCACACACCTACCACACACATACCTACCACACACACACACCTACCACACACACACCTACCACACACACACCTACCACACACCTACCACACACACCTACCACACACCTACCTACCACACACACACCTACCTACCACACACATACCTACCATACACACCCACCACACACACACACCTACCACACACACCGACTACACACACACACCTACCACACACACCTACCACACACACCTACCACACACACACCTACCACACACATACCTACCACACACACACCTACCACACACACCTACCGCACACACACCTACCACACACACACAAACCTACCACACACATACCTACCATACACACCCACCACACACACACCTACCACACCCACCGACCACACACACACCTACCACACACACACCTACCACACACACACTTATCACACACACTGACCACACACACACCTACCACACACACCGACCACACACACACACCTACCACACACCTACCACACACACACACCTACCACACACACCTACCACACACACACCTACCACACACACCTACCACACACATACCTACCACACACACCTACCACACACACACCTACCACACACACCTACCACACACATACCTACCACACACACCTACCACACACACCTACCACACACATACCTACCACACACACCTACCACACACACACCTACCACACACACCTACCACACATACCTACCACACACACACCTACCACACACACACATACCTACCACACACACACCTACCACACAAACTTCACATTTGTCGCTGTCATAGAAACGTGGATATTTCTGTCCCGAAGTCAGTCAATAGTGGAGAAGTCAAACCGACACGGCATTATGTAATGTTCAAATGTGGGACCTTTTTTGCCATTTTTAAATTATGAAAAAATAAGAATAGGTTGTAACCTTTCTGGCAATAAAACAGTTGGTGTTAAGATGTTCAAACACCAAATAGAAGCATTTTGCAAGGAATCAAATCTGCATTAACCACACACAGTACTTGTGGTGAACATGCAAACAAACATGCTCTGATAACACATTCCTGCGGAGGGAGCTGGTAGGAACGTTGGGTTGCTCGGTCAATAGCCAGGGTCAACGGCGGCACCACGTGGTGTATTCCACAAATATGCCCGACTGTGAGGGCGGGCACAAGCCGGCGTGATTAGGTTAAACGTTGAGTTTTATAAGGGCACCACGGGGTGACCAGCCCCACCCCTCCCACCCCCCACCCAGCCCCACCCTCCCCACCCTGCCCCACCCTCCCCACCCAGCCCCTCACCACCCTCCCCTCTCCACCCAGCCCCACCCCTCCCATTTTTGGATGCACGACGGACGGACGGGCACAATAATCCCCTGTGGGCTGGTGTAACCAGGAGGTTCCTACCAGTAATATTTGCATTGTCTTTGAAACTGATTGGCCTACACCAGAGAGAGCCTTCTTTAGTACCTAGTCTCACCAGTCTCCTGCGTGGGAGCAGGAAAGTGTTATTACTAAGCAAGTGCATCGATCGGGGTCGATCGTTAGTATTAATTATAAATCAAATGAGCAACAATCGAAATGGTTAGTTGTGCTTCATTTTGAGTTTTTTATCCGATCATTTATTTTGTGAGTTTAGATTTAGGAAGCTCAATGTTCTTAAGTTAAACATAACTTATACCTATATTTTGGCATAGAGATTTGCGGAAAATGGATATCTTTGGATTATCCGCAATCTTTTTTTTATTATCCGAGGCCATCTTCCCCGTCATTTGCGCGGATAATCGAGAGTCAACTGTCGTTCACAATTGATAAAGCAACGCTTTATGCTGGATATGAGTGCAAAATTCTGATTCCGGCCGCGAATAAGTCGCTGGAATTCGCTGTTTTATTTTAGCCCCCGGTGGTGAGCACTATTCATCTGTTTATAATACAGAATAACGCGTTGTGTTTCGAATGGGTGGTTTCTAAATGGCTTCTTTTGGGTTAGGTTGTGTAAAAATGTGCCGTGGGTAAATAATCGGAGAACTTCTTGCGAGGCAACAAGCTATTTATTAACACTCTATTTTACAAGGTCCCTAACGCAAAAGGGGTAGCGGCCCCTTTACCCGATACCTGGGGAGGTATGGCCTCCGGACTACACGGGCCCTAACACTGGGAACCCCGTTAATTCCCCGTCCTCCGGCTGGGGGCCCTAGGGGAGGCTATGCTGACCCGACCGTGCCCGGGTCTTTCGGGTCCTGACCAATGGCCTCGCTTGGGGTCCAGCTTCAGCCCAGGTCTTCAGTCTTCGGCTCGGAGGTGACTGAGCCGGACCCTTGAGATGTCCGGCTTATATACTGCTTCGTGGCTTGCTCCGCCCTAGCCACGCCTCCCTTGCAGAACTTTCTGGAAGGTGACGTCATCCCCCGGTCCCCCCGCCCCCCCTCCCGGGGTCCGGGGATTGTGTCCCAGCATCCGCTTCCCAGGGATTGTCGTTGGCCCCCTGGGCCATGGTCGTTGACAGTGGCGTGATGGCGCTTCCGCCCCCTGTTGACGAGAAGGGGGAGCTACCCGCTAACAGGATGGGGAGTGCCGATTAATGCCTCTACAAATGTGTCGTCTACCCTCCGACAGGGCCAATCAATAATAAACTAGCTTGTTAGCCCGTCCTAGGACGGAAGCTGTAATATTAAAGATGTCAAATTAACGTTTTATTGCGTGATTGTTAATTTTACTAGGAAATGTAGCACATAAATAACATTTTCTTAACTTATTGAATGAAATTGAGGACTTTGGAAGATTTCTCGGTATACGATATTTTGTGTGAATCTCTTATCACTGTTCAGAAGGTTTCCCTGCAGTTGGCTATCCTTGATGGACACTTTGATCCGCTGAGGATGTTTAGCTCTAGACAGGGCCACGTGCAACTGGCCATGGGAAAATACGTTTGATTTTTTAGGTAAATACCCACATTTTCAAAAGTCTGACCCTGTGAATTGTTGATCGTCATCGCATACGCAGGAATTATCGGAATTTGTCGTCGTTTCAGTTCGAAAGAGCGACATCACTTGGAGCTTAGTCGATTCTAGGGAGGAAGACGATTTCGCCTCGGTTGCAAAGGCGAACAACAACAATCTCTGTAGCTGTATAATTTAAAAAAGAAAAAAAAACCCCGTAGCTTCACTTTAGCACTGTTTTCAAATCACCTGAAGCTGTTAACTGACATATTTATTTCGATTTAAAGCTTTCGTGACTGCAAGGATTAATCTTCTTTGGTTCTTTCGGTAAAGTCACGTAGAATGAGAATAAAATAATAAATTGATAAAATAAAATAATACAATAAAATTCTCACGACGTTTTGGCCACAACACAAGCGGCCTTCATCAGGTGAAGGGACGAGACTGTCTGGAGGACAGCGCTGGAGCGAACAAAGCCAAGCTCAGACCGCGACCTTTAAGCTGTGTGAGAAGAAACAGAGCGCCTTGACAAAGGAATTAGCATATAATTTAGCATTGAAATAGCTGAGTAATTAGCTTGTGACTGGTCACAGAAATGGCTATGTTAAAGTCAAAGCATACACATCCACAGAGGCACCCCTTGACAAAGGAATTAGCATAGAATTTAGCATTGAAATAGCTGAGTGATTAGCTTGTGACTGGTCACAGAAATGGCTATGTTAAAGTCAAAGCATACACATCCACAGAGGCACCCCTTGACAAAGCGCTGTCCTCCAGACAGTCTCGTCCCTTCACCTGATGAAGGCCGCATGTGTTGTGGCCGAAACGTCGTGAGAATTTTATTGTGTTATTTTATTTTATCAATTTATTATTTTATTCTCATTCTACGTGGTGACTTTACCGAAAGAACCAAAGAAGATGACACATTTATCTTCACCGATGGACGCTTGATAGCGAAGAGTGAAGAAAGCAGAGTGCTGATAACGCCTGCAGTAACTCAGCAAATAACGAAGACCAAAGAAGCATTAGAGTTACAAATAAATTGATGAGAATGTATTTCGTCTTGTCTAAACATAATGGCAGGGAATAGTGAAAATAAAAAAAATGTCATCAAACGTTTCACTGCATTTCACTGTAGCACTGAATTAGCGGCGGTGAATGTTGCGCAAAAGTACGTCATAAAACACCTCGCAGCATTTGATCGCAGCACTGCATTCATAGCAGTGGTTGCTGCACGCAACTACGTCATCAAACACATGACGTAATGTCACAGGAACGCTGTATTTTTTTTACGGACGTTCAATTACTTGCAATTAACTGCTCCGATAACTTACTCATCTTCCGCTTTCTACTCGCCGGGGCTGAAAACAATTGGAATTCGATACAGTGTCTGCAAAGCAGCAGAGAAATCTTCATTGTAGCATAATTTGGAAGCGTAATGTCGACTTTGCCTTTCGCTTGGACGTGCCGAAGAAATAAATGAAGGCGGCAAACGCACGGCGATGCGGCGTATAATTATTTTTCGCCTTCACTTTCTATAAAGATTCGTAAAATCGAAAGCGAATTTGCGTAATTTTTTTTTTATTATAGTCGCTCTACCTTCTTCTACGTTAGTCAAAATATCCAGGCACAAATTAATAATTATGAGGGGGGGGGGGGGCATGTGGAGTGACGTCACGCGCGGGACACACACACACAGCCGTCATTGGCTCGTTATATTAGTTGCTTCGTTGATTTCTTTATCAGCTTTACTTTTCATAAAGGAAGGTCCAAATGAAAGCTTATTTGCGTAAACAAATTTTCGTTTCCGCTCCAACTTCTTCATGCGGAGTGGCGTCACCCGTTCATGATTATTAATGACGGGAGAAGGGGGGGGGGGGTCCATGTGGAGGACCCCCACCTTGTTCATGAATATTAATGAGGGGGGGGGGGGCTGGTCGACGTGGAGTGACGTCACGCACGTGACACACAGACATTCTCGGCTCGTTATATTCGTAAATGTCACGTGAATCAAACCTGCCAAATGTATGACTGCTTCGGCAGCACAGAGTAATCTCACAAACATTTACATGGGTTCGACGTTTCACCAGAGATTGCATCAAGCATCAACAGGTTGTTTCGAAACATGCAGCTCCGATCCCGACAGTGGTGGAAATGGGCCAGAACGCCGTGGTGAGATTGACAATTTTAACTCGATTGCGTTCCGGAAGGAATCACGATTTCTTATTTTTTTATTTGAATCGCAGATAGACCCTTATAACTAACAGAGAGACCCACAGATACGCACAGAGACCCACAGACACACAGAGACCCACAGATACGCACAGAGACCCACAGAGACGCATAGATACCCAGAGACCCGCAGGCGCTTACAGAGCCCCATAGAGTAGCACAGAGACCCACAGATACGCACAGAGACCCACAGACACCCACAGAGACGCATAGATACCCACAGATACGCACAGAGACCCACAGACACACAGAGACCCACCGACACCCACAAACATGCATAGATACCCACAAAAACACAGAGACCCGCAGGCGCCTACAGAGCCCCATAGAGGAGCACAGAGACCCACAGACACGCACAGAGACCCACAGTCACACAGAGACCCACAGAGACGCATAGATACCCACAGACGTGCACAGAGACCCACCGACGTGCACAGAGACCCACCGACACCCACAAACATGCATAGATACCCACAGAAACACAGAGACCCGCAGGCGCCTACAAAGCCCCATAGAGGAGCACAGAGACCCACAGACACGCACAAAGACCAACAGGAAATTTGGTCCCATTTGCAGCCCTGGATCTCGAGTGAAATCCATTTAAATGTTGCGAGATGACTCTGGCACGGACTGGTAGTGTGCTTCTGAAGCACATTTGGCACGTTTAATTCACGTAACACTTTTTATTAATTGTCTCCCTCGGATGGAATGGGGGCTTACGACACACATTTTAATTACACAACGACCTAACCCAGCAGAAACCAATTGTGAATCATATTCTTGGTTCTTTCGGTAAAGTCACCATGTAGAAGGGAAACAACAAAATAATAAAAATGTAAAACAATAAAATTATCACGACGTTTCAACTGCAACACAAGCAATCATCATCAGGTGTGAAAACCACAGCGAGAAAATGTTCTTGCTGTGGTTTTGATTGCACGAGAGAAATTCAACACTGCCACACACGAGATAAATTCAACACTGCCACACACGAGAGAAATTCAACACTTCCACACGCGAGAGAAATTCAACACAGCCACATGCGAGATAAATTCAACACTGCCACACACGAGATAAATTCAACACTGCCACACGCGAGAGAAATTCAACACTGCCACACGCGAGAGAAAATCAACACTGTCACACACGAATAAATTCAACACTGCCACACACGAGAGAAATTCAACACTGCCACACGAGAGAAATTCAACACTGACACACGCGAGAGAAATTAAACACTGCCACACGCGAGAGAAATTCAACACTGCCACACGCGAGATAAATTCAACACTGCCACACACGAGAGAAATTCAACACTGCCACACACGAGAGCAATTCAACACTGCCACACGAGAGAAATTCAACACTGACACACGCGAGAGAAATTCAACTCTGCCACACGCGAGAGAAATTCAACACTGCCACACGCGAGAGAAATTCGACACTGCCACACACGAGAGAAATTCAACACTGCCACACAAGAGAGAAATTCAACACTGCCACACGCGAGAGAAATTCAACACTGCCACACAAGAGAGAAATTCAACACTGCCACACGCGAGCGAAATTCAACACTGCCACACGCGAGAGAAATTCAACACTGCCACACGCGAGAGAAATTCAACACTGCCACACGCGAGAGAAATTCAACACTGCCACACGCGAGAGAAATTCAACACTGCCACACGCGAGAGAAATTCAACACTGCCACACGCGAGAGAAATTCAACACTGCCATCTCCTGACCAAATCGCAGCCGCACGCATACAACGCCTCGCAAGCCTCAGCTGGTCCATAAATCCCAGGATTAGCCAAAGCTACCCACCAATTCAATTACGCTTGGGAGTTCAAATCCTGGTTAGATTTGAACTTCTAACCTCAGCCCATCATCCCTTCGGTAGCGAGATGTTATGTTCCCTCGCCTGGTATACAGAAGGTCGCGGGTTCTATCCCGACCCTGACGATGCCTGCTGCTGTATATTTGGAGTCTGCAATGTCTCTCTCTCTCATCATCATCACTGTGGCTAGGAGATGTTAACTACCTCGCCTGGTATACAGGAGGGCGTGAGATCGATCCCGACCCTGACGATGCCTGCTGCTGTATATTTGGAGTCTGCAATGTCTCTCTCTCATCATCATCATTGTGGCTAGGAGATGTTAACTACCTCGCCTGGTATACAGGAGGGCGTGAGATCGATACCGACCCTGACGATGCCTGCTGTATAGTTGGAGTCTGCAATGTCTCTCTCTCTCTCCCCGTGAATTTTTGTCCGGGTCCTCCACATTTAGAATCAAACATCACGCCGTTTTAGAGTAATTTGGCCCCTATAAATGACATACTTGTCGACCCATACGGTTTACCCGTTTTTCTGTACGTGTACATGGAAATTGAGTTTTCAGGTCCATACAGGCATACAGCCGTTTCAAAACGGGCAAAAACAATATTTTTTTGTGACCGTCCATAAATGACGTCACGCACCTAGGGTGGGGGTCAGACATTTGTGACGATATGTGATGATGGGGGGGGGGTGAGAAATGTGACGTCACATAAAAATGCGCAACTTTCAACAAATATAGACAGCACGTTTCTACTTAATTAAATATACTTTTTAAAATAAATATTTTCTCCTACAACATCAGAGTGCAGCGCCACGTTAAATACGCGCTACAAAGACGATAGTTTAAAGCGATTCGAAGCGCGTTTTATTTATTTTTGGGGTCGGTGGGTGGGGTGGGGTTGGGGGAAGAGCTTTGTGACGTCATATTTGAGGGGGTGGGGGGGGGTCAAAAACCGTCCAAAATCGCGTGACGTCATTTATGGACGGGCCCCCCTTCACGTGCGGACGAATGGCGGGAACACAGACTGGCGGCTGCGGTGGACCCGGAGCAGCGACTGCAGCCGGACACGCGCGAATCTCCACCGCGACGAAATCTGACGCCAACTTCGGGAGCCCCTCCACGCCCCTCCCCCCTCCCCGCCCCCTCCCCCGACGCCCCTCCCCCTCCACGCCCCTCCCCCCTCCACGCCTCTCTCCCCTCCCCTCCCCCTCCACGCCCCTCCCCCCTCCACGCCTCCCCTCCCCCCTCCACGCCTCCCCTCCACGCCCCTCCCCCCTCCACGCCCCTCCACCCTCCACGCCCCTCCCCCCTTCCCGCCCCCCCTCCCGATTCCGAATCGGCCGCGCGAAACTTCCGCTTTGCTCCCTCCAACTCTCCCCCCCACTACTTGAGGCCAAGTCTTGTCCGCCCCTCCCCCCCCACCCGCTCTTTGTTGTTTTTTTTAAAACAAAAAACATTTTTGCCGTTCCCTCTCGTTTTTTTCCGTAATTTTTCAGCTTTGTTTTCGTAAACTTTACTTTTTATTTTATTTTTTTCTAATCTTTTTTTTTCATTTTCTTATTTTTTCAACTCTCTTATTTTACTCTGTTGTTGTTAATCTCTCCCCCCCTCCTCTCACTCTCTCTCGTCCTCTTCTTCCACAGCTGCTGACTCTGAACATCCCAAACGAGCGGACGGTTGTGGATCGAGCGCCAAAAAAATAAGAGGTGCGTGCACTGCACAAAGCTCATCGGCTGCACGTGGCTGGCTTTGTGTCTGTGTGTGTGTGGGATTCCCGCTCACGGCCTAACGCACAGCGACGATTGGAGAGACAAAGGCGGCCGGGCGTGGTGCTTGCCCATCACTACCCCCACCCCTGTGTGTGTGTCGTCCCTTCATAGGAGCTATTCGCGAACATAACTTACTCCGGACCCATCTTGTTCAGGCTCTACGTGGGGGGGGGATCTCTCTCTCTCTCTTGTGTATTTTATTACATTTTTAAAAGACGCCGGGAAAGTGACCCAATACGTTTCTGGCCCCCAGAGAGATTTCCGACCCTGACCGCCTGCTGCCATTTGTTGTTGTTGTTTTTTTGTTTGTTTGTCTTCCACGCGCGCCTCCTTTGAGCACGTGTTTGGCTTACGTACGGCGCGAAAGAAGTTCAACGTTACACGTTGTACGTCGACCCCCCCCCCGACGATGCCTGGTGCTGCTGCTGCTGTATGAAGTCTTATGGGGGGGGGGGTCTGTTTAAAGCTACGAGTCTCTGACTCTCTCTAAAGGTCTGTGTGTGTGAGAGTCTGCGCGTGGAGTTGGCGACGTCTTATCATCCGCCGTGGAGGGTTTTGCTTGCGAGTCCTCCAGGGTTTAGAAGCGGCTTCGAGTAATTTGACTCGCAATGAATGTCCACGGGCTGCTGTTAATTTTTCCACGTTACGATAAGGGGACGTCCATAAATGACGTCACGCGATTTTTGACCCCCCCTCCTCTTCGTCACACGACGTCACAAAAAGTCAGACCCCCCCCCCCTCAAATATGACGTCACAAAGCTCTGCCCCCCCCCCTCCCAAAAAAATATAAAACATTCTTCAAATCGCTTTAAACTATTGTCATTGTAGTGCGCGTTTAACGTGGCGCTGCACTCTGATGTTGTAGGAGAAAATATTTATTAATAAGTCTATTTAATTAAGTAGAGGGTATTCTTGGTTCTTTCGATAAAGTCACGTAGAACACACCTGATGATGATTGCTTGTGTTGCAGTCGAAACGTCGTGAGAATTTTGTTTTATATTTTTATTATTTTATTGTTTCCCCTTCTTAGGCGGTGGTGACTTTACCGAAAGAACCAAGAATATGAATCCCTGCAGTCACGAAAGCTTTGAATCAAAATTTAAGTAGAACGTGTTGTCTATATTTAAAGGTGCGCATTTTGATGTGACGTCACATTTCTCAAACCCCGCCCCCCCTCGTCACACCTCGTCACAAATGTCTGACCCCCACCCTAGGTGCGTGACGTCATTTAGAAACAATATAATTGTTATAACACTAATTTGATTCATTTTCATTATTAACTACTTTATTAAAATTTCCTAAGGTCAACCTTTTATTTATCCCATAAAGGAGCATTTTGCTTCTCCATGAGAGAATGGAGAAGCATACATTTTGTAAAAAAAAAATATTGTTATTAAACGTTTTGATTTTAATGATTCTACCAGGGCTTTTCATTATGTGGAATGAATATGTGATTGTTATAATTGTACTCTCCATTTTGCTTCGTTTCTACTACAATGTTTCAAGTATTTTTGATAGTTATAATCGGTTTTAATATTTTATAAGTATAAGATAATTTCAATATAATATTCTAAACATCTGCAAGTTTTAGTTAGACGTTGAATATATGATCAGAGTATTTTTTTGTTTGCATTCTGACCACAAGTATTGTGGTTAATGCAGTGACATGATTCCTTGTAAAAGGTTTCAGTTTGGTGTTTTAACGTCTCAACATCTGTTTTGTTGCCAGACAAAAGGGGAAAACCTCTACTCACTTTCTTAGCTCAATCGAACACCTTGGACAGCTAGCTACAACACACTACCATTCGAGTAACTGTCTCTCGCCCTCTATTGTATATCACATGAATGTGCATTCCGCAGGAACATCAACTTAACACGTGGCTAAAATTTTTAAAAAAATGACCACCACCCTCATCGCGTAAAATTAAACTCTTAAATCTTTTTAACAAAAATGTTCCGTTCAGTTTCCCGTAGGAACCGTGAAAAAGCAATGGCTTGTGCGGTGGCAACTGGCCCAACCCCAGTCATCGCCTCCATTACCCTGGAGCCCACTGGGGACTTCCCGGCATGGCTGGAGACGCAGGGCGTGAACGCAGAGGTGGCCCGGGCCATGGACTCGGAGCTGGGTATCCGGGACTACGGGGTCCTGCGCGCCTGCGTCGGGGACGGCCTCGTGCGGGCCGAGCTGCTGGCCGCGGCGCGCGACCGCCTGCCCTTCGGCTTCTACGCCGTGCTGCGGCGGTTCGTGGCGGAGCTGTACTGGCTGGACGAGTCGGGGGCACCCTCGCGGCTGCTGCAGGCCGAGGCTGGCGGTGGCGTTTGTGGTGCTAGTGGAAATAGCGGTGGTGGCAGTAGTCGTCGTCGTGGTGTTGACGATGAACTGAAGGACATATTCGCGAAGATGGTCACCGGCTTGAGTCGCGAACTGTCGCTCACGATGCAGAGGCTGCACCAGGTGGATGGTGGTGCCACTGGTGATGCTGGTAATGCTGGTGCCGAGGCAGGAGGCGATGTTGGTGATGGTGTTGGACAAGGTGGAGATGGTGGACGTACAAGTGGAATATTGTGGGAGGCTGGGTCTTCACAGAGTTCGCCAACGCGGGACAGCGAGTACGCGAATAGCACAGCTGTGAGTGACATGCCTGGCGAGAACTTGTTGGCAGTCTCGTTCCACGGTGAGTTAAGTTAGTTGGTCCACTTTCCTTTGCAAGGCAGAGTTAAGGTTAGCCAGTCTTCTTTCGTATAGGCTGCTGCTGCACCGGTAGATGTGTGTTTTCTTTTTTGTTTCAATATTATTCCAGTTACACTATCTGAGATGATTGAATCCATTAGGATATATTTTTTGAGCCGTGCTTCAGTCTGTTTGGCACATTTTTCACAACTTGGCACTGCTGAGATCCCTTTAAGTGACCGTTTATTTGACACTATGGTAGGGCACTTTCCCACCACACCCTGCAAGAGAGATGTTAATCATATGATTTTTCAGAGCTGGAAGTTAGCCAAATTAAATGTAAATTCCCACATTTTAACTTTACATAAAATTATGTTTTCTGTATTTATGTGTGTGTGTGTTTGTGTCACGACAGATCCACCCGTTATAATACAAGATGAACACTCAATCAAGCTGGAACATGTAGATGTAAGACAAGGTAAGGTAACTGCAGCTAATACAAGTCCATGCGATGGCATTGTTTTGGGCTACAGTCGTAGTCTGCCAGCATTGCTGTGGCCAGAGCATTTGACTTGCTGCCGCGAGTTTGCGAGTTCATATCCTAGTTGTGGTCAATTCATCCTGATTGTAATCATGCCTGTGGGGTCGAAAAAATGGATACCGCGAAGAGATGCGCTTCACTGTTTGAGCGTGGAGAGATTTTTGTAATCGGGCCGATGTTACTGGGCCATGATGACAGTTGGTGCATATAAGATAATATCACGCCAATCGTTTTTGCCTCCCAATTCAATCTCGTATTATCTACCATGGGAGTGGAGAGCCGATGGCCCATCTGAACATTCTGACCTACTTTATTTCACCACGATCGCATGAGGCCTACCACTTTTACATGGCCTACAAATATATTTATCCATCATTGCGAAGATCTGCACACAGTCCCATCGATGAGCTACTCCGGAAGGCAAGGCTCCATTGGCTGCATCATGTAGCCCGCTTACCCAGCCACCGCATGCCCAAACAACTTTTTTTTGGCCGGATAAAGTGGGATAAATGGGGACGGCACAGGCTAGAAAAGAGATGGGCTGATAAGTTGCAAGAGAATATGGAGCTGAGTGGCCTTGCTAATGTCTGGTACCAGCGGTGTCAAAATCGGCCTCTGTGGAGGGCACAGGAGTGACGCTAATGACAATGAGTGGAGCGCCGGGCAGCTAAAATGGAGCAAGTTGGCACAGTGGGGAGCACAGGTGATGCATCAGCTAGTCATCTCAGTCAGTCAACCCATGACACCTGGATCTGTCCTGTGACCTGCCAGCAAACCTTCGACACGTCACGTGGCCTTAAAGTGCACATAGCCTGGCACAAGCGCCGTGGTGATGTACTTGTCTGAATGTGGTGTACTTGTCTGGATGTGGTGGTGGTGGCCACGCCATCTTCTCGAGCGCTGTTCCTGCTTGCCCAAAAGTAATTTGAGGGGTCTCTGTGCATCTGCTTGTGTGTGGAGTCGTGATACAGAGGTTTGCACACACCACTCCAATGCCGGTGGCCTGGGTTCAATTCCCGACAATGTGCATCAGTGGTGTGTGGTATTTAAATGTATTCTGGGCCTTCCTTGGTCATTTCAAACTTATACGAGTACCTGGTGCAGTGTTTGCCCATCACTACTGGGGAGGTAAAGGTGGCCTGGAATAGTGTGAAACCACACTTCGATCATGCGCTTTAATGACCTGAATAGGAGCTTGCTAATAGAACTTACTCCGACAATTTATAAGGCTGAAGAGGTGATCTTAGTATTTATGTGTGTGTTTGTGTCTACTGCAGATACACTCATTCCAATGCGAGATGAACCCTCAATTAAGCTGGAACCTGTAGATGTCAATCAAGGTAAGATAACTGCAGCTAACACTTGAGTCCATGCAGCGGCATTGTTTCGGGCTAAAGTCGTAGTCTGACGGCATTGCCGTGGCCAGAGCATATGACTTGCTGCCGGGAGTTTGCGAGTTCATATCCTAGTTGTGGTCAAATAATCCTGTTGTAATTATGCCTGTGGGGTCGATAAAATGAGATGTGTTTCACGCCGTTTGAGCATGGAGAGATTTTTGTAACAGGGCCGATCTTACTGGGCAGTGATGACAGTTGGTGCATATAAGATCATATCAACCCAATTGTCTTTGCCTCTCAATTCAATCTCATTATCTACAATGGGGGTGGGAAATCTATGGCCCACGTGCAACATCCTGACCCCCTACTTCATTTCACCACGATCACACGAGGCCTACCACTGTGACATGGCCTCCAAATGATATTTACCCTTAAAACTTTCGTGACTGCAGGAATTCATAGCCTTTGGTTCTTATGGTAATGTCACTACTACCATCACTTACATTAACATTATCTGCCCCGCCGATGCTGCTACACCTGAGCTACGCCCATGTTAAACCTTTACCTGGAAGCCCTTTAATTGGTGGAAACCCACCACCAATGCCGTCGTTGCCCATCACTTACATTAACATTAGCTGCCCCGCCCATGCTGCTGACACTTGGGCTACGCTCATTTTAAACCTTTATAAACAGTTTGCCTTTAGAGGCTAACCACCCTTTCCCGATGACGACCGCTTGTGTTGCGATCGCAACGTCGTGGTTTTTTTTAATTCACTTTATTACTATTTTTCTATCTACGTGACTTTACTGAAAGAACCATAGACCAAGAATATGATATTTACCCATTATTGCAAAGATCTTGGCCGCACTAATCGGGTACTAGAGGGGAATATTTATGAGCTGGCAACAGCAACGCTTGTTTTTTTATTTTAGCACACTCGCTTACGTCTGTTACAGCAAGGGTCTCTTCATACTCTGTTATTTCTCGTTTTGTAATTGAACGGTAACACATTTGTTAATGTGTGGCCAACCATTACATATCTGAAAGTCCTATTCAGCCCTCGGCAAGAAATGTGTTCTTCACCCTGGTCTATCACACAAATTGTAAATAATCGTAAATATTTGATTGAGAATCGTAAATTATTGATTCTCACGTGACATTTTGGTGCATGTATCTTGAACAAGATTGATATAATCGACGAGTAAATTAAATGCAGCATGCCTACGCACCACTACTCATTCCCTTTCTTATTCCCCCCCCACCCTCCCCCCCATCTTTCTCCACAGGTCCCTCCAACTGTTTGCCCGTCTTGGAGGCCGTGGACTGCCCCGATTTCTTCACCATCACTGCCACCGCCTCCTCCAACCACAGCAGCCTCAGGAAGCGGAAAACAAAGATGTTGGTGGGTGGCGCCAATGACCTCAGTGGCGGGGCGACAGCCAGCGACGCGCAAGGCAGTGGCACTGGCGGTGCCACTACGACCCGACGCTGTGGGAAAGCCCGTCCTCACAAGTGCCCATTGTGCCTGCGGCACTTCACATCGGTCCACTTGCTAATGGAGCACCTGCTGTCGCAGCACCATTGGCAGCGGCAAAAGCAGCAGCGGCAAAAGCGGCAGGGGCAGCGGCAGGGGCAGCGGCAGGGGCTTCAGCGGCACCACTGCACGGTGTGCGGTCGCACATTCCAGTCGTTGTTGGTAGCCACGCAGCACATGATGAAGCACCAGTGCGGCGAGAAGCTCTACCGCTGCTGCGCTTGCGGGCGTGGCTATCGGCAGATGGCAGGGCTGCGCTACCACAATGGTCGCTGCCCTGGGGTGGCGAAAACGTAACTGACGTATTGGCTGGGGAAAGTGGGTGTTGGGGTAGATGGGGATGGGCGAAGAGAGAGGAATGTTGGAGGGAAGAGAGGAAAGGGAGAGCAGAGATGTGTGGGAGAGGAGAGGAAGGTGTCTGTGTGGTGAGTTCTACGGAGAACGCACACTTTATTCTGGAGGCACCACGTTTATTATGCGGCCCCAACAGGGCTACTACTTTTACGTTGCAACGGGTTAACTCGACCCCAACCGGGTCACTTCGTAACCGGGTCAGGATGGTTACTTCTTTCTGACCCACGGAGCCTGAAAGAACAATCTAAGACCGAAGGAGCAAAGAGACGTCGCACGGTGAGTTAACTCCTAGAGACGGCCTCAATCGCTCCACCCCCATCCCTCTTACCCTGTCGAGTAGGGGGCGTAGCCTCGCTCTGCCTCCGGCCACGCCCCCTTTTCGATCTCTCCCGAAGGAACCAGAACCAGCGTCACGTGTCCCTCAAGGCCCCCTTTTCGGGCCCCCTTGCTACCCCATGCCGTTCACGTGCCCTGTCTCTCCCTTCAACGGGACCATGCCCTCTAGGGCCCGCTTCCCTGCCATACTTCCGCCGGTGCCAGAGAGGTACGAGACATATGCAGTTACCTGCTCGTGAAGCTAGATGGCGTACACGCCATAGAGACTCTATTTACATCTCTACATCTGGATAGGGGAGGGAGGAGGAAAGATGTGGGGAGAGGGGATGGGGTTTTATAGAGAGGACCAGGGGCTATGGTGAGATGGGAGGGAGCTGTGCATGTGTGTACGCCTTTGTGTGTGTGCTTATTTAGAGAGCGACGACCCGAGTTCGATTCCCACTGACAAATATCTGACACAGTCCTGGGCCTCCCCTAGACCGACTCGGCCTTAAGTGAGTACTGCTTAAAGTGTGTAACTATAACCAATGGGGAGCCAAACGCAGCCAGGCATTGTGCTAGTCTTATCACCTTCTCGTGTGCCATGTTGACCTTCATAGGTGCTTGCCAACAGCACTTTCCCCAACAGCCTGCGTAGGTTGTACGGGGATCTCGGAAGTCGCTCACTACAAAGTATTTGGTCACAGGCACTTGTGTGGAAATGAACGCTTAACGTGCCGAGTGATGTTATCCGGTAGGGTGAGGGGGCGTGAGGTCAGCACGCAAGAACCTGGCACAACCTGGCTCAACGCTGTGGGGATGTGGGTGACGTCATCGCCCACGCACGAGCATTTGCCCATGCACCAGGAATCCAGCCAGGCAGCCATGCATCTAGCCAGCGACACTTTTTGTTCAAATATAATTTGATAAAGAATACAATTCACCAAGTCTGAAACTTAGACTGAAATAAAAATTAAATTAAAGATATGTTCCTGACCAAACCTTTCTCTATTTTTTTAAGTTGGAGTTGAGAAGTTTAAGAATCATTGCAGTACATACCTGAAGACATCCTGGTTGAACATTTGGTAATTAAATGGTGGGCAAGGGTCTTGAGGACACCACATGGGCCCTGGGTTCTCACACCTGAGCTTCCTGTGACTTACATAAAAAATCCATTGTGATAATTTTTGTTCATCACTTCCTTTGGCAATTTTCTCGCTTCGAGAATTAAAAATATTGACTGTCACGTGGGGAATATTTTTCTCTGTACATGAAACCGATGGGGAAGTGCTGCCCCCTGACGTGGATAAGAGGTCACTTCAAGAGATTTTTTTGGAGTAAATACAGGCGGTTACCGCTTTTACGACAATGCATTCCTGGAAACCCGTTGTAAATCGGATCCTATTTTGAAAACGAATTTCTTAACTTTTTGTGTTTAGCACCAGTACAGTAGTTAAACAATGGGACACCTTAGCTCTGCACATTGCAAAGCCAGCAGTATGCGTACTATGGTTTAACTGAAGTCTGCTTTCAACTGCCCTAGGTTGACACACTCCCTTTAAGAGTGTGCTCCTAATCTCAGCTCGTTACCTGTATAAAAGACACCTGGGGGCCAGAAATCTTTCTCATTGAGAGGGGGTCAAATACTTATTTCCCTAATTAAAATGCAAATTAATTTATAACATTTTTGACATGCGTTTTTCTGGATTTTTTGTTGTTATTCTGTCTCTCACTGCTCAAATAAACCTACCATTAAAATTATAGACTGATCCTTTCTTTGTCAGTGGGCAAAAGTACAAAATCAGCGGGGGATCAGATACTTTTTTTCCCTCACTGTACGTGATGACAAAAATACCGGTCGATATTTTATTCAGACAGTACTAAAGGACGACATACCTAATCTAATGTATCTCCTTCAAAGTAGTCCGATCGAACGCAGTCATTCCAGTGGTCCTGCCATTTGTCTTATTGGTTCTTTCGGTAAAGTCACGAAGAATGGGGATAAAATAATAAAAATAAAAATTGTCACGACGTTTCGGAGGCAACACAAGCTTCCATCTTCAGGTGGGACAGGATGGTTTTCAGGTCCCCAGTTGCATTTTGGATGACGGTTTGGCACGTCCTAAAATAGCTTTCCTTTTAGGGTGCGTTTCAATGTAGGGAACAGGAAAAAGTAATTTGGTGTCAAATCTGGTGTCCCGGTACTTTCTGATCAACACTCGTACGTAAGTATTTCCCCATAGGTGCAATGTTATGCTTTCACAGTAGAAACATCAATAGCCGATGTGTTTTCCTTTTTATCAGCCATATTCAATAGGCTTCAATAGGGAGAAATACACAAACACTTGATAATAATAATAAAAGCTCCAGCCATGATATAAACGTCATAAATGTGGATCTTGTAAAGCGGACCTTCGAAAGTTGGAGACAGCCTGTACTGTAGTTATGCAATGTCCTCTTCCACGTACCTTTCCCTAACGTGGAGTGGTGCGTTGGTCAGAAGATTTGTTCATGGATGCTTCATTTCATGACTGCTGATCGCACAGCCGCAATACAAATTGGGGAAACAGATAAACATCGGCAAAACAAAACGAAGTGTCTCAGAAGGTTCATGTCGGTGCACCTAACACCTGAGAGTGGTGCATCAGGGATGTTATCAGTGGTGCCATTGCACAGCAATGGATACCTTCTGAGAGAGAGTCCTGGTCGGCAATGAAACTCAGACTATATTCTTGGTTCTTTCGGTAAAGTCGCGTAGAAGGGAAACAATAAAATATGAAAAATATATTTTTATTGTGACTTTATATAAAAAAATGAAATATATTTTTTAATATAAAATATATTTTTATTATTTATTTTATTGTTTCCCTTCTACGTGACTTTATATAAAAAAATAAAATATATTTTTTATTATTTTATTGTTTCCCTTCTACGTGACTTTATATAAAAATATTAAATATATTTTTAAATATAAAAATATATATTTCTTATTATTTTATTGTTTCCCTTCTACGTGACTTTACCGAAAGAACCAAGAATATGAATCCCTGCAGTCACGAAAGCTTTAAAACTAAATTGAAACTCAGACTCTTAAGGAGTGCCGGTTCAGCGGCTTGACGAGGCTAGTATATGAGCCCTCGAAAAGAGACGCAACACCCCTTTCAGAAAGTCGTGGCCGTTTTGAACCTCGAATTGGATCGTACAGCACCCATCCTCGCAGCCGTCTTCGATAACCTGGGGCCTGCTTGTTGGACACTCATCTGTGCACGGTGGAGCTGTGTTAAGTTGCGGAAGCAGAGGGCAATGCTGCAACCTTGTGCCACACGATGCTCCCACGTCAATGATCTCCATATTCACCCATCCACTGACGTAGTATGTTGTCTTGCCACAGGGTGTGAGGAGGCCCTCATCCAGCAGTGTATTGACAAAGTGCCAATATAAGACATGAGCCTTATAACCTGACATGGCCATTGTGAACCACTGTAAGCCACGCTCATTGGAGACGTACATTATGTTCAGCTTGTTGACACAGTGAGGCCTCTGCATCTCATGGCGCTTTTTGAGGGAGGGTCCTGCCAAGTTTTCGCAGCAGGGAGCGATGATTGCTGTGTAGATCCTAGTTGAGTAATTTGCGGGTATTTTTTTTCATTATTTTGACCCTGACATGGCCATTGTGAACCTCAATTAGCCGCGCCCACCCATTTAAGAAAGAGCTGTGGCCAGCTGCATACAGCTAGTGAATTAATGGGAATGTCCCATTCACTAGTTTACATTACAAACTATGGGAAAATATCATTCCGTATTTCTGCGATATTACACCATTTTATATATATAAAAGGGAAATGTGTGATTATGCGTGTCTGTTCAAAATGTTTAGCGTACTTCCAGACATGCAACAAACTTGAAATTTGCCATGTGGGTACTTTCCAGACTGTACACTATGCAAACATTATAAAATACACTTTTGTTTTGGGGGGGGGGGGGGCGGAGCTCAATAATGCATTTATTTTTTGCACGGCAAGTGAGCTGTGACGTCACATCTGTCATGTGACCCGTGTGCGGAAGCGTCACGCAGTGTGCCTGCTAATGTTACCCCCCCCCTAACCCTCCGCGGGTAAAGTGAAATACAAATGTGTCGCAGGTCTAAGGCGTTCTTCGCGCAGCATTGCTTTATTTGAGTCGTTTACTGCCGTACGTACCCTGAAAGTTGTGTGTGTCTGCTGCAAGCGCGTCTATGTGTATCTATGGATGCGCACGCGTGTGTGTGTGTGGGGGGAGCGGCAGTGTAGTGGTTAGCGTTACGCTGCGCTACGAATCCGGCGACCCGAGTTTCATTCCCGCTCACGGCCACCACCGGTGACGATTATTTGAACCGGTCCTGGGCCTCCCCTAGGTCGACTCGGCCCCAAACGAGTAACTGGTGTGGTGTGTGAACATCGCCACTGGGGAGACAAAGGCGGCCGGGCGTGGTGAATCCAAGTCCCGGGCGAAGCTAGGTAGTTACAGCTAGTACCTAATAAATGAAACTGAAAAAATAAACTGTATTATTAGATTACCGAATGTGTTTTTGTTCTCGTTTTAAACTGCACGACCATTGACACTGCCCCCCCCACTCTCTCCAGGCAGGCCCCGCCCACCCTAACAAGCCCCGCCCACCCTAAACAAACCCCCGCCCACCCTAAACAAGCCCCGCCCACCCTAAACAAGCCCCGCCCAACCCGGGTCCGAAACTGTCCACCCACCTCGTGCAAAGCTATTCGACACCTAGCCACGCCTATCCCAGACAAGCCCCCGCCCTACCCGGGTCCCAGCCCCGCCCACTTAGTGCAAATATATTCAACACTGACCACGTCCATCCCTGACAAGCCCCGCCCATCCCAACCCCGCCCACCTCGTGCAAATCTATTCGACACTGACCACGCCCGTCCCAGATAAGCCCCCGCCCTCCCCCGTGCCGGCTCCGCCCACCTCGTGCAAATCTATTCGACGTTGACCACGCCCATCCCAACCCCGCCCTCCCCCGTGCCGGCTCCGCCCACTTCATGCAAATCTTTTCGACGCTGACCACGCCCATCCCGGACAGGCTCCGCCCAATCCCAACCCCGCGCCACCTTGTGCAAATCTATTCGACGCTGACCACGCCCGTCTCGGATAAAGCCCCCCCCCCCGTGCCGGCCCCACCCACTGCGTGCAAATCTATTCGACGCTGACCACGCCCATCCCTCGAAGGCTCCGCCCCACCCCCGTGCCGGCCCCGCCCTAGAGCCGTCTTCGCCCAATCGCCCGCGTCGTTGCTGCCGCTGAGCTGTCTCCTGCCCGCTCCTTCTTCCGCCGTCGCGATGGTAGGATTTTTGGGGGGGCTCTGGGGGTTTTGAGGGGGGCCACAGGGGACCCATGGGGCTCTCAGGAGTGCGGGGTGTTTGTTGGGTTGGCGGGCGGGCGGGCGGGCGGTGGCGGGGGGTGAGGTTTCGCTGGACGGGCCCTGTTTGGGGTAGAGGGAGGCGCAGCGTTAGGGGGGGGCTATGGGATGATGGGGTTAAGGGTCTCGTGATTGTGATGATGGTGGTGGTGGTGGTGGTTCGTGATTGTGGTGATGACTCAAAAACCCGTGATTGCCGACACATCCCCTCGCGTCTGGAAGTGATGATTTTGATGGTGGTGATGAAAGAAATGATAGAAGTTATGTTTATGATGATGACGTTGGTGGTGATGTTATCGTTGGTGACCGATGACATTCTTGATGATGATGATGGTGGTGATGATGGTGGTTGGTGTTGATGAAAGTGGTGACGGTATTTTATGGTGATGGCGATGATGTTGACGACGGTACTGATGATGTGCGTTGGGTCACGAGTTGAGCATGTGACCAGTGTGTGTGGGGAGCGGTGGCGGAGTGGTTAGCGCACTGCGCTAAGAAGCCGGGTCACCCCAGTTCAATTGCTGCTCACGGTTAACACCAGTGAGGATTTATGTGAACCGATCTTGGGAGCTCTGGAGAATTGCACACACGGTGGTTAGGAGATGTTAACTCCCTCGCCTGGTATACAGGAGGTCATGGGTTCGATCCCGACCCTGACGCCTGCTGCTGTATATTTGGAGTTTGCGTGTCTCTCTCATCATCATCACGGTGGCTAGGAGATGTTAACTACCTCGCCTGGTATACAGGAGGTCTTGGGTTCGATCCCGACCCTGACGCCTGCTGCTGTATATTTGGAGTTTTCGTGTCTCTCTCTCATCATCAGGGTGGCTAGGAGATGTTAACTACCTCGCCTGGTATGCAGGAGGTCATGGGTTCGATCCCGACCCTGACGCCTGGTGTATATTTGGAGTTTGCACATTCTCCCCGTGGTGGTCGCGTGGATTTTTCTCCGGGTCCTCCGGTTTTGCCCTCCACATTTAGAATCAACGTCACGCGTTTTAGAGCAATTTGGTTGCTATACATTTCCACGTGATAAGCCACTTCGTTGAGCCATAATTTGTGGCAAGGTCGCTTCTTAACAAGAGCTATTTTTAGCTCAGTGGGCCTAACCTGGTAAAATAAAAAAAATTGTACAAATTTGACGAGCATTACCCTCGTATGCCAGAGTGGGTTGGAGATTGCTGCATTCCACTGTGTGGACGAGAGTTTACTTTTGTGATGGTGTTGATCATCCCGCTTCCGAGTCGTTCTATCTTTTGACACGAGTGAGCGAAGAGTGTGTGGCACATTACGAGTTGAAATTATCATTACTCCATTGGAACCTCCTTTGCCAGTAGCAAAATATGATCATTGTTTTTTTTTACCCTTTTATCTGGCAACAAAACTGACACCTTTTTTTTAACAAGGAGTTATGTTTGCATTGACCACAATACCTGCGGTCGGAATGCAAACAAAAAACATAACTGATAATGTATTGGCACTGTCCTTGAAATTGATTGGTCCACACCCGAGACAGCTTTCCTTAGAGCCTAGTCTCACATGATGTTGGACCAGATGACGCCTTTCTGGCAACAGATGACACCGAAAGGCGGATAAAAGGGTAAAAAACAATTATCATTACCACTTGACGTTTTCTCGAGAGGCCCCGCCGCTTCCACGGGCCGTTCTCTTGCAAAGGGTTGCACTGACCCCGCTAGAGATACCGGATGGATAACTCATCTCTTGATGTGACAATGAAAGCGTCATTGGGAATAAAACTATGGGGGGGTGGCGGGGGAGGAAGATTAAAATGAAAATGTCGACGTTGACAGTTGGTGTTGGTGCTCGGAGATCTTCACATCCCACACCGCAGCTCGGCTCTGCCGACCAAGTTCAAGAAGCTGCTGGTCCCGGGCAAAATCCAGCACATCCTGTGCACGGGGAACCTGTGCAGCAAGGAGTCGCTCGACTACCTGAAGACTCTCGCTGCTGATGTGCACGTGGTGCGGGGAGACCTCGACCAGGTGACGGATGGGCTAGCAGACAATGGCAACACACTGGGGCACACGAGAAATGTGTCCCACAATTCACACGTGTGGATTGAGAGTCGGGTGCTTGAGGGCACAAGTACATGGACTGGGGTGTATGAGAACATGGAGGGACACAAAGGCCAGAGTAGCTGAGGATATTGGGGCACTGGAAAAACAGGGGCACAGTGACATTGGGGCACAGAAACACTGGCACACAGAGGCACAGAGATAAGAGCATTGAGGACACGGAAACAAGAAGACATTGGTAGTGTCCTTGCATGTCTCTCTTATGCCGCTTATCTTCACGTTTGTGCCTATATCTGTCCCTGTGTTTGTCTTTGTGTGTTCCCTGTGTATATTTCCTTGTGTCCTGGTGCATGTCTCATTGTCTCTGCATGTCTCCTTGTGTACCCTTGCTTCCTTCTGTTTCCACATATCTTTCGTGTAACTCTGTGGATCTCTTGTGTCCCCGTGTTTCTCCACGTGTCTGTGCGTACCCCCATGTGGCCCCGCTTGTCCATGCATCTACATTCATGTCGAAAGAAAAATAAATTACGTGACTTTACCGAAAGAGTCAAAGAGTAATTCCTGCAGTCACGAAAGCTCCAAATCAAGTTTTAAATTCATGTCCCCGTATATCTGCTTAGTGTCCACATTTTTTTGTGTGTCCCCGTGCGTTTTCCTGTGTAGGTGGGGTCGTGGCCAGAGCAGAAGGTGGTGACGGTTGGGCAGTTCCGCATCGGCCTCTCTCACGGACACCAGCTTGTGCCATGGGGAGACGCAGCAGCACTGGCCCTGCTACAGGTGCCTGCAAATGCACACAGACAAAGATTCCCTATATAGCCTCAACGGGCTGTTGGGACAAGTGCTGTTAACGAGCACCTATGAAGGCAGGCATGGCACACGAGGGGGTGGGTGACCAGCACGATATCCGGCCGCATTTGTCTCCTCAGTGGCAATGTTTACACATCGCACCAGGGACTCATTTGAGGCTCAGTCGAGCTGGGGCAGGCCTACGACTGGTTCAGATAATCGTCACTGGTATTGGCCGTGAGCAGGAATCTAACTCGGGTTGCTGGGTTTGTAGTGCAGCGTGCTACCCGTTGCACACGCACCCTCAAAGACATACATGTAAGTGCATACTAACATACACTTGCACATACTGCACGTACATGCATGTACACAGATGTATACATGCATGTAGACAGATGTATAGACATACACGTGGGGAGCAATAGCATAGTGGTTAGTGTGACCTTAGAATCCCGCTCATGGCCAACACCAGGGATGATTATCTGAACCAGTCCCGGGCCTCTACAAGATCAACTTAGCCTCAAATGAGGCTGAGTCGATCCTGCTGGGTATGGTGCTAGGTATAGTGCTGGTAACCCCCCACCTCCTTGTGTGCTGTGCCGGCCTTCATAGGTGCTCACTAATGAGACTTGCCCCAAAAGTCCTTCGAGGCTATACAAGGGGGTCTTTGTCTCTCTGTATGGGTCTGTGTGTGTTTTCCTGTGTGTATTTGTGTGTCTGTGTGTGGCCACGTGTGTATGTGTGTCTCTGTGCCTGTGCGTGGGTTGGCAACAGAGGGAGCTGGCTGCTGACATCATCATCACGGGACACACGCACCGTTTCGAGGCGTTTGAGAGCGAGGGGAGGTTCTACATCAACCCCGGCTCCGCCACGGGAGCGTACAGCCCGCTGGACAGGTGTGCCATAATTGGGGGCACACGGTGGGCGACATGGGGGGGGAGAAATGGGGGAATGCGAGACATAAGTGACGTGGAGACATGGGAGTCGGACGTGGAGAAACATGGAGAGACATGGGGACACATGGGGAATCATGAGATTTAGGTGACGGGGTACATATGGGAAGACATGGGAGAAACATGGAGAAAAGGGGAGACATTGGTGATGGTGGACATACATGTATGTTGAACTTCTTTCGCACCGTACGTAGCCAACCAGGCTAATACATGGGGACAAGAGACGGGCCATGTTGTTATATTATGAGATACGGAGAAGATGCAGGATTACCCTGCTAAGGGCTGCCACATCTAGGCCGAGCCTATTACAAAGTGGCCATGGGAACGCGGTATCCGTGTTTCCCCTGGTGAAGTGCGTCTGGCAGTCGCGTATATCGCCCTGAATTTCCGTGCGTCTCTGTTTGTCCTTGCTAACGGACGGGCTTGTCTGTGTGCATCTCACTCTCTGTTCCCGGTAATGTGTGATTTTAACGGTCGCGTGTTCATCTCCACATCTCCGCAGTAATGTGGTGCCATCGTTCGTGCTCATGGACATTCAGGCGTCCACCGTGGTCACGTATGTTTATCAGCTGTTGGGAGATGACGTCAAAGTGGAGAGAATCGAGTACAAGAAGGCATGACGTGGCCTCCCCACTTCCAGCACTACCGCCTCCTGCACCACCACTTCTGCAACTAATTCACTGCTACTAACTCACTGCTACTCGTTGACCACAACACAAATGCTACTACTCGTACTGACACAGCATCGCTGTTACTACTAACACAGCACTACTACCACCACCAGTACCAACGCAATGCAACAACGACTAATGGATACAATTAGGGGCACAAGAACAACCAGTACAACTGCACATAAAATACATCCACTGCTACTCGCATCATACAACTAGTACTACTACTGCCACTCGTTTAATACGTTAGAGCCATGAATACTATTACTACGTGCGTGATACGAGTAGTTCTATTAATATTAACAGCAGGACGAGAAGCAGCATCACCAACACTACTGACAACTGCGTCTTTACCACCGTTATTTACATCACCACCATCCACTGCACCACTACCTTCAACTATATGTCGCCATTACAAATACCACCACTACCACAAACTTTGTCACAAACGCCGCCACTAAACCGCTACGCAATCGTAAACATCACCACCTCCCACAAACGCGACCATCGCAAATACATCACTTTCAGCAGGCAGCTGTAACATCTGCACAGATGGATTTTGGCGAGTGATGCATCTGTTTAATGTCGCCTTTACACATTCCGACGTGACAATTTAAATTAAAGTGCCACATTTCATCTACACGCCAACTCTGGTTTCAGTGTCTGTTTTTCTTAATGCCTCCTAAGTGTGTGAATTTAAACCCTGGACCTGGTCTCTCTCACAGGGGGTTCATAATGGGCATGTAAGTACACCGACTACCAACCTAGTTAGATCCCCCTAGGTTCAATCCACGGGGCAGGCTGTGAGGTGGCATAGTAGCGTGGTTGGTGTGGGTTCTGGTGGGAAGGAATGAAATGAAATTCAACTTTTAAAACTTTTTTTTATTTTACGAGGTAAGGTCCACTGAGCTATATAGCTCATTTTCACGCACCACCTGGCCACACATGATGGCTCAACGCAGTGGGTTTGTGTGTAAACTTATAGCAACCTGATACGCTAAAAACGCACGTTTATCAATGTGGAGGGCCAAACCTGACGACCCGCAGAAAAATCCACGCAACCACGGGGAGAGAGAGCGAGAGAGACTCACACACACCACAAACTTCCAAACGTACAGAAGGCATCGTCAGGGCCGAGATCGAACCCACGACCTCCTGCGTACCAGGCGGACTTCCTTCGCACCGTACGTAGCCAGCCGTGCTAATCGACTGGGAAAAAAAAACAACAGCGTGAATGATCCTCGGCTTCACATGCGCGTCCCATCGTTCAGCGCCCCGCAAATAAGGTCCTTTCAACGTGACTTTACCGAAAGAGCTAAGAATATGAATGACTGCAGTCACGAAAGCTTTAAATCAAAATTTAAGGTCCGCCTACACGAGCGGTTCGAACCACGCGAATGACGTCATCGCCTCGGTGTTACAACAAGTGACGTCACCGCCCCCCGGTGACGTTACGGCCGGGCATGGCCGCCCGAGGTGGGAGGTTCGTCCTCCCTCTCCTCTCGTCCTCCTCGCCGCCGCCGCCGTCCTCCTCGTCGCCCCTGCCTTGAAGCCCGCCCGCCCGCCCGCCGCGGCGATGGAGACGGTGGAGGAGGCGGCGACGGCGCTGTCCCGCGCGGGGCCCGAGGCTCCGTGGCTGCGTCGCGGTGAGGCGAACCTCGCCGCCCTGTCGTGGCGCCGTCTCTACCTGAGCCGCGCCAAGCTCAAGGCCTCGTCACGCACCTCGGCGCTTCTCTCCGGCTTCGCCATGGTGAGACACGGGCGCCGGGGTGGGCGCGGGCAGAGAGAGAGGTAGATAGAGAGAGAGAGGGGACGAGGCTGCGTGCGTGTTGCTTGCTGGTGGCTGGGGAGCGGTGGTGTCGGTGGTTAGCGCGCTACGCTCCGACCCCTGCTCCTCTACCCCCCCTCCTCCTCCGCCTTGGTTCGTGTTCCCCTCTTGACGAGTGTCTGAACCGGTCCTGGGCATCCCCTAGGTCGACTCGGCCTCAAATGAGTACCTGGTGCGGTGTGTAGTAAACATCGCCATTGGGGGAGACAAAGGCGGCCGGGCCGTGGTGCTGACCACCCACCCACCTTTCATAGGCGCTGCCCGCTAAGAGCACTTTGACCCAGCGGAGTGTGTGTATATATACACATTCTTGGTTCTTTCTTTCGGTAAAGTCACGTTGAAGGGGAAACAATAAAATAATAAAAAAATATAAAAAACAATAAAATATCTCACGACGTTTTCGACTGCAGCACAAGCAGTCGTCGTCATCAGGTGTGAAAGCCAAAGGGCAAGAACATTTGAAAAATCCAGCGGAGTGTGTTCAAGGCTAAACGGGCGATGTTTTAGTGGTGACTGGGTCAAGTAGCCCAGCATGCCCAGCCACCGTATGCATGCCCGAGCAGCTTCTGTTTGGCCGGATAGAGAGAGTCGGGGAGGGCCTGGAGAAGAGATGGACTTAGTGCGTGCGGTACGGGAGGATGGGGAGCCGAGTGGACTTGCCGAAGATTGGTATTAAGATCGGCCTCTCTGGAGTGAGGAGGCTCGTGAAAGGGACTCTGCCGAGCAATCCGGAAGGCAGTCGTCCTCCAGCGATAGCGGGAGGGCAGAGGAGCGACGCTCACAACAACGAGCCGAGCGCTGGACGGATAAAAAAAGCCGCAGCACGTTGCCAGTCGTCTCAGTCAACCCACGGCACCGGGATCCGTCCTGTGACCTGTCAGCGACTCTTTCACGTGGCTTTGAAGTGCACATAGCCTGGCACAAGCGCCGTGGTGGTGTCACTGGCACTCCGTGGCGAACGGCGGTTGTTGTTGTACTTGTCTGGATGTGGTGGTGGTGACCACGCCATCTCATCATGAAACCCATGACACCTGGATCTGACCTGTGACCTGTCAGCGAGCCTTCCGACACTTCACGTGTCCTGAAGGTGCACTTAGCCTGGCACAAGCGCCCCCGTTGACATCACCGCCACTTGGTAGCGAACCGCGCGCGTTGCAGTTAATAATGCCGATGGCGCGGGGAGATTGACGTGGCTCCGTGCGACACACCTTACCCATATTTTAACGCCTGTAGCTGTGGGGTTGTTATGCGTCGTGGTACTACTACTGTACATTGTAGTCGTATAGTATTACACTGACTCGTGCGATACCACATGCTTGTGGTGTTAAATGGGTTGCATTGTTGTGCTCGTTCTACTTTTGGATGCGTCTGCCTAGAGGCGGATCTGGATACTTCCCGAGGGGGGGGCGGTTCTGAAATTCCCAAGCTTTTTAAAATAGAGTCCTACGTTAATAATAAACATATTAAATGTAATTTCTCTGGTAAATATCAATGAAATACCAGTATTGGGTGAGGGGGGGGGTGGTGGTCTCAACGTCGATCCACCACTGTGTACGCTGTGGCGTGAGTTTCCACCCTTAAGTTGCACTTTTAATGAGTTCCACTGTTGGACGTGTGTTTGTGTGTGTGCTGAGCCCAGGTGGCGATGGTGGAGGCGCAGCTGGATGCGCGCTATACTTACCCACCCGCGCTCCTCGTTTCTTTCTCCGTGTGCACCACCGTGCTGGTCGCCGTGCACCTCTTCGCGCTCATGGTCAGCACCTGCATTCTGCCCAATGTGGAGGTGAGTTCTTCGTCCATAACCCCCCCTTTTTTTGCCAACCGGCGACGTACGCCTGTACATCGTCGTCCATGTGTACGTCATTGGAACGGAACCGGAAGAAAAAAATAAAGTAACTTTATGGGAACCGAGGGCTCCTACAAGGCCCGAGCAGAAGGGTGTGTGGCACATTTCGGCGCCAGCTTTCATTGAGTGCGATCGTGTTGCTACGGCTCTCTGCAGTGAGGACAATGTTTAAAAAGAAAAAAGTGCTATGCTTCTCTAAATAAAATGAACGCTTAACCACTTGCGCGTTCCGAGATGCAGCGGCGAACAGGACCCAACCTGCAACCCGCAGATGTTTCGGAACGGGAAAGGGTTAATAGGAATTATATTCCTTGCCGAATTTTTTTTCTCTAAATTTCAGGTGTATTGTGTGACCATTGATGGCGCCTCCTCTTGCTCAACTGTACATTAGAACAGCAGCTCACTGTTGCTCAACTTATTGGTGTTTTTTGGAAAGCAGTTAAGTGCATTGAAGAATGAAAGCTGCAATATGGTGATATTGTACGAATTCTGGCAACTTTGATCAACTTAAGTATCAAAAGCAGTGTTAATTTAATGAACCCTTTACGCTCTATTTCATAAAAACATTCCTTTGACCTCCTGGCCCCTGTTCTGCCGCTCCGTGGCGCACATTAGGCCAGAAAAACATCCATGGCCTCAACCGTTAGCGACTGTTTTGTTTGTGTTTTGGTTATTAGGCGGTGTTAATATGGTCGGTGCATTGGGTGGCGCACTGTGCTATGAACCCTGTGACCTGAGCCGGATTGCTGACTACGGCTAACATCAGTGGCGAGTGATATCTGGGACAGTCCTAGGCACCCCCACCTTCAGCCTGCACCGACCAGCATGGTGAAGTTTGGCTAAACAACTACCATGACTTCATTAGACCTCCTTTGCCAGTATCAAAATGTAATAATAAGGTTTGTCCCCTTTTTTCTGGCAACAAAACTGAAACCTTTTTTTTACAAGGATTCATGTCTGCATTAACCACAATACCTGCAGTCAAAATGCAAACAAAAAACATACTATGATAATATATGCATTGTCCTTGAAACTGATTGGTCCACACCAAGGGACGGCTTTCTTTTGAGTCTCGACCCAATTGGTGCTCGACCAGATGACGCCTTTTAATAAATGATGCCTTTTAATTAAAAAAATCTATCTTTTTAAACAATCTTTTTTATAATAATATCTTATGTTTCGGTTTGGGTCTAATTGGCGTCATCTGGTCGAGCACCAATTGGGTCGAGGCTCAAAAGGAAGCCGTCCCTTGGTGTGGACCAATCAGTTTCAAGGACAATGCATATATTATCATAGTATGTTTTTTGTTTGCATTTTGACTGCAGGTATTGTGGTTAATGCAGACATGAATCCTTGTAAAAAAAGGTTTCGGTTTTGTTGCCAGAAAAAAGGGGAAAACCCTATTATTAACTACCATGACTGCTTCATCCAGAGTCAGATTCACAGAATCCTGTAAAAACCCTGCGGTGTGATATTGTGGTTTGTGTTGTATTGTATGCTAAATTAACAGGCCTATTTTCGCTGTTTCTGTACGTTAACATGAATTGTGTGTTTTAGTCCAGATGCTGCTGGAAAACGTACATTTGTTCAAACAAAAACACGAGATCAGCGTCGACCTCCTGGGTCTCATCAGCAGTGAGGCTTGGTCGATAAATAATGCTGAGTTGTTGTAGATGTTATTGGCAGGAGCATTCTATCTTTATGACAGGGCCTCATGGAGAGACAGAGGGAAAATCTGTTGATATTATCATCTGTAGCGTTCCACTCCACCCATAATGAGTTTTAAAAAAATATATGGCGTGCATATGTGTGTTGTGCGTGTGTTGACTTCCCAGGAGTAATGCGTGCGTTGTGTGTTCTGTTTTGTGTGAATATTGTGCGTATGTGTGTTGTATATGTTGGCTGTGTAATGTGTGTGCATTTTAATTGCGTTATATGTTGTGTATGTTGTATGTATGGAGTATGTGTTTTGTGTGTATACCGTGTATGTTATGTGTATATTCTATGTATATGTCTCGTGTGTGTTGCGTATGTGTGTTGTGTTCTTAGGCGGTGAGTAATGTGTGTGGTATCCATACTGTTTGCGCTTAATGTGTGTTTTTTGTGTTCTGTTTGTGTGTGTATCGTATGTCTAGTATTGTGCGTGTGTGTGCTGTGCATGTGTGTATTCTGTGTGTTGTATGAATCTGCTGTCTGTTGTATGTGTATTTTACATACTTTCTTTTAACTCACTGTTGTTGTCGTATTCTCAAATCTTGTAACTCAGTTTTAACCCACTTCCCAATATGGTATCGACTGCAAACTTAGTATACTTATGTCATACTGATGACATTACTATATTCTATCATAAAAAAAATCTATCTTTTTAAACAATCTTTTTTTATATCTTATGTTTCGGCTTGGGTCTAATTGTCCATGCTCAACTGACGTTGGCTGTAATTGGCCACGGCCCGGCCCCTTACGTTATGGAAAGCTTCGGGGCCCACTTCCTGGACTCGTGGAGTTTTGCCATTACTAGTACATTTCATAAAAGCGTGTTTAAAAAAAAGTTTTTTTAATGTTACTTATTTTATGTGTATGCTGTATGTCTGGTATTGTCTATGTATGTATGTATGTGCGTGATGTGCATGTGTGTATTGTATGTATAGTCTGTCTATGTTGTATGTGTATTGTGCATGTGTTGTACGTGTGTGTGTATGTGTATGTATTTGTTGTGTTCCCAGGCGGTGAGCAATGTTCACAACCTAAATGCAGTCGCAGAGTCACCCCATGAGCGTCTGCAGAAATACATCGAGCTGGCGTGGGGCTTCTCCACAGTGCTGGGCACTCTGCTCTTCCTGGGTAACACAGCCATGCATTACCTGCACCCGCACAGCTGTTCCTGGGTAACACAAAATGACAAAGATCCTCCATATAGCCTTAATAGTGATGTTAGCAAGCACCTATTAAGGCCGGCATAGCACACGAGTTCGCTTTTGCCTCCCCTAGTGGCAATGTCTATACACCACACCAGGTGCTTATTTAAGGCTGATTTAACCTAGGGGATGCCCAGGACCAGTTCAGATATTCATCACCGATCTTGGCCGTGAGTGGGAATGGAACTCGGATCACCAGATTCATTGGTCAGTGAGCTAACCACTTCACTACCGATCCCCACGCACTCACACTGCTGTTTGGTGAACACAGCCATACACTCGCACACACACCATTCTCTCCTGGGTAACACAGCCACACACATACACTTTCCTTCTGATTAACATTCAAAGACGAATACAAACATCCCCCTTATAGCCTTAACAGATTGCTGGGGCAAGTGCTGTTAGCGGGCACATATGAAGGTTGGCACGGTGTACACCAGGGTGTCGGTGGCCCCCACTACCCAGGCCGCCTTTGTCTCCGCAGTGGTGATGATTATCCGAACCGGTCCTGGGCCTCCCCTAGGTCGACTCAGCCTCAAATGAGTACCTGGTGCGGTGTATAAACATCGTGACTGGGGAGGCGAAGCCTGTCGGGTGTGGTGCTGGCCACCCCCACCCTCGAATCCTGTGCCGGCCTACATAGGTACTCTCTAACAGCACTTTCCCCAAAATTCTGTTAAGGCTGTACAGGGAATCTTTTTCTTTGTTGTGTGAAGAAACAGCACTGGAGAGACATTAAGGTGGCTAGCTCTGGTGTTGGCCACACCAACCTTATCGCCCGTATGTGCCATGCTTGCTCGTTGACGGAACTTGCCCTGACAACCTGTGTTAGGCTCAACGGGATAATGATTTGTCTTTGATTACACGCTTCACGTGGTATCGATGATGATCGCAGTGGGTTGTTTTCTTGTTGTTTAGCGGAGGTGGTGTTGCTGTGCTGGGTCAAGTTCCTCCCCGTGGGGTCTACATTATCGGGGCCGAGGGGAGGAGGGGCTGGGGAGAGTGTTGGGCAAGGAGACCTGAACCAAACTGAGGTAATGACGCGGGATCGTACGACGTCGTAGGCATCTCACGATCCATTCCTCCCCCAGTGCTTTCATGAATTGTGACTATGCAGCCATCATTCGGTTTTGTATTTTCATCAGCTTAAATGTAACATTATATTTGCCTGGGGACGGGGGGGAGAACACTGGGGGGGCCATTGTCGGCGCGCTGTGCTGTGAGGTTCACGATTATTGCCGAGTTTTTTTTTTTTTCCCGGCCACGGCTCACAACAGTGGCATGTTGCATCTGAAGCGGTCCTTCACCAACCCACACACATGCGTGGTGAAGTACGGTCATACAACCCCCATGACTGACGCGTCATCAGGAGTCAGCCTTCAGCCACTCCATGAATTGACATTTTTCTAATAATTAATTATTATGAATAAAAGATTGAAAATGTTTACGCCATTAAATGTTCATATCTTGCAAATAAGCAACTCAAATTGGTTCTTGGGCCTTACAATACATCACATAATGCATAATTTGTGAGTTACAATTGTTGGTTTTCTGGGATCATGCCGATGTGTTATCTAGCTGGGCGGTGAATGCTGAGCATGCCTGTAATCCAATACTGTGGAGGCGAGGGTTAGTGGATCACACAAATGTTGGGATACTCCTTTTCCCATGGTTGTCAAGGTGTCATACCCTGACTCACCAGGAGAAGGCGGTACAACAAGTGATCCTTATACAAAATGGCCGAGGCAATTAAGTATTTTATTTCTGGGACACTATTTTTTTCCAGGGGTGTTACTTCACTCTGCGACTGGGGTACCAATCAATCCGAAATCAGTACCACACTCTGCGATGTCGAAACGCAGCGAGGACGATAATGCGCTGAAACCCTGAACGCTCGTATGCACCGTAGTGCATCGTGTACAGCTTGTCGAGATGAGTCGATTGCCACATCGCGCGACCATCAACAGAATAAAAATGACTGCATCACGGACATTATGCAAGAGCCGGGGTACTATGGACTAATCTCCATTTGTTCCATATGGTGTGGAATGCTGTGGGTTTTCTCCGGGTGCTCTGGCCTCCTCACACATGTAAATACTAATTAATTAGCCAAAAACACCTTTATATGTAGAGGATCGCAGAACTTTAGGGGGGGGTGGAATTTGGCACCGGCTGACCACGTGGCTGCCTTTCCTACTTGTATGTGGTTCATCGCACCTCTGAATTGTTCTCTGTCTTCGAGAGCAAGCGAATACTGTGCGTGACAACTTGAAATTCTTAAGTTTAATAATTGCACTGTTTGACAATTTTTTTTTTAATTATTCATGACGCCATCTTTTGTAGGTTCATCTCTGTCCCCCCCCCCCCCCCCCCCCCATCAAGTTTAATGCTTCCATTGTGATGTTCTGTGTTGGTTGCCACCGTGACCCTGTGTCCTGTAACCTTGTGATCCTGTACCTCATGTATTAATGCCACCACGTCGCTGTGTTGCTGTGACCCTGTGTCCCCATGCCAAGTAAAATTACTTGCTTTCTATTACCCCAACATTATCCAGATTGTGCCATCTATATCAAGTCATGAGAAAACATTTCCATTGAAATCTCACACAGCAGTGAATCCCTTCGTGTTTAGAGACCCACCCACGGAACCGGACAGCGCAGCGGCAACCTCTTAAGATCCCTCTAGTCCGCACAATAGGGGGACAGTACGTTCACAATCGCTTTGCTGTTCAGAGTAATGTTCATTGCCCGACAGTCTAACTAATGTCTTTAGTTCTCAGCGCCATACGTTAGCCACACGAAGTGGAGAAGCAAATCTAACACGGTGGTGTTTTTTTTTTTCTTATTCACGGTTGACTGGGCTGAAACCATCAACTTATTACACTCTCGAACCTGGATTATTGACAGTAGAGTTTAGGGAATGTGTGAGTAAATTTCGAATTTGTCAAATTTGGACCATGATGCGTGGCCCACGTGGCCTACTCTTTTTCTCATAACGTCATAGGATTTTAATGTCCGCTGCGAAGCGGATGGCGTGTATTCATGAATAATACACACACGGTATTAACCAGGGCGGCCACTGGGCTAAAATCGCAAACCTGTGCAACAAGCGGAAAGTGCGCCGCCGCTTGGCCCCGTCACCGATGTCCCCCGTGTGTTCCCCTCAATCCCCGTGCATTGCAGATGGCACCACCCCCGTCCCTGCCCGTGGGCCTCCAGGCGGCGTGGGCGTCCACGGCGGTGATGGTGCCAGTGCTGGTGCTGTTCGTGTGCTTCACCGTGCACTTCTACCACTCGCTCGTCAAGCACAAGACGGCGCGGCACAGCCACCAGCTCGACGAGCTCTCCCTGTTGCGCGTGCAGCTCGACCCGCCCGGCAACGCCGTCAACGCAACGCAGCACCACCACGGCGGTGGCGCGGCCCCGCAGCAGCACCACGGACAGCGTGACCGCGTGCAGGCGCACGACAATGGCCACCATAACCACGGGCAGCAGCAGCAGCTCAGCTACGGGCGCGGCACCAACCACGGGCAGCACGACGACGGCCTTGACGGCGACCGTCACGGGCACCGCTACATGCACGGCGATGGGCACGGGCAGGCGTGATGGCGAACTCGCTCGTGCGCACAGCCACGGCCATGAGCACAGCAGCAGCAGCAGCATTAGCGGCATCAGCAGCAGCCGTGGGTTTTAGCAGACTGACCGGCGGCGGTGGCGGCTGTCTTGGACCGAACGGCGGCCGTATGGGTTGGGGACGACATCGCCGGTTGGTGCCAATTAAGTGTTTTTTTACCTCCATCAAAAACATGACGTCTGTTGTCACTGTAAAGTCATGAGAGCGGTAATGAGGATTGCATACATTTCGAGGTGCGGGAGCAGAGGTTTTTTGAGAGTTTCTGTAAAGGATTTGAAGAAGGAGGAGAGATGTTTTAAACATTTACGTGTGTTGCATCCACTTACATTAATCTTGAGTGCAGTTTTCTGGGTTTGGCGTCAGGAATTGAATTCAACTCCTGAAAGTTGCCCGCCCACAGCAGCAGCTTGAGGTAGAAACTTGAGAAGAGAATCGTTCAACACGCAGCCCATCTCCCAAACACTGCAACTTTTGGGAGAGCGCTGAGCTGTTTCTTCCAGACACGTGTAGCTTGGTTTGATGGGAGCTTACTGTGGGTTTTGCGGAGCCTCGGAGGTTGGGAAGAAGGAGTCCCCCACACACGTGTGAGTGGTTGGCTGATGATGTGGGCCCTCATGTTAAAGAGGGTGGGCAGGCAGTACGACCCCCCCCCCCCATCTTGAGACAGGGTAAAGTGATGGGCAAGGGGATGATCTCCCCAGCAAAAACTGCCAGTTATATTGCAGGCTGCCTTTTTTATGTGACATCATCACTGCTGTTTGGACCACACAGGACAGGTTCTGCAGAAAGGGATGGATTCCCTGGTGGGTCTGCCCTTAAAATAGTTAGGGGGGAACCACGCCTGTTGTAAACGAGGTAATGGGGCGCATCTCTCTTGGTGTACCAAGAAAGGTCCTGGTTTAAATTATTGCAACATCTTGCTCCATATGCCAAGGAGAAGCTTGCAGAAGCCACTTTATGAATACAGTCAGGGGTGGTGGTCTGGCACAATGTTATTTGTCCACCACAGCAGACGTATCTCCAAGTACGACTGGGCCTACACCTCTGCTTTATGAACCTCTGAGCTGCAAGCGAAAGATTTGTTACTCGAAGTCCACCGCTCTTAGCACAGACCGTGGTGGCATCGCCACCACTGGGTGTGGTGCATGGCAAGTGGTGTTTTGTCGGCTTTGTTTCCGTCTGCTCGTGTGTGTGTGTTTGTGTCAACAAGCTTGGCACGTGTGTTGTGATATCGCCATCTTTTAGTGGTGAATATTTTTGTACTGTGTCTGATGGTACGCGTATATGCGGTTTCTCCCTCGTCGGTTACATAGCCTCATGACCTTTCCGTTTCATCTTCAATGTCACAATGGAAAATAGCGTTCGGGGTATATAGGATGGTGGGTGTGCAGCTAGGTAGGTACATAGGTAGATCAGTCTGTGGATAGGGTGGTGATTGGTGAGGTGGGTAAATATTTAGTTTGGTACATATGTAGATGGCTGGTTCGGTGAGAAGGTAGGATGACACCTATTTGTTTAACCACGTGAGAGAACTCGAGAGACCGGGATAGTCTCATTTGCAATAGTTGACCCTTGGTCACTAAAATGGCAAAAGCAAATAAAATAAAGTAGAGCAATGATGCGAATAGAAATTGGAGCAAAAACAACTGCATTACATGAGACGTTGAACATTTTGCACAGCCAAATCAATGTTAAATAATAAATTCCCTGCAGCTTGAGCTGATTCTGGCAGCTTGTATTGAGACTGGTCGTTAGAATAATGACATTTAAGCAACAGAAACATTGGTAATGTGACGTAGTGTGACTTTTGTATTAATATGTACACATGAAAACATGAAGTCGAGTGCAATTGCAAGTGAAGTTATATAGAAATGACAGCTCGGCATCAAATTGTGATGTACATGGGAGAGTAACCAGGGACTTTTTTTTAAACGATGGGCTTCTAGGTGTTGGAGTTAGGAGGCAGAGGGGTAGTACAGTGAGGGGAAAAAAGTATTTGATCTCCTGCTGATTTTGTACGCTTGCCCACTGACAAAGAAATGATCAGTCTATAATTTTAATGGTAGGTTAATTTGAACAGTCAGAGACAGAATAACAACAAAAAAATCCAGAAAAATGTATGTCAAAAATGTTATAAATTGATTTGCATTTTAATGAGGGAAATAAGTATTTGACCCCCTCAATCAGAAAGATTTCTGGCTCCCAGGTGTCTTTTATACAGGTAACAAGCTGAGATTAGGAGCACTCCCTTTAAGAGTGTGCTCCTAATCTCAGCTCGTTACCTGTATAAAGACACCTGTCCACAGAAGCAATCAATCAGATTCCAAACTCTCCACCATGGCCAAGACCAAAGAGCTCTCCAAGGATGTCAGGGACAAGATTGTAGACCCACACAAGGCTGGAATGGGCTACAAGACCATTGCCAAGCAGCTTGGTTAGAAGGTGACAACAGTTGGTGCAATTATTCGCAAATGGAAGAAACACAAAATAACTGTCAATCTCCCTCGGCCTGGGGCTCCATGCAAGATCTCACCTCGTGGAGTTGCAATGATCATGAGAACGGTGAGGAATTAGCCCAGAACTACACGGGAGGATCTTGTCAATGATCTCAAAGCTGCTGGGACCATAGTCACCAAGAAAACAATTGGTAACACACTACGCCGTGAAGGACTGAAATCATGCAGCGTCCGCAAGGTCCCCCTGCTCAAGAAAGCACATATACATGCCCGTCTGAAGTTTGCCAATGAACATCTGAATGATTCAGAGGACAACTGGGTGAAAGTGTTGTGGTCAGATGAGACCAAAATGGAGCTCTTTGGCATCAACTCAACTCGCCGTGTTTGGAGGAGGAGGAATGCTGCCATATGACCCCAAGAGCACCATCCCCACCGTCAAACATGGAGGTGGAAACATTATGCTTTGGGGGTGTTTTTCTGCTAAGGGGACATGACAACTTCACCGCATCAAAGGGACGATGGATGGGGCCATGTACCGTCAAATCTTGGGTGAGAACCTCCTTCCCTCATCCAGGGCATTGAAAATGGGTCGTAGATGGGTCTTCCAGCATGACAATGACCCAAAACACACGGCCAAGGCAACAAAGGAGTGGCTCAAGAAGAAGCACATTGAGGTCCTGGAGTGGCCTAGCCAGTCTCCAGACCTTAATCCGATAGAAAATCTGTGGAGGGAGCTGAAGGTTCGAGTTGCCAAACGTCAGCCTCGAAACCTTAATGACTTGGAGAAGATCTGCAAAGAGGAGTGGGACAAAATCCCTCCTGAGATATGTGCAAACCTGGTGGCCAACTACAAGAAACGTCTGACCTCTGTGATTGCCAACAAGGGTTTTTGCCACCAAGTACTAAGTCATGTTTTGCAGAGGGGTCAAATACTTATTTCCCTCATTAAAATGCAAATCAATTTATAACATTTTTGACATTCATTTTTCTGGATTGTTTTGTTATTCTTTCTCTCACTGTTCAAATAAACCTACCATTAAAATTATAGACTGATAATTTATTTGTCAGTGGGCAAACGTACAAAATCAGCAGGGGATCAAATACTTTTTTCCCTCACTGTAGGTATCCTTATAAAATGACTGGCTGTCCAAGTCTCGTATCTTTCAATGTGTTTAAAATTGCCAAGTAAAGCCACGGAGTTGGCACCTGTGACGTTTCAGGTTTATGTTTGATGCTTCCGTGATACACGTAACAAGATTTCTCAAGTGTAGCAGTATTTCTGACTTTCAGCTAAGGTCACTTTGACAGCTGCATTAGGCCCCGGAGAGACGCTTCGGGTCCAGGGCTTGAATTTAAGACCTCAGTGTTGCTGGCTTAGTGCCTTGTCACAAGCATCATCCACTCGGAGAGCTCGCCAGTCATCTCGTGCGCTTTTTTCCACATTTAATCCGTCTCATTGCTTGAACACTGCAAAACGACTCTAGCTCAAACATGTGCACCGATCTGTGCCCTTGTATTCAGAGCAGGTGAAGTCAAGAGTTCATAACAGGCAATGACGGTTGGTGCCAATAAATCCTGCCATCGCTTCTGCCAGATCCTTAAGCTGTTCCAGAGTCAAGCCACCCGACCTTCATAGTTTGCAGCAGCACGTCACTATTTGGATCCATGTGCGCAGACTTTCTGATAGTATAGGTCGGTGATCTTCACTAATTTTCAGAGGGGGGGGGGGGAGGGGGGCAGGCCGCCGTACCGCCTGCAAGGAGCTGTTTTCACATTTGATATTGTCGGGGGTTGCACGTAAAGGGCCCACACTAAAGGCCACCAGGGGCTGCCAGTGACCTCTGGTGGCCTCGCATTGAACACTGGGAAAGATAAATGTGCACATGACACATTTACTTTTGTTTTGATGAATCTTTAATCGCAGTTGCAAAGGATTATAAGTAACTAATTTTACCTCCTTAGAGTGTACTACACGAACATGTATACACGGTACAAATGGTTTTATTTAAAGCTTTTTTTTGTACGTATGTATTTTAAAAATGTATTTATGTTAATGTGTGTTTTGTATTGCGGGAAAACCTTGGAACGATTTTTGCGTTTCGGTCACTTAATGACATTGTTAAGTGCCGTCTCCAAATGTCTTGATCGTCTGTCTTTCCATCTCTGGATCACTGTAACAGTAGGGCTATTGCCTGAAACGTTTGCCTGTTATATATTCTGCCGTATGTCAGCTGGCATACAGTAGAGCAGCGCGTCTCCCGAGTTCTCAATCGAACATTGTGAACATTGTGTTAGATTTGCGAATTATGTTGCGCGTCATAAATTGTGGTTATTATTTTTGTTATTCTTTATGGCCAGCCTAAGATGTGCGGCCACAGAGTCACCTCGGTATGGAGTCTTTTTTTTACATGTGCAGCCTTCTTGTGAATTAACTGCTTTAACTAGGGCCCCTCCCCGGGGAACATTACACATGGGAGCATAAAATTAGAGTAGAACAATGACTTTTTACTGCCACTTCTAGCCCGGGTGTATCCCTGCAGCTGCCTGCAACGCATTTTGTGCATATCTGCTCGACTTCCGAGATCCGAAGAGATCGAGTACATTCTGGGTGATTTGGTCGTCGGGTTTTTGAAACTTGTAAAATTAATAATAGGGTTTTTTTCCCCTTTTTTTCTGGCAACAAAACTGAAACCTTTTTACAAGGAATCGTGTGTGCATTAACCACAATACTTGTGGTCAAAATGCAAACAAAAAACACGTTCTGATAACATATGCATTGTCCTTTAAACTGACTGGTCCACACCAGAGACGGCTTTCTTTCGTCTCAATTGGGCAAAGGAGGTCTAATGATGTAGATGCTTACCCCGAGCCCTCATTACTTTGATAGTGCATTGTCTTTGAGCTGTACGCCTTTTGGCGTCATCTGGTCTAACACCAAATGAGACGAAAGAAAGCCATCTCTGGTGTGGACCAGTCAGTTTCAAGGACAATGCATATGTTATCAGAGCGTGTTTTTTGTTTGCATTTTGACCACAAGTATTGTGGTCAATGCACACATGATTCCTTGTAAAAAGGTTTCAGTTTTGTTGCAAACTCGTGTTATGAACATTGAATTGAGCGTGCAAGAATCGAGTTTTCGATTAATATATTTTGCAAGCAATGGGTTAACATCGCCCGTGCAAGCCCATTAGTTGATACTTCATTTACCACTAGTGGTTACTACGTGCACTACAATTCCGAGAAAATCGAGTCTTGAATCTCAACCCCAAGTTGCGACAGCTCATCGAATTGTCGGGGGAAGGAGTAAATAATTGCATCCTCCATAATTGCACCCGGTCTAAAAGAGCACCACTGCCACCAATCGGAGTATGTTTTGGGGCCCAGGGAACAAGGTCTTGGTGACGTTAATGGGCATGGAATGATCATTTATGGGCAGATAGGGTTTCAGTTTTCATTTATTTCATTTATTTGGTATAGCCCTGTGAGCCGTTCGGCTCTTGAATCGGGTTCAACCTCAACAAACAAAAAACAAGGGTTGAGGTTATGGATAGGTCTGGGGTTAGGGATAGGATTTAGTTAGAGCTGCTGGTTGGCACAGCAACTATTTTAACCTTATGGTGGTACCCCGGGGTAGCATAGTTCCCCGGCTCTCGCATAATGTCCGTGACACAGTCATTTTTAGTCTGTTGATGGTCGGCGATGCGGCAGTCGACTCATCTTGACGAGCTGTACACGATGCACCACTACGGTGCATACGAGCGTTGAGGGGTTTCAGCGAAATCGTCCTCATTGCGTTTCGACATCGCGGAGTGTGGCACTGATTTCGGATTGATTGGTACCCCAGTCGCGGAGTTAAGTAACACCCCTGGAAAAAAAAAAGTGTCCCAGAAATAAAATATTGTATTGCCTCGGCCGTTTTGTATTATTTGGTACCCCGAGGTACCACCATAAGGATAATTTATCAGAACAGCAGAATTTCTCACTTTCCCATGCGCTGACCGAGTGCTGCTCTGCAATCATGGAAGCATTTTCAGTTGCGGTACAGCACGATTTGAGGTCGCAGGTTATTTTTTATTCCTGATCAGCCATCCCTGTAATTTCCATTCAAAAACCAGTGTGTCTCCTTGTTCTAACGGGCAGCACTCACGGTCCCTGAGTGTCGGTGGTGAAAATTCCGCATTCCTATGGCGTTTACGGAGTACAACGGTACACTGCTGTTAATGTGGATGTTTAACCCAGTGATAATAACTCGCTGAAGGAAACTGGCCATTGTGAGTTAACAACGTCTTCACAACTAATTCCTGAATTACAACACTTTCTGTAACTGATGAGTAACTTAGTTCATCAGGTACAGCAAAGTGTATGGAGGCTGGAAACAAATAAGAGGAATAATACGTACAAAATGTGAAATGTATACATCAAAGGTGCGATTGCGACGATTAATGACCTTGCGTCTAATATGACATCACCATGTTTTACATGCAAAATATGGCCACATTTTAAATCTTGGTGGTCTCCTTCCTTAAATTTTCGAATTTTTGTTTTGTCTAAGCAAGTGACAACTCAAAAAAGACCGACAGGGTCTCATTTGTAAGAGGAGTGACCTGGGGCATTTGTCTGCTGCCATCGGGGAGTTAATGATTGCTGCGTATAATACCAATTGATTATTTTGCAGGTAATTTTAGAGAATTGACAAACTTTGGCCCTCCTGCTGGCACACAGTGGTCTACTCTATAACAAAATATATAAACGATTTTATTTTACCTATTGAGCTAAATATTGCCCTTTACAGAAGCGGCCTGGCTATGAAATGATAGCTCAACGAAGTGGCTTATATGGAAATTTATGCTCTAAACACACGTTGATTCTAAATGTGGAGGGAAAAAAAAACGGGAGAACCCGGAGAAAAATCCACGCGACCAAGGGGAGAACATGCAAACTACAAATGTACAGGAGTTGGGGTTGGGATTTAACCCACGACTTCCTGTATACCAGGCGTGGTAGCTAACACCACGGTGCCAATATTCTCTTGCGGACAGGGGATTTTTAATACCCACTCTAAAGCTGATGGTGCATATTGCTATTACCGTTATTACACTTGCAGCAATAACCAGGGCAGCTGTATTTGAACCGTGAATGTTTGGAGAAAGTGGCGAACGCGCTACTGCTCAACCACGTCACCACCCCTTGCACTGACGGTACAAGTGCTTTTTTTTGTTTTTGATCTTCTCCCACACCTCCGATTAGTATGGTTGGCTACGACGAGTACAAAAGACCTACATACATGGTGATGTTATTTCACGTGCACGGCCTGCTGGGAGGACTACGTTCTAAAAAGTTAAAACTTCCCACAACCAAGACTCTCGCCTTGAAAATGTTTATACACCAAGAAAAGCCTCACTTATGAGTCCCAGCACTCATTTGCAGGAGGGTTCTCTGAAAGATGTTTGGCCACTTCTCTCTGATTAATTTTTTTACGTGGGTGGAAACCGGAGTACCCCGAGAAACCCACACATTCCCGTGAGCATGACTCCAAAATCCATACAAATAGATAAGTGAGCAGCTCTTGCCTTCCTATATGCCACCTCATAGCCATGTGGGTGAATTTCTTGCATGATATCTTGATGATCTGCATCAAGATATCATGCAGAGAACCGAAGCGCAGGACCGCACTGTATAGCTGGCGGCAAATTGTGCCATACTCCCGCTAGGAATTTTAGGAGCCTCGGCAACAAAGTTATTTTATTGAAATGGGAAAGGGTTAATCGCAAATGGTGCAAATCAGTTTATAATAATGCTCCTGCAGTTTTCATTTTGAAATACCGGAAGATGTGAGCATCACACCATTGAATGTTAAAATTATGATGATGAACATGTAACCTCCAAATTTAAGTCTTTCGATGAGGGGCACTTGTGTAATAGTGTTATTCTACATGAACTCAGTCTGTAGAGAAATGCAATGGTGTTCATAATTTAATCAGGCGAGAGACATTGAGATTCAATATCTCTATGTATAATGGGGTTATACTTTTACAATCCTCAATTTGGTACATATGCTTTATCTGTATGGCAGGGCCTAGTCTACCCTGAATAACATAAAATCACTGGTGACTTCCTCAAATCAGATCGTGGGAATTCACGTTAATATGAAGGGGCCCAGTGCGCTGAGTACTCTGATGGCAATACGTTGCAGGATTTCACATCGTTACACAGTGCGAGTATATATAGTTTCGTTAGCTCGTGCGCTTGGCATACAATCAGGAATTCCAAATTCTCTTTGGGGGCAAACTCAGCCCATCATGCCTCTGTCAATAAAATAGGCACCACAGCTGTGGAAAGTCAATAGTTGTCTGATGAAGACTGGTCCCCTGCTACTAGAAAGCAGCACCAAATCAGCCTGACACATTCCATTGTATCTTGTAGCCTCTATTAAGCTCTAACTGGACTACGACCCTTTCCTAAAGGACTCCACCACTATAATGTATGTGCAGTCAATAATACAGTTGGCTGAATAGGTGTCTCACCATAGGGTTGGCGGTGACTGTGCCCAGGCACTGAACCAACTCTGCGATCGTGGGTTTCAGTTGTGGGGCTGTCTTGAAATAAGTTCAAGATGTCAATGTGCTTACTCCCAGTGTCTCAAGTTCTGGGTTTAAGCACAGGTGCTGGGAGTCGTGTATTCACGACACTTGAAAAAAAGCGTTACACGTTGAAGACTGAGCTTTTTGTTGCGTAAAAATAATGTTTAATTGTGACAATATATGGCTTGTGTGATGTGACAGTTGTGCATAGTCTATGGTGTCATCACATATAGTTGTCATAAAAATCACAGGCAATTGAGCATTCAGACAAAAGCATATAAACATGCGTGTGCACATATGGGGACATGGGTACACATGCATGTGCTCATATCTACATGCACATGTGTGTACACACAAACACACCAAACTCGTGGGGCAAGTGCTGTTAGCAAGCACCTATTCAGATTGGCACGGCATACTAATGGGGGGGTATTTCCAGAACCCCAGTGATGATGTTTACAACATACCAGCTCCTGGTCGGGCTAAGTCGACCTAGGGGAGGTCCTGGACTGGTTCTGATGTCACTCACCACTGATGTTAGAACTCAGATTAACTGATGAAATTCTGCATCATTACATGCCAACTGTGTGTACACGCACACACACACTTGGACCCCCATTTACCCAGTAGGAACAAGTGCTGTTAGCGAGAACCTATTAAGGGTCGGCACGGTGCACAATGAGTTGGTGTGACCAGCACTACACTGAGTCGCATTTGTCTCTGTAATGCTGATGTTTGCACACAGCACCAGGTATTCAATTTAGGTTGGGTCTAGAGGCCCAGAATCAGTTAAGATAATGACCACTGATGTTAGCCGTGGCTGGTAAACAAACGCAGACCGCCGAGTATTTAGCAAAGTGCACTAACCATGACACCACCACTCTCCACACACGTGCGCGCACGTTCAAGTGCGTCCCTGCATGAATGGCAGGAAGAAGTCGTCTGTCGGCGGTGTGGCAGGCCGAGATGGGGTCACGTCGATGAAGCTCAGCGACAGCATCAGCCGCACGCTCCGTGTGATATTACACTGGGGAACAAGGGGCGAGACAGGGAGCGGAGTTACATGTAGAACTGAGGTGGTACATCTCCCCGTGTTACATGTCCCATCTGTAGCCCCAAAAAAACTATTATTGATGTCCCATATCACTGCGTTACATGTCAGGGATATGGTGAGATAGTGACAACATGACTAACGTTGAATTATCCCACGATATAGTTTCAGTCCTGTCAAAAGGTCTTCACTTTGCTGTTGCCCCACGTACAATCCCTGTCAATGAGATCATCGCTGAAGTGGAATCAGCAGTTAGACATCTCCCCAATAAATTTTGATTTAAAGCTTTCGTGACTGCGGGGATTCATATTGTTGGTTCTTCCAGTAAAGTCACGTAGAAGGGAAATAATAAAAATAGAATTTTTATATATTTTATTGTTCTATATTTTTATTATTTTATTGTTTCCCTTCTACGTGACTTTACCGAAAGAACCAAGAATATTCCTCCCCCATAATCAAGCAGAGATGGCTCGATACGAGGTTGACAAAATTATTGAGTACAGCAAATTGCCAAAAACAAATATTAACTTCAGTGAAGCAAAAGCCTTAAGAGAATTGAGAGCAAATAAAGATATCCAAATTCTTGCTGCTGATAAGGGCCAATCGATTTGTTGTGATGCGCAGTGAAGACTATGATAATAAAATCAAAGATATACTCGATGAGGGTACCGACCTTAAAATTAAACGTGACCCAACCAGCACCTTGGAACGTAAAACAACGGCAATCATTGCCAAGTCATCAATTCCCAAGGAAGAGCAATACCTGATCAAACCAAGGGCATCAAAACCACCAAGACTTTATGGGCTACCAAAAAATTCACAAACTTGATGTCCCATTAAGACAATACGTAATGGAACAAATACAGCCTTACATCGGACATCTCGTAAATATAATGAAATATATTAACCTTAACCCTAATGATATTCTCATAAGTTATGATGTGACCTCTGTTCATGAGGGTTCCGGTCAACGAGTTAATTAAATTACTCGACACTCTGGTAACCAACAAAGGTGTAGCCAAAGATATCCCAAGACGAGCTGAACACTGTCTAAAGAACACCTACTTGTGGCAAGGTGACTTCTTTAAACAAAAGGAAGGAGCAGCAATGGGCTCTTCTTTGTCTCCTGTGATAGCGAATTTGTACATGGCAGATTTTGAAACAAAAGCAATAGCTTCAAGCATACTAAAACCATCTGCTTGGTTTAGATATGTGGATGACACATTGGAGGTCTGACCACACAGCAAAGATACACTGCACGCATTTCTGAATCATCTCAACTCGCAAAACCCATCCATCCAGTTCACCATGGAAGTGGAAGCTGACAGAACTCTACCATTTCTGGATATTCTGCTTGGACGGGGTCGAAATGGTAAAACAACACAGTGTTTACCGAAAGAAGACGCATACTGATGCCTATCTGAATGCAGTCACACCATCACCCCGCACAGAAATCTGCTCTTATCAAGACGCTCATTCATCAAGCTAAGAAAGTGTCAGATGGTGACAGTGTGAGAAGTGAAATTCAACATGTTAAAGAAGCGCTGCAAATTAATGGTTACAATGATGCATAAATCAACAGGGCATTGAATACCAAAACCAAATCAAATAATAGCATTGAAACTGCCCAAGTAATTAAAACGATCAAAATTGCGGGAGTAACTGATAAGCTAGCCAGATATTTGGAAATACAAAACATCCGAGTCTTGTATTCCCGAAGCTATCAATAGAAGGTGTGTACACGTGGTAAATGTTATGTTGGGCAAACAGGACGAATGATCAGCACGAGACTAAAGAACATCAGAGAAATATTAAATAATCCCAAATACAAATGTCAGCAGTAGCAGAACACGCGTGCCAACAAGGACACTCAATTGATTTTGATAATGTTGAAGTGTTGTGCAAAACTAGCTACTACTGGCCAAGACTAATTAGATAATCTATCGAAATTAAAAGAAATAAAAATAACTTTAACCGTTCGGATAGCTACGGCCTTAGTGCTGCGTGGAAGCAAATAATCAAATAATACATTATTTAAATGGATGCCTACAAAGGGCAGTGTACTTGAATAGGAATTGTCGTTGGTAGGGCTATGTTAATAAACAATAGACAGGAAGGACAAGTTCAAAGGGCTCGCATAATGCGCGTGTATAATGTACGTTGCCTCAGTAATCCCCCCCCCCCACATTGTGCAAGAGCGCAGAAGCGTGGTCACCACATCTACGCCTCTATGTAAGGAACGAAACAGTAAGACTTCTCCACAAATCTGGCTGTTGCCTGATGAAGCTTATTGTAATTGCTGGCGAAACGTCGTACTCAGATTGTAAATGTTGCTTTTCTCTCCAACACACCGGCGTGCTCTACTAGTGACGAACTGGCCACGTTCTGTTTACGTGACAACTCTTACCAGTTGGCTGTGTCGGGTGGTGGCGGTTTTTAACGACACATTTATATATTTACGCGATCTAACCCAAAAACCTCTATTATGGAAGACCCAGGCATATTGGGACATTATGTAGAGAGAGAGACATGTACACGAGTACACAGGGTTATGTGCAGATACAGGGACCCATCCTGTACTGCACATACTCAGAGAGTCTGCCTGTATGAGTGTGTGCCCCCGTGTGAGTGAAAATGTTGCCACACCTGCATGGGTAAGCGTGTGCGAGTCAGCTTGCCTGTATGAGTGTGTGCGAGTGCAAGTGAGTGAGCAGGCCTACATGTGTGTGTTTGCCCTTGTGAGTGAGCATGCCTGTATGAGAGTGAGTGATTTGAGTGTGTGTGCGCCCATGTGAGTGGGCACGTTATAAAGTGAACGAGTGAGCGTGTGAGTGAGCGTACTGTGCTTGGTGGTCCTGGAATGATCCGTGCCCCGACCACGCGCCTCTGTGGGTTCTCCAGGGACCCGTGCAGCGACCATAGCACTTGGAGTTTTGCGGACAATATCAGCGTACAATTGCGATTGTCACATTGCAACCTCTCCTGTAGTGACACGCAACAACACATGCTAGTCAGTGCACGTACGTTCCCGTACCCCCGCACGCTACGACACACTCAAACCACGCCATGAATCACGCAGAGTACATGTGCAGGCCTTCTGTCAGTCCACTGCTGGTTAAGGGCCTGGCCACAGTGAACAAGTTGTTTGACCGTACTTCACCATGCAGTCTTTCAGGTTGGTGAAGGCGTGGAGAGAAGAGCATGGTACAGTACAACATTTAGCGGTGCTGCCCACAATTTAGCCCTGCAGAAACCTGTAACAAACTTAATAAATTTTGATTTAAAGCTTTCGTGACTGCAGTGATTCATATTCTTGGTTCTTTCGGTAAAGTCACGAAAGAACCAAGAAACTTAATAAAGTTTTTTTGGGATAGATCGCATAAATATAAATGTGTCGTTAACCCACAACTACCCAACAGCCAATTAGTAAGGTTTGCGACGTAAACAAAATGTGCCAATTAGTACTTCAGCACACCGGTGTGTTGAGAGTAAACCCACAACATTTATAATTTGAGTATGACGTTCCACTGGCGATTACAGCCAGCTTTATCAGGCGATTTTCCAATGGGAAAACGATCGCTTAACGAGTTTTCGCTTACCGAGCAATTTGCTCAACACGCCTCGCTCATTAAGCGAGAAGCGCCTGTAATTTCCTCTTGTTTTACGTCGTTGGTGGTTTTCACACCTCCAGTGGCTACAGGAGTTATGTGAACCGATTGCAGTGCAATGCACGGAATGAATCGCACCTCCGATTAGCACGCCTGGCTACATATGGTGCGAAAGAAGTTCAACACACATGAATCAAACATTCTTACACGTGTAATGCGATGCACGTGTTGTCAACAACAATCCCTGTCAAGCAATGACTCAATGAATTTTCACGTGTCTTGTAGCAATCCTTTAGTTTCCATGTGTTTGCATGACTATATATTGGAGCTGTGTTTTATTGGTTAGTGCAGTGCCAGCATCACAGTGAACAGGGTTCAACTCCCAAATATATACATCATTAGTGGCATAAAAACAACGTCCCGTAGCCTCCCCTAGGTCAACTCGGCCTGCATTGCAGTGTTCCAACATCAGCAATGGAGAGACAAAGGTCACTGGACATGATGCTAGCCCACACAACAGCCAGCCTTAATAGTTGCTCGCGAACAACAATTGCTCCAACAGTCTCCATAGGTAAAAAGGGGGAACATTGTTTAGTGTCTGAGCTTACCAAATTATCCAAAATTTTGGCCAATCCCACGATGGGTACAGAGGGTGCCTCCCTTTTCAGATCCATCGCGTCTCCCCACTCTGTCAGGTTCTCCGGATAACTTTGGTTTCCAGTACCGAGCCATGCGTTCAACACACGGCGCTGTATTTCCATGCAGTTCGTTATATTGTCCAGCCTGCGCACAATGGCACATCAGCAACACACACGACCATATCAGCATTATATACGTAGAAGAGACACCCTACACCAGGGCATGAACCCACACATAAGAGACACTGGTGCAGTATACCTGCATGGGCATTATGAACCCCCAAGTGACAAGGGATTAAAATCAAGATCTTAGTGGTGGTGATGATTCAACGCTTTGGAAGCAACATGAGGGTTTGAACCCAAGTGTTCAGTGGTGATGGCTGTGCCCTGACCAGGCCACTATGAACCTCCTGAAAGAGATATGCTTATGATCAAATCACGGCAACACACCAAACCTCTTCAGATATTGGAAGTGAAGCGGCATTGACTCTGGACAGTGCTTGCAAGAGTGACCACTATACAGTAGTCAGGTTATTAGAGGCTGCGGGATTATGTGGTCAACAGCGGAGGGAAGTGCAGCCCAATACATTGTTGTACTGTGATTTTATTATCCAATAACTAAGCTCAATGTTTACACCGACCCATACTGACGAGTGAGGTGAAGTATAGTCAAATAACTCTTCACATACGCAAAAAGAGCTGTACACATGTACATGAAAGAGAGATACTCAGACCAAGGGGCTGGATCTGACCTCTGCCATTGTTGATTTCCGGTTGCCGAACGAATACATTATAAGGTCGCACTGAATACACACAAAGTGCTTGCCACAAATGAACCACAAAACCTTGCTAATCTCGTCAAAGAAGCATAGACCATCACAGGAACTCCGTTCATCTTCACAGCGGCTTTTGGCTAGCCATCGAACAAAGACGGTCACTACGTTGTGCTTTCAGATGCGTTTCTGTGGCCGTCTGGAATGCTCTTCCGATATTAGGAAGCCATTGGAGCTGTGCACTTTAAAATCGAGATAAACAACTCATTTCTTTAAAACTACTTTTGGTGTTTAGTTTGTTGTCCCTTCCCCCGCACGTCCGATTAGCATGGTTGGCTACGTATGGTGCGAAATGGAGAGTTACACAGTCCCAGGGCTTGAATTTAGGCACACAGAATTAGGTATTCTTGACTTGGTTACTATTAACCCGATGTGTCATTCCCTGGGGGCTGTGGGGTGAGGGACAAACTTGAGGTTGCATCCAGCTAAGGTTTGCACTCCAAAGAGAGCCGGCCGGCGCAGAAGACCACAGTCTGTTTCAGCCGGGAGTTGAACTTGAATTCGCGTAGTGAGGGGGTGGTCAAGGAAGCAGGGAATCGACACGTACACGAGAGGTAATGCACGTGTAGGAAGGAATGTCTTCAATTTATCAATATACTGCTTGTTGAAGGCCTCCCCGTAAGCCATTGCCACCTCTCGCCATCTTGAGAGGTAATAATCCACCTCGCACATGCTGCACACGAGCCAATTTCATCGCTACCAGGATGTGTTTACACAGGATTTATCAGAGTGGATGTTTGAGGATCGTGCCTAAGCAATTAACCTCTGAAACCTCTGGATGTGTGCCGATATTTGCACCGCCAAAGTCACGATCTTTTACAATTTTATGTTACATATATGTGGGCCAAATTATACGAAAGTGTGCTAGGCATGCAATGGTTGCATTGGCTAAAAGGTTGAAAAATTAAGGTACATTTATTTTAGCTAATTTTCTACACTCGCGATCGAAAAGTCACGCGTGAGAATCCACTAGCTTTAGTTTGTAAATGTTGACGCGCCGAAAAATCTGAATTTTTACAAACCTGGAACTCGTCCCTTACGTGTACGTATGCCTTCCCATTTGTATGTATGTACAATCCCTCGCCGCCAATCGCAGACTCGCCAACCGTGGAATTTACGTATACACGGACTTCTTTTTTTTTTGGCATACCAATTGACCAAACACGGCCTGGAAATTTTGAGTTTCCACAGTTAAGCCTGGGTCCGCAACCCGCATTTACTAATTTCGCCTAGGGAGCACTTAAGACGAGCAACGACCATGCACGTCAGATTGCTACAAGCTGCTGTGTGGCTATGCGAACAGTGCAGCAAAATCCATTGTGGTTCTGTACTTTCTATGGTCCCACTGACCACTGTGGCAAATTATGGTCAACTCTCCCCCATGACACGCAAGGAGTGGGGGAAGGCCCCCATCTAACAGTGGCTTCACAGAAGGGGCTATACACGTATGTGTGTGTGTAAGTGAGTGTCGGTGAAGGATATGAAGTGTTGGTGATGCCAAGCAGTGGATGATCCCAAAGGTATCCTGGGTTCCCACTCCGCTTGGTAGGTATATTAGTCTCATTCTGCGCCCAGACACATACACAGGCGCACACACACACACACGCGTGCAGACTCCAATGCATGCACAACTATTTACACACATTTATGCTTTTATACAAGCACCAATGGTTTCAAAGATCATTGTGGACAACACGCACCATTGCATTTAACTGCTCTCTACAAACACACGTGCATATTTTGAGATCACATGAAGTGTCGAATGCTTGCTGGCAAGAAGTCACGAGACATCTAGGTTTTATGGGTCAACTGAGATGACTGGTAGATGCACCCTCTGTACTCCTCACTGTGCCAAGTTGTGTGCTCAGTCAGCACACACCACACACATACACTTCGTAAACAACTAGAGTCTCAACAGGCAACCTTTCCTCAAAATGTTACCCTAAAATTATAATCACCGTGGGAAAGACTGCCACTAACGTATAGGTCTTCAAGCCGCAGTCACACATACAAGTCATGTAACCGTTGGCAGCATCACATGCAGGCACAAAGGGGCCGTCCATAAATGACGTCATGCGATTTTGGACGATTTTGGCCCCCCCCCCCCCAGTCACACGGCGTCACAAAAAGTCAGACCCCCCCCCCCTCAAATATGACGTCACAAAGCTCTGCCCCCCCCCAAAAAAATATATAAAACATGCTTCAAATCGCTTTAAACTATTGTCATTGTAGTGCGTATTTAATGTGGCGCTGCACACTGATGTTGTAGGAGAAAACATTTATTAAAAAGTCTATTTAATTAAGCAGAACGTGTTGTCTATATTTATTTAAAGTTGCGCATTTTGATGTGACGTCACATTTCTCAAACCCGCCCCCCCCCCCCTCGTCACACATCGTCACAAATGTCTGACCCCCCCCCTAGGTGCGTGACGTCATTTATGAACGGCCCCAAAGGACAACAACAGCTGCCATATGCCCCTAAGTGGCGGTGACGTAGCACAATGCTTGTCAGGCTAGGTGCACTTTGAGGCCATGTGAAGTGTCGAAGGCTTGCTAAAAGGTCACGGCGTGCCATGGGTTGACTGAGATTACTGACAAGAAATACAAGAAGATCGGCCGTAGCACTTTAAAAGACTTGAGGGGCAAGCGCTGTTAGTGAGCACCCATTAAGGCCGGCACGGCACATGAGAAGGTGCTGTAGCCAGCACCATTCCCGGCTGCTTTTGTCCCCCCGGTAGTGTTGTTTACACATCCGCACCAGGTGCACGTATGAGGCTGAGTCGACCTACAACAAAGACACGCGCGCACAGTACCTGCACATCATACGTACCGAAACGAAGGAGACGGTGAACGTCTGAAGGAGGTAGGAGTTGGTGAGTGTCAAGTTCTCCTGGTCTATTATTGCCTTCACGTGATCAATGTAGCCTGAGGTAGCATTATACTGCACGATGAACTGAGCCTGATCGCAGCAAAAACACAGTACACAGCACACTTGTACACACTACACCTGTACAAGCTACACCATTCATGCACATCTATACACAGCTAACAATTCATGGCACATCTGAGCACACTACAGGACACACTTGCTCGCCATATCTCACTCGCACACACCACACAGACAATACTCATACACACCGTGGCTGTACATAACACACATGTACAAGCAACACGTGACACCAGAACAACAGCTATGCTGCACCTATAAGAAACGTGTTTGTCCACACAATACATACATGTGCAAAACCAACGTCCAATATACACCCGAATCACAAATACCACATCTGCATACAATACACCACTCCTAAACACACTGCACACCACATTACACCTGCATGCATGCATATTATTACATGTGTCCCTGCATTGTTGCAAGTGCGTAACATTTATTGAATCATCCCTGGGATGAAATAACATTGCACTCTTAATGCATACATTAGCGATTGTGCAAGCACACATTTTGTGCGGAATGTGTGCATTCATGCATGAACGTTGTACGCGAATGTGTGGGTGAACATGTATAGGCATTTATTTGTTACGTCTATGTGCATGTATGTGCATATGTGTATCAGAGCCATTCCCTTTTCACTTTGGGGTGCGACAGGGATGTCCTCTGGCACCTACATTATTTGACATCTTTTTCAACCACGTACTTCGAGGAGCCATGCTGTACTGGAGGATTTTCCATCTGGTACACATGTAGTGGCATAGTGCTGGCTGCTGGCGAAAAATGGGAACTGCGGTGTAGAGCAGTACTGACGTCAGCAGGCTATGATAGACACGAGAGGGGGATATCTAGGGGAAGGGTCACAGAGGGGGGCCCATAGGGAGGCCCATCGGGAAGCCTCGGGAACCCCGTTAGTAGGTTCCAGACAGGGGGCGTGGCCGGGGCGGAGCGAGGTCATGCTGAGAGTGTCAGAGGGGCCCCTGTTAGGGAACTCGGGGCTGTTGCTGGAGTGGGATCCCTGTCGTGCTGTTCAAGATCGTCGCCATCATCGATGTCGTCTTTACTCGATATTGCGCTGCTAGATAGTTGTTGGCTGTCTCGGTTCAGCGCTGTGTTAGACGGTTAGTGTTTTGTATAGGCTAACAACCCACGTAGAGTTGTGTATAGGCGAGCGACTTTAGAGTGTGAATTATACACACCCATGTCGGGTGTGTATAATCCGATGGTGCTCGTTAAATGAAAGTGCCTCCAAGTCTTATCGTCTCCGAGTTATTCACTACACTTCTATATAATGAGAAGCAGATCAATGCTTGGGTGTGGTCGAGGCATGGCTCCCTATTGTCCAACCATGTTATTATGTTGATGATCTCGCGATTACTGCTCACTCTGCAGAGGAGTTGGAGGCACTGCTGGAGCGTGCTACTAAAAGATGGGGCATTAGCCTCCAAAACTAAGCACCTGCCTGGGTATTTTGTATCATTCAACACTCCACCCCCTCAACTCCCCATTGGTGGGGTAGTTGTGGAGAGTGGAGAGGTTTCCATATCTGGGCAGTACGCTTATGACCAGCTTTTGTTTGACAGCAGAGGTCTCACTCTGAATCAGTCGAGCGGCAATATATTTTAATCGGCTGCGTAACACTGTGTATCACTCCACTTGAAGCTTCGGATCTTCTCGGCCACAGACATGCCCTCCCTTCTCTAAGCTTGCGAAACGTGGACCCCCCCTTAAGGAACATCTTTGCCGGTTAGAAAAATTCTGGCTAGCCTGCCAACAATCCAGCCTGGGTTTAACCAGGGGTGGGGGGGGGGGGCTAAACGGGCGCAGCACGGGCTAGAGAAGAGATAGAATAATGTGGTTTGAGAGGATATGGAGCTGATTTGACTTGCCAATAACTGGTACCAGCGGTGTCCAGATCGGCCTCTGTAGAGGAGGCTCGTGAAGGATGCTACTTGGCAGTTGGAGGCAGACGCCCTTCAGCAATAACAGAGGGCAGAGGAGCGACGCTCACAACAATGAGCAGAGCGCCGGGCGGCTAAAACACATCAAGTTGACACAGTAGGGGGCACAGGTGGTACATTGGCCAGTCATCTCAGTCAGTCAACCCATGGCACCTGGGTCTGTCTCGTGACCTGCCAGCGGGCGATCAACACTTCACGTGGCCTTAAAGTGAAAATAGCTTGGCACAAGCGCCATGGTGATGTCACCGCCACTTTGTGGCGAATTGCAGTTTTTGTTATTGGTAGCGTGCATGCATACGTACGTATGTTTTATACCTTTATCAATGCATTTTCACAGTGGCTCGAGTTCCAAATAATATTTTTGGGTGTATCTTGCAGCACGACGCTGACCAAATCACCATCTTGATATGAAGTAATTTCATTCAGAACCTGGGAGCAGAATTAATACAAGAAGCACAAGGCTCATCAAATGCATCAGTGTTCACTTGGCTCAGAACCCACAATTGACATGTGTTGGCTCAAATGTCCAACATGACCATTATGAATCTCATGACACTAATGAAACCTTTCCCATTCCAATGACATATGGGTATGTATGTGTATATCATCAAATTACTTTATTGGCGAATCTTTAGGTCAGAAGACGTATCGAGGCCCCCACAAGGCCATGCGGGAGGGTGTGTGGCAAAGTTTGGCGCCAGCCATCATAGAGTGTGGTCGTGTCGCTACAGTTCTCTGCTGCGAGTACAATGTATTTAAAAACAATGGCGCTATGCCTCTCTAAATAGAATTAACACAAACCACTTGCACGTTCCGAGATTCAGCAGTGAACGGGACCACACCCTGCGACTTGCAGACGTCTCGGAACGGGAAAGGGGTCAAGAGACATCCAGTCCTGGAGATTGAACCACGTATTTCCTAAATTCTGGCGCCGTGACCTGACATAGACATGATTAATTCCCTACGGAAGACAGATAGCTCTGTTCCACTCTACAACTGACCCATGCTGAGCCAGCTCAGCGTAGCTCAGAAGGCTCCCATGTTGTTTTTTTCAAATGCAGAACACAAGCTGGGCACTGACATCACACACATCGATAACAATTGTTAACTCTGCCCCTGGCTCTGCTTGGCCTAAAGTCAGATTCAGATGTCTTGACAGCACCACGCAGATGTCAGAATTAGAATATTGATTTATGCTGGAGGAATCTGATGAGCTATAAAGCTCTTTTTCACAGGTGTCCAGTCGGGGCAGGTCAGAACTCAACAATCTGATGCGGCTCAGATATGCCAATGGAAAAGCAGTAATAGAGAGACACCTAAGCACTTGTGCTGTGTTTGCATGACTACTCGGAATCGGGCCAAGCCAGCCTTGTTTGGTTCCAGTTTTGGGGCGAACACCCTAGAGTGCATGTCCCTGTCCCAACAATGCTTGCATGGTCCACGAGGCCTTGTGGGCTCAGCCCCTACCACTCGACCCTCAAGAAACTCCCTATCCCTACTCTCCATAGCTGTGAGGTGGAGGTGAGGACGTAATCTTTAAGTTTGTTTTTAAACAAAGTTCTAACAAACATTAAGTTCAAGTTTATATGTATATGATTTTATTCAGGTGAAAATTAAAGAGACCAGCAGTCTGATTTGCAGGGTCAACAAACTTCAAGCAAGCTTGGGTCATGCTGTGTATTTTAACAGTTTAATTTTTTTAAGTTTTCTGTTGTAAATTTTTGTAAGTTGAACTACAGGGCATCACGGAGTATGCATCCCGTTTAAGTGGTGACTCTGTGACCAGTAACATAGTTATCAAGTGTGCAGGTGGTGGAAATGCGCCATGGCTCACAGGCGGGAGGGGCCCGGGGACCGGGGTACGAGCAGGGGTTAATTTTTACAGAGGGCCGGCCCAATGACAATCATTCTCTGCCACTGCTTCTCATATCTCTACTGGTTCTGACGTCAAACAAGGTAATATAGTCTTGCCCCAGAGATCACTTGTATCACAGAACTCGAGAATGTACTCCTGTTGCGCCGCCGTGGCGAGATGTTAACTCCCTCGCCTGGTATGCAGGAGATCGTGGGTTCGATTTAGACCCTGACATCTGTATATTTTTAATTTGCATGTTCTCCCCGTGGCCGCGTGCATTTTTCTCCAGGTCCTCCAAGTTTTTTCCCTCCACATTTAGAAATATATGCTGAGAGTATATGGCTGCTATTAATTAACACGTGATAAGCCATTTCGTTGAGCTATCATTTGTGATAGCCAGGTTGCTTCTGAAAAACAGCTATTATAGCTTCGTGGGACTTACCTAGGAAAATATATTTTTTTTAATAAAAAAATTGCGTCAAAAATGTTGTTTCTCCCCCAATACTGAGTTGCTTATCTTAAGGCATTTTCCTATGTGATGGGGTTTTCTCATAATTTGCAGAACATTTGGACTTGAAATATAGTTTGCCATCATGGATTGGCTTGCCAATTTTCAGGCTAAAGCTCAAATTGTCCACATAGAAAACCTCACCAAACGTGTTGCAATAAAAACATTTTGGAGGAAGCAGGAAAGTTTTATTTAACTTGCAGGATAAAATGTCAGCAACGCAATATTGACCTCATACTCGCAAGTATTTCTGGCCAAGTGTTATTCGGACGTACTTCTGGGAAAGGCCTGCCAAACTCACATGGTAACTCAGGCAACTCAGAAAACAATGGAAACACTTATTTTAACAAATCGAGTTGTCCTTCAACTTGAGTTCAAACCAGATCAAATACACTTGAGTCAATGAGAAATGGCTGTCCATGGAAACCAGATAATGGTGTCGGGTCAGCCTGGGTAGGTTACATTGGGAACACGGGCTCATTGGCCCAGGCTGTTGGACAAACCGAGCCAGCACACTTCCCAGGAGTCATAAAAATATGGCACCAGAGAGAGAACCAGCCCCAGTGCTTGAAACCTTTAAACGAAACTAACCTTGAGGAATTTGATGGTGGTGTAGATTTTCACGTCAAGGAAAGAGTTTTCTGTGCATGCCTTTTCGAGGTTACTAATCAAACGCAGGCATGATACTGAACTGTCCATTCGAAACCCTGCACGCAAACCAACAAACAGACGCGAAGACATATAGTGCAATCCGACACTTCTACATTCATTGTCGTGATTATAGGACATTTTTCAAATCAAGAGTCTAATTTTTACTGACCCATTGGTATTATATGCCTTGCTTGTGTTGTCTCATTCATTCAGTTTCAAGGTATTTTAGCATTTCATTTGCATTGTGGATAATGATCACGTTCTACGCAAGATTCAATGTATGCAATGTGGATATGAATATGAATATCAATTTCAATTAATAAATCGTTCTATGGCTAGCTGGAAGAGTTCCCATGAAGAATGGAACACGCACACAGATGCATTATATACAGTGAAGCGTATCCATTACCAGACTGTGGTGCTTTTAATGATGTTGTTTATTCTGGTAGTGTTGCCAATATTGATTGTGATGATGATGGCAGAGATGATCATGTTGATTATTGTGGTGGTGGTGTTGATGACAATGTTGATTCTGATAGTTGATTGTAAAATTGCTCTAAAAGTTGACAGTGGTGTTGATGATAATAGTGACACATTTTTCCGGTAATGTTGCTTATTGTGGTGGTGGTCGTATTAACAATCACATTGAAATTGAGATAGATGTAGTGATATTCGTGATGTTGGCCATGATGTTTAATTGTGATGTTGGTAATAGTGTTGGTAATAATGAAGATGGTGATGATGTTGATGGCAATGTTGATGATTATGTTAATTATATTGACGATATTAGTTCTGATGATGATGTTGATTGTAGTAATGTTGTTAATGTAATGTTATTCATCTCCAATTAGCATGGTTGGCTCCATACGGTGTGAAAGAAGTTCAAGTTGGAAATTCAACATAATAGTACTGGTAATGACGCAGTTGATGGTGATGAGGATGTTAATATACAAGCGGTCCCTGCATTTACGAAACAATGCGTTCCTGCAAACCTCGTCATAAATCAAATCTTCTTTCCCATAGACAGTAGAACCTTCACTTGCCGATGTGTTTTTCCTTTTATCAGCTATATTTAACAATATTTCAATAGGTAGAAATACACATAAACAGTTGAGAATAACAAAAAGCTCCACACCAAGTCACATCGCAAAGCAGACTGACTGTTCATATGCGTTCGGAGTCATGTTGGAAGTTGCGTTGTAAATCAAGTTTCTGCGTCGTAAATCGATCCATGGTGGCATTTTATAAACATCATAAATGTGGATCGTGGTCAGTCGAATAAAACCGTAGACCACCTGTATGTTGAAGACATAATTTGTGGGGATGTCAATTGCCATCGTGTTGTTGATGATAGTGGTGGTAATGATGATGCATATGATTATGATGATTATGGTGATGAAGTCAATGCTGTTGATGGTGTTGGTGTCCTCACCCACAGGGCCACCACCCCCACAGATTCCGGTTGGAGAGACGGGGACAGGGACAGAGAAACGAGTTTGTACATTCAACTCGGACACAACCTCAATAGGGTCACCCACCTGGATGACACAAAAACAACAAAGAAAGTCAGCAACAGAGACACAGAGACCAGCCACCACCCAACACAGCCAATTAACAAGGTTTGTCACGTAAACAAAATATGCCAATTCGTTACTAGTACAGCACACCGGTGTGTTGGAGAGTAAACCCACAACATTTACAATTTGTAGTACAACGTTTTGCCAGTAATTATAACTATCATAATCAGGCAACGGCGATATTTGTGGAGAAATCCTCCTGTTTCGTTCTTAAATAGAGGGATAAATGTGATGTCGTCACTTGTGAACCAATCAGGTGCGGGGGGGGGGGGGGGGGGGGATGAATGCATATACATTACAATGGATATCAATTACTGGTTGGGTTAATAATCTGGTAATCAACATACATTATGCATGCACATTAAGCATGAATATTGTGCTTGTACATCCTGCCGTTTTTTGCGTGCACGGAAATGAAAGCTATCAATAGAAGGTGTGTACCGGATTAATCGCTCTTGTGGCATGCTGTGCTACGAACCCGGCTAACCGGGTTCGATTCCCGCTCATGGTCGACACTAGCGACGATTATCTAAACCGGTCCTGGGTCTCTCCTAGGTCGACTCAGCCTTAAACGAGTACCTGGTGCTGTGTGTAAACATCGCCACTGGGAAGACAAAGGCGGTCAGGCATGGTGTTGGCCACCCACCCCCTCGTGTGCCGTTTTGGGCGTCATACAGTGAGGGGAAAAAACGTATTTGATCCCCTGCTGATTTTGTACGTTTGCCCACTGACAAAGAAATGATCAGTCTATAATTTTAATGGTAGGTTTATTTGAAGTGAGAGACAGAATAACAACAATAAAATCCAGAAAAACGCATGTCAAAAATTTTATCAATTGATTTGCATTTTAATGAGGGAAATAAGTATTTGACCCCCTCTCAATCAGAAAGATTTCTGGCTCCCAGGTGTCTTTTATACAGGTAACGAGCTGAGATTAGGAGCACACTCTTAAACGGAGTGCTCCTAATCTCAGCTTGTTACCTGTATAAAAGACACCTGTCCACATAAGCAATCAATCAATCAGATTTCAAACTTTCCACCATGGCCAAGACCAAAGAGCTCTCCAAGGATGTCAGGGACAAGATTGTAGACCTACACAAGGCTGGAATGGGCTACAAGACCATTTCCAAGCAGCTTGGTGAGAAGGTAACAACAGTTGGTGCGATTATTCGCAAATGGAAGAAACACAAAATAACTATCTCCCTCGGCCTGGGGCTCCATGCAAGATCTCACCTCGTGGAGTTGCAATGATCATGAGAACAGTGAGGAATCAGCCCAGAACTACACAGGAGGATCTTGTCAATGATCTCAAGGCAGCTGGGACCATAGTCACCAAGAAAACAATTGGTAACACACTACGCCGTGAAGGACTGAAATCCTGCAGCGCCCGCGAGGTCCCCCTGCTCAAGAAAGCACATATAATGCCCGTCTGAAGTTTGCCAATGAACATCTGAATGATTCAGAGGACAACTGGGTGAAAGTGCTGTGGTCAGATCTTGGGTGAGAACCTCCTTCCCTCATCCAGGTCATTGAAAATGGGTCGTGGATGGGTCTTCCAGCATGACAATGACCCAAAACACACGGCCAAGGCAACAAAGGAGTGGCTCAAGAAGAAGCACATTGAGGTCCTGGAGTGGCCTAGCCAGTCTCCAGACCTTAATCCCATAGAAAATCTGTGGAGGGAGCTGAAGGTTCGAGTTGACAAACGTCAGCCTTGAAACCTTAATGACTTGGAGAAGATCTGCAAAGAGGAGTGGGACAAAATCCCTCTTGAGATGTGTGCAAACCTGGTGGCCAACTACAAGAAATGTCTGACCTCTGTGATTGCCAACAAGGGTTTTGCCACCAAGTACTAAGGCATGTTTTGCAGAGGGGTCAAATACTTATTTCCCTCACTGTAGATGGTCGCTAACAGAACTTGTACTCTGCTGTCAAGCGGCATTATATTTTAATTAGCTGCATAACACTGTATGGAAGCTACCTGGTCTATTACTCAATACGAAGCTCCGGATCTTCTCAGCCACAGTTATGCCCTCCCTTCTCTATGCTTGTGAAATGTGGAGACCTTTAAATGAACATTTGTGCTTGTTTGAACCATTCAGGCTGGCCTGCCTATGTTCCATTCTGGATTTAACCAGATTTGATTGTGTGAGGAGCTCACAGATCCATGAAAGATTTGGCCACAATCCCATCAGTGAGCCCCAGCAGATGAAGCTGTGTTGGGTGGGTAATGTACCATAGCCTGCATGCCCCGCCACCGCATGCCTGGCTAAACGACCGCATCAGAGGATAGAGAAGAGATGGACTGATGTAAAAAAAAAAGATGTGGAGCTGATTGGACTTGCAGATAACTGGTACTGGTGGTGTCAAGATTGGCCTCTGTGGAAGAGGCTCATATGGAGGACGCTACCGGGCAGATGGAGGCAGTCACCCTCCAATAACATTTGAGGGCAGAGGAGCGATGCTCACAACAATGAGCAAAACGTCTGGTGGCTATAACGCAACAAGGAGGCACAGTGAGGAGCGCAGATGGTGCATCTGGCAGTCGTCTCACTCGGTCAAGTGGTAACACCTGGGTTTGTCCCATGACCTCCTGCCAGAGAACCTTCGACACTTTACTTGGCCTCAAGGTGCACCTAGCTTAGCACAAGCGCTTTGGTGATGTCACCGTCACTTAGTGAAAAATGGCGGTTATTATACCCTATGTGTGTACTGACCCCGAATGTGTATATATTTGTCTACTGACCCTGGGGGGTAGCAGTGGTTAGCACGCTGCGCCATGAACCCGGCGACCCAAGTTAGATTCCTGTTAACAGCCAACATCGGTGACGATTATCTGAACTGGTCCTGGGCCTTCTCTCGGTCGACTGAGCCTCAAATGAATAACTAGTGCAATGTGTTAATATCGCCACGATGGAGACAAAGGCGACTAGGCGTGGTCCTGGCAACCCACCCCTGGTGTGGCGTGCTGGCTTTCATAGGTGCTAACAGCACTTGCCCTAACAGTCTGTTAAGACCAAATGGGGGATCTTTATCTTAATACTCTAGGTGTGTGCACTGACCCTGTATGTGTATACACTCTAGGTGCGAGTGCTCTAGGTGTATTTGTTTTTGTACTTTGCGTTTGCACTGACCCTGTATGTGCATATATGTTGTATATACTGTATTTGCACTGACCCTGTATGGTCTTCTTGCTCTAGCTTCTGTTGTCTTCTCCACCAATGTGAACGCCATTCCCACTCCGCTCTGCAAGACTTCTTTGTCGAATTCCGTGATGTTCCGCATAATCAGGTAGAAGTTTCGACACAAAACTGGAACCAAAAAAACGTGCGTGCACATGCGAGAGTGAAAACCTTGCGAGAGTGAAAACCGTGCTCAATTGATTAAGCCTGAAATACACGGAACATTGAGTTTCCATTGACGTTATGCATGTGTATCATAGCGCAGGCCGCTGCACAGGAAAACCTTGCCCAACGTGGCTTTAACGAACACGTATCTAGGCTCTACACGGTTTACCTAATGAGGTCTGTTTTACGGAACACGGGGGTCATGTTTCGGCTATATGCGGTTTCATGCTGCTAAGATTCTCATCTCCGCATAAAAAAAAAGTGGCGTTAATAATTCTACATCTGTTGGAAGGTGGGAATTAATCGACCATGTATATGCGCAACACAACACGCACAATGGTACAACGCAAATGTTCCCACATTGCCGCATGCGACTGTCCATTTGCTGAGGATGTTAGTCATACGGACGCCTAGATGGCGAATCATTAACATTCAAGTGACAGTGTTAGGGGCAAGCGTCAGGCGTGAGTGCCACGGTGAGGTGAAATAAAAAATAAATAGGAGTCCGCATTACACACAAGAGTTGTAGCGCGACTCAGCACCCTTTTGTACAATAACAAGGATGGAAATCACGTAGAATTATTTAAACAAAGAGGGAGGGGGTGATCATTTCGAACCCAATGCAACCCTATTTTTCCCATCAGGACTATTATTCGTCCAACACAATTTTGTATGTATGAATGTAGAACTTCTTTCGCACCGTACATAACCAACCATGCTAATCGGAGGTGTGGGGGAAGGACAGGAAACAAAGCATAACATGCACGTAAAAAAATACATATCACGTGTACAAGAAAGATGTATTGTTGTAAGAAACTTTAATCAGCTTACCTGAATGAGCAAGCCATATTTAAGCCTTTGAAGAAAATCACGAAATAACTAAGCCATTACAGTGAGTATTCTTTGGGTCTTTCGGAAGAGTCACGTAGACAGGTTCAAAGAAAATAACAAAATAACAAATAATTACGAAGTTTCGATCGCAACACAAGCGCTCGTCATCAGAAAAAAGGTTTGAAATGGGCGTAGCCCAAATGTCAGCAGCCAATGACAATGTAAGTGGTGGGCAGCGACTGTGTCGGTGGTGCGTTTTCCACCAAAGGGCTGCCGGGTAAAAATTTGCATGTTAATGTAAGATCGCCGAGCATCCTCCACGGCGAGCGTACCAAGGTGGCAATGTTAATATTGCGATCGAAACGTCGTAGTTATTTGTTATTTTCTTTGAACCTATCTGTGTGACTTTACCGAAAGACCCAAAGAATATTAATTCCTGCAGTCATGAAAGCGTTAAGTCGAGAATTACAGTGAGGTTAATATTAGTGATGTTAAGAGTTCTGGGGGGTTGTGTATGATGCAAGTTGTTGCTAGCTGCTAGACCACCATGCACTAGCTGCATCTGCATCGGCGCGTACATAGGCGACGCTCGCTGCAGCTGGCAGGGCAAATGGCTCGTGCGATCGTGTGCTCGGAGTGCTCAGTGCTCCCTGTGTTTAAAATGCTGATGTTTATTTATCTTGCAGTAAATACTTTTGATAAATACAGTAATTATGTTTACTCAGGACGCAACTCTGCGTGCATTTTCCTATTTGTTTTGCTTCTCAATAACGTGTTTATCATATTTCGATTTAAAGCTTTCGTGACTGCAAGGATTCATCTTCTTTGGCTCTTTCGGTAAAGTCACGTAGTGCCAGGACCACTACGTGACTTTACCGAAAGAACCAAAGAAGGTGTTTATCATATATATTAAAGACACGTGACCGGCACACTTCACCTTTCCCTGCTCTCCCATTGGTTAAGATTCTCAGGAAAAGGTAGGCATTTCATGCAGCTGCACAAACGTATACACGAAGGGAGGGGGGTTGGGAATTGTGCTTTGATGCATGCAATGTGTGCAAGATAATTAAACGCGGTTTGATATACTGAGATGTGATGCATGCATTACAGCGCAGGGAGATTTGAGGATTATACAAGACAGTTTTGGAAAAAGGGCAAGCGTTTCACTGCATATGCGGCACATCAAAAGAGCAGACACGATACTCTGCTGTGTATTTGGGCCGAACCATCACAGGACCGGAGACATGGCGATGGCTTGGAGAAACCATCCTGTAAATCAGTGCCGATGATGACAACGATGATGGGGTGCTGTTGGCGGAGGACTTGGCGAGTAACTCACAGTCGTTCTGGGTGATGCAGGCCAGGCTGGGACGGCTGTAGTCGAGGCTGTAGGGGGTGTTGTGTTTGAAGAATGTGGAGTTCGGCACACACACACGCGCCCATCTGCACACGGACATGCATAAACTACCATTATCACACACCCGGGCCGGTACGCAATCTGAGTATGTTGTGTGCTTCGCGTATTCTGTTATTATGAGTTCTAATGCCCTGTGGTACTCATATTTTTAGGTACTTTCATTTTGTGTATACTTAAACGCCCTCTTCGTCAATCCACTGCTGGAAGAGGGTCTCCCCACACTGTGCAGTTCATGGGGGTTATTTGGCAATAACTCAGTATGCTGTTCAGTATAAGTTGGCAAATGCGGGGACTCAAACACAGGAGCATAGAACACTACAACAATTGATTTTGTGCACCACACCCTACTCATAACTCATGGACAACTGAAACCCAGTTTGAAACCCAGGTTGAAACCCACGATCTCGGTGATAACAAATTGGTGTTCTAACACCTGAGCCACCCAATCACCTTACCATCCGGTAATGTTCGTCATCTTGTCTTCCATTGTGTCTGCTTATGTCAGGTTTGCCGCTGCTCAACTCCTGACCCGCACCCGTAAACGAGAGCACGTCATTCCAAACCCCCCGATCACCTCACTGGCTCCCAATCCGATCTACCTCTCCCCTCTAATCTCAATCTACTCCTCTGCACGGACTCTCCGCTGAAGCTCCCAGTCAGCTGGAGGTTGCTCGTCCTCCTCTGCTGCCACCATAGTCTGGAAATCCCATCTGCCCAGTCATCCATACTATTTACTCCCTGCCCCTGTTCCAGTCCAGGTTCAAGTCGTTTCGTATTTCTTCTATAACTGCCTCTCTCTGTAAAATAAATAAACATAACCATTATTTCCGAATAGCGTCTTGAGATGCAGTCACCTTTACACGCTACGTAAATCCACATTGTATTTGTACACGAGTCGTTGGATCTCTATGTAATAAGTCTATAGATCTCTACGTAAACCTGTGGCTCTAAATATAATTGCATAGGTCTCCGCCCCTATAAAGTAAACATGCTCACTGTTTCTCTACAGCACCTTCAGATGCAATCACATTTAGACGTTCTGTAAATCCACGTTGTTTTGTATTGTGTGGTGTGCTTTTTGTCGTGCCCATCTCGTGTCGTGCTGTTTGTGTCACCGGTCCTGTGGACTTGATGTGAACACTTTGCGTTCAAAGGCTGTGCAGTCGTTGTCACAGCCGCAGCCGACATCACAGCCATCCTGACTCAAGTCGCAGATGCAGGGAACCATGTCTGCTCATGTACACGCAAACACACACACGTTAGGATTGCTGTGATACATTTTTTGCTTGCAATATGAAATTAATTTTCACGATATGATGATTCCACTGCGTTTGTTTTCACAGCTGTGCTGTATAGCTCTCCGATGTGTTTTTGGGTTGCACCGGGCATACAACCCAAAAACACATGGAACGATACGCTTATTGCGATATCCAATTTCCACAACTTTGTAATTCACAATTTAATTGTATAGTTTTGCACGTTGCTGTATTTACAGATTACTAATACGTTCAACTGCAGCTCACAAAATATAACTGTTGGAGAAAGTGCTGTTATCGATAACCAATTAAGGCTGGCACAAGTGCCTGTGAGAATTGTATGGACGACACTGTGCCTGGCCGACTTTGTCTTCCCAGTGCTGTTGTTTGACGCATCACACCATGTATTAATTTAAACTGAGTTGAACAAGTGGACGCCCGGGACTGGTTCTAATACCATTCGCCACCGATGTTAGCATGGGAATAGAACTCGTGTCTCCGGGTTTTTAGCACAGTGTGCTCACCAGTACGACCCCCCCCCCCCCACCACTTACCATGCACATATATACAGACAGACCTCGCTTAGCATGACCCTGTAGAACGCTGATTCGTTATAGCACTTTGTCCATGGGAAGTTTTTATAAAAAGATTAAGAAATCTACAAAGTTGCTTATGAGTGAGAACACGCAGCAGCTCTGACCGAGAAAATGTACCCACCCACTCTCAGACAACCAGGCCCCAGCCCCAGCGATTCTATTATGACGATTCGTGGTCACGATTACATTTAACAAAAAAAAATAGATTTCTTTAACCAGGCGAGAACTCACGAGACCAGGATAGGATCTCAGGCTACATTTAAAATAAACCTCGTCACATAAATTTAGACTGAGGGCATCAAGAAGATCACGGAGTTCCTGGAGCTCTTTTCTAATAGTGACTCACATGGGGAACGTCAGAGCTCCAACCTCATCTCCCACCGTTGCCTTGTAGTACATTAGAATGTAGTTGTGGGCACAGTACATAATACTTACTGATATTATCATAATCTATTTTTTTTTATTTATGAAATGTTTACCGCCTGTGTGATTTGTGTCATTACCAATACCCAAATGAAGCCCTCATATATTGCTCACAGGAAAAACATTACTCCGTTAGGAACGCATCCCCATATATACAATGGTATCATGACCCCTTTTACCACTAATTTGAATGTGCTCACTTTTCCAGGGGCGCTAAGCGAGGTCTGCCTGTATATCAGGACTCCAGAAATCCCAGGTGATGTGGGGGAAAGTGTCGCACAGCGTGTTATCCGTGGTCCACCAGGATATTACACGAAAAAAATCTGCACTGAAAATCATGGTTTGTAGGATTTTTTACAATGTAACTCGAATAATCTGTGAAGAATAATTCACACGTAACTCATCAATCCATGAGAAAAAATAGCTTTTGGAAGCCCAAAAGGAGCAAATATGCCACAGGGGGTCTGTATTTTTGATTTAAAGCTTTCGTGACTGCAGTAATTCATATTCTTAGCTCTTTCGGTAAAGTCACGTTAAAGGGAAACAATAAAATAATAAAATATACATAAAACAATAAAAATTCTCACGACGTTTCGACCATAACAAACGGTCGTCATCAGGTCTGTAGTCAATGATTTTTGTTACTTAAAATCCTAAAACGTAAAAATCCTGTATGACTCAACATATCATGTAGGCCAGTCTATGCAATGTAAACCAAATATATATTACCATTTGGAAATAAATTGAGACATCATGAGGGGATTTCTTTTTTTACATTGAAGCATGGTAGGGGTCGGCAACCTTTCAAAGAAGAGACGTTTGTTTTTATCTTTGACCAAAATAGTTCTATAGCCGCAACACACGCAGAGCTACTTGTCCACAGCAGATGACAAAACACATTCTGACTTAAATAAACAAAATAGGTGATGGAACAAACTGCGTCTCTTCAGTATTTCCCCCTTTAGTTATTCTTTAACAGCACAGTTTGACTGTACATTTTGTTGTCACCAAGCCATTACATGGTTTAAGATTTAGGCTTAAAAAAACGGCGGCCCGCAAAACAGGGCAGCCAAATAGCCGCATGCGGCTCCGGTGCAGCGGGTGCCGATACCTGATCTAGGAGCAATTATTTCCAGCAAGGGTTAGGCTCAAACATAGTTAAATAAAGAGGCGAACGAGGGCAGGTTGGAATGCTTTTGTAGAGTAGAATTGAATACGACAAATACCAACATTCTAAAAAAAAAATTTTGATCAACAAAAATCAGTGCATATCGCCTTCTGTATGGCATTATTCTGTGATAAGGACAACGAATACAAGTTTCTGTATTTACAGATTGCTGAAACGTTCATAAGGCTGGAATCCTTACAAACATGCAGCCACCGCCCAGCGCAGGCTGATTGTTGCCACACGCATAGCTGCAGAAACCCTTACCTTCTTACAGACCTATTCAGACCTTATTGGTCAGCCCGTGCCCTTACACATCTCAACCTCACTCTTTGGTTCTTTCGGTAAAGTCACGTAGGTATAAAGAGAAAACACGACGTTTCGGGCGCACACACAAGCGTCCATCGTCATCATCGTCAGTGTGTGCGTTGCGCCCGAAACGTCGTGATTTATTTCATTTCTAACTACGTTACTTTTACCGAAAAGAACCAAAGAGTGTGGATTCCTGCGGTCGCGAAAGCTTCAAATCAACATTGATCGCAACCTTACCTCAAAGAACTGTCCCATCGCAAGGGAGAAAAACGCAGACACACAGCCAAAAAAAAAGTTGCCCGTCTTGAAACGGCTGTACGCCGTATGGACCTGACCACTCTTAATTCCCTGGACAAGGACACGGCTAAACCCCCACGGGTTGACAGGCATGCACAAGGTCCCGTTGAATAGATCACGATCGATGATCGCAGTCGGACGGTGCTGTTGAATTGTAGCGGTCGCCATGGCGACGCGCGTCGCCTCTCCGCAAACCACCCCGCTCAGCGCGCCTCGCCTCACCCCTGATGACCGTGGCCTGGCTTCCCGCAACCTCCGTGGTCGTCGGCGTGGCTTGGGTCGTGGGGGTCGAGGGCGTCGTGGTGGACTGCGCGAGACCGCCGCGCCGGCAGAGAGACAACAGAGACAGCAGAGACAGCAGCAGCAGCGGCGCGGAGGCAGCCATGACTGATCGTGCGGTGGCACGTGACCACGGAGCCGGATCTCAACATCCGGGTAACTGTGGGTCTATGTTGTAAGTCGATGTGACCCGAATCTCAACATCCGGGTAACTGGGGGTCTGTGTGTAAGTCTATGTCACCTGCATCTCAACATCCGGGTAACTGGGGGTCTGTGTGTAAGTCGATGTGACCAGAATCTCAACATCCGGGTAACTGGGGGTCTGTGTGTACGTCTATGGCACCTCCATCTCAACATCCGGGTAACTGGGGGTCTGTGTGTAAGTCGATGTGACCCGAATCTCAACATCCGGGTAACTGGGGGTCTGTGTGTAAGTCGATGTGACCAGAATCTCAAAATCCGGGTAACTGGGGGTCTGTGTGTAAGTCTACGGCACCCGAATCTCAACATCCGGGTAACTGGGGGTCTGTGTGTAAGTCTATGTCACCTGCATCTCAACATCCGGGTAACTGGGGCTCTGTGTGTAAGTCTACGGGACCCGGATCTCAACATCCGGGTAACTTGGAGGAGGCTCGGTGTCAGTCGACGGCTTCCCGGATCTCATTGCCGGTTGCGCGGGAACCGGTTCCGCGATGGCCGCCCCGATGGCTCGTGTCGCGTGTGCCCGCTTCGTGTCCCCGCGTCTCGCGTCCCACCGCTTCGTGTCCCAGCTTCTTCTCGCCGCGGGCCGCCTCGCCGCGATACCACGTGCGTGTCACAGTGCGCGTACAGTGCGTGTGCAGCGTATTGTTTTGCACGAGCGCGCAGTCCCGCGTGTGTGCACGTGTCTGTACAGTGCGCGTCAGAGTGGGGGAGCGGTCGTGCAGCTGCGCCGCAAACCCGGCCAACAACCAGCGACGATTATGTGAACCTGCACTGGGGCTCGCCTTGGTCGACTCGGCCTCAAATACGTACCTGGTGCCATGTTTTAAAACATCATGACCGGGCAGAGAGGCGGTCGAGCGTGGTGTTAACCACTCGCTAACAGCACTAGCCCCGACAGTCCATGACAATCTTTTTAGCTGTTGTGCGCGCGCGTGTGTGCGTGTGTGTGCCGTCAGGGTGTGCCTGCTATGCTGTGCGGGCCGGAGCCAGCCGGGATGAGGAGGACAAGGTGAAGCTCTCTGTACTCGGCAGCGCCTTCCACGTGCCAGCACAGGGCAGCAGCCCTCTGGCAAATCCGCTGAGCATCAGCGCTTTACCAGGTCCACACGTGCGCGTTATACACGGTGCATGCAGAATACGCAACACACCCACAGTGGACATATAGCGCACATAAAGTATATCCTGAGCAAACATGCAGTTTACAAATACAGCACATTGTAGTTACTGTACGTAGGGTATATATGCTCATCATACTGTGTATGCTGGGACAGGACGTAATTTGATGCATGATTCGGCAGCCTTGCCGGCATTCCTCCGTGAATGTTAATTTTTGGTGGGGTTGTAAGCCACGAACACCATTCCTCAACTGTTGACGGGAAGCCTAGCCCAGAATAGCCTGGGATTCGAGGCTTTCTACAACTCATCACTATGTTCCCACATCCCCCTCAATTATTTAATTCAGAAGAATCACTCCTAGTTATTGCCGTTATCTTGCCCCGTGTAGATTAATGTCAAGTTCAGGTTCATTTTTGTTAACCAGGTGACTTCTCAAGAGATTAGGATGAACTCATTTGCAAGTGACCTGGGTCTCCAAATTGACAAAAGCAAAAGAAAGTACAGCCATAAAGTCAAAAGAAATCAGAGTACAAATTACGTCCAATGAGAAATATAAAATATTGCACGAACATATATTAATGTTATATCATTAATTCCTGGTAAGGCAAGTCAGCGCGGGCAGATTATTCTTTGACTCATCATAGTACAATTGCAATTCAGTGAAAGAAACTTAAAAAAGATGTAGGGTGATTTGTACTGTACTACTATGTAAACATACGGATATGTCAAATGCAATTGCAAATGAAGTTATCCTAAAAATCGGCAGCTTAGCATACCCGTCTTTAACGTAGTAGATGTGAGCGTGCCATGAGGGTAACCAGATGACTAAAGTCATTCTTTCCCCCCCCCCCCATGGCATCGCTCACATCCGTCTTCTACCACAAGCAAGTGAGTGTGGTTGATGCACCCAACTTCTTCGGGTCTTTTCGGCCACAGTTTTTGCCCTCTCATCTCGACGTTTGCATGAACCCCTTTACACCAGCTCCAGCTTGGAACATTCAGGCTAGCCTGTCAACAATCCATCTTGGTTTTACTTTGCTGGATGGTGTGAATAGCTCACGGATCCAAGATATATCTGGACATGGTCCTATCCGTGAGCTCCTCTGGCTGGAGAGGCTCCATTGAGTGTGGTTTTGTTGCCCTCAAACCCAGCAACTGCATGCGCAAGCAGTTTCAGTTTGGCCAGATAGAGCGGGTTGAATAGGCACGGCACGGTCTACAGCAGAGATAGCCTGATGTAGTACAGGAGAATTTGAGCTGATTGTATTTGCCGTATGACTGGCTCTATCGATATCAAGATAAGCCTCTGTGGGGGAGGCTCGTGAAAGACGCTACTGAGCAGTTGGAGACAACAACAATGGAGGCTGGAGGAGTAACGTTTATAGCAACGATCGGAGTGCCGGATGTCAAAAACGAAGCAAGTTGGCACAGTGGGAATCACAGGTGGTGCATCTGCCAGCCATCTTTGTCAGGTCCGTTAACCCATGACACCTGGGTCTGGTCCCATAACCTTTCAGCAAGCCTTGGACACGTCGGTGGCCTAAAGTGCACCTAGCATGGCACAAGCATTGTGTGACATCTTCACTTAGTGGCACATGAAGACTGTTATCAGCTGTGGTGTGTTTATATGTGTCGTATATATTGTTTGTGTCTACATTTATGCTGTATGCTGTGTATGCGCACGTGATTGTAGATGCTCACGCAGCTCAGTTGGCGCTGACCCCGGATCAGCCAAGCTGCCCTCGTCTTCTCCGCGTCGCCATCATAGGCGCCCCCAATGCTGGCAAATCCACACTTGCCAACCAAATCCTGGGCAGGAAGGTACACATATGTGTGGGTACCTGCTACCTATGTGTGCATCTCCATATATATAAAAGGCAAAGTTGTGATTATGTGTGTCTGTTCAAAATGTTTAGCGTACTTCCCGACATGCAGCAAACTTGAAATTTGCCATGTGGGTACTTTCCAGACTGTACACCATGCAAAAATTATAAAAAATACACTTTTTTTGGGGGGGGGGGGGGGAGCCCACAATGCTTATAATTTTTGCACGGCAAGTGAGCTGTGACGTCAAATCTGTCACGTGACCCATGCATGTGGAAGCGCAACGCATTGTAGTGTAGTGGTTAGCGCGCTGCGCTACGAACCCGGCGACCCGAGTTCGATTCCCGCTCACGGCCAACACCAGTGACGATCATCTGAACCGGTCCTGGGCCCCTCTTCCCTTAGGTCGACTCAGCCTCAAATTAGTTTCTAATGCAGTGTGTAAACACTACCACTAGGAGACAAATTCGGCTGGGCATGGCGCTAGTCACCCACCCACTCTTGTGCCATGACAGCCTTTATAGGTGCTCACTAACAGCACTTGCCCCAAGCGTCTATTAAAGGCTATATGGGGGATATTTGTCTTGGGGAGTGGTAGTGTAGTGGTGCGCGCACTGCACTGCGAACCCGGCGACCCAAGTTTCATTCCCCATTCCCGCTCATGACCAATAACCGTGGCGAATATCACCACTGGGGAGACGAAGGCGACTGGGCATGGTGTTCGCCACTCATCCCCTCGTGGGTCGTGCCGACCTTCATAAGTGATTGCTAACAACACTTTCCCCAACAGCCTGTTAAAGGCTATACAGGGAGGTTTTGTCTTTGGGGAGCGTTTATGATGTGGTTCGTGCACTTCGGTGTAGCCAGGAATGAAATTTGGGTCGCTGGGTTAATTGCGTAGAGCATGAATGACTACCACTGTTTTATTCTTTGAGTGTGTACGCCGACATATTAATGCGTGTGTATTTGCGCGCGTGTGTATTTTGTGTGTGGGCGAATGTGTAGGTGTTTGGCGTGTCCAGAAAAGTTCACACGACTCGCTGTACGTCTGCTGGAGTCCTCACGGAAGATGATGCTCAGATCGTAAGAGCCAATCATTCATGCATGCTCATATACACTCAGAACACTAATTCATATACACAATCTCATATGCGCACACATGCAAATACAAAGATCCCCCGTATAGCCTCAATGGACTGTTGGGGCAAGTGCTGTTAGCGAACACCTATGAAGGCCTGCACGGTACATGAGGGTATGGGTAGCCAGCACCATGCCTGGCCGCATTTGTCTCCCGAGTGACGATGTTTACACACCGCACCAGGTACTCATTTGAGGCTGAGTCGACGGAGGGGAGGTGCAGGACCGGTTTAAGATAATCACCGATTTTGGCCGTGAGCGGGATTTGAACTCAGTTGGCCGGGTTCGTAGTGCAGCATGCTTACCGCTATGCTGTTGCTACGCTCCAAATTGGGACATTACCCACGTACACACACTCATCGTGTCAGCAGACTCGTATAAACAGACTCGTGCATTTATACTCATAAACGCACACTCTTACATGACCTCTCATTCGTGCACACACTGGTATAAACACGAGTATCACGTGTCACGATCACTCACCTGGCATTGCTTGGAACAGATTAAGACTATTCACAGAATGGTGAGACTTGGAACTGCGGATTGCCCCGTATTTTTTTGGGAGAATTGTCAAAGCGTGCAATCGAGTGGAGATACCTTAAATGACCACTAGACTCCCATTCATACGAATTAATACTGGAATCTCCATATACTTTTATGGGATTCTTCTGACAGCTTAGGAATTGGCCATATAATACAGTACATATGTTTGCACACATCATCAATATACACGTACTAAAACATATGCATGCAAACCCTTTCACCCGTGTTCGATTCCCGCTCACGATCAATAACAGAGGCTAATATTTGAAAGGGTCCTGGGCCTCACCTAGGTCGACTCAGCCTTAAAGTAGTACCTGAGTTTTTGGGTAATGTATGATTTTTTTATAGAAAAAACTGGGTTGTAAAATGCAATATTACCTTATCAGAATATTTATCTTGGATAAATCCTATGAGCTATAAAGCTCTTTATTCACAGATGTAAAGTGGGGGTGGGTCAGAAAGCTAAAAGCACAAACAATACAAAAAACCCTCAGAGTCCAAAGTATAGCAAATAAACCTTAAAAGCAAAAACCATTCCAGTCACAAGTAATTTTGATTAAACTATTATGTATTTTATGCTAACTCAGAGCCTTACAGTTTAATAGCAATTTAACCTTGAACTACTGTAGAAATATTTGATAAAATTGTATGAAATCGTACAAAAGATTATTTTTTCATAAACATATTAACCGTAGCTCAGCAATTAAACATTACCAAAGGACCCGCTCAATGGACCCCAACGGTCACATGACCACTCCTTCATCCGCACACGCTTCAGTTTATTTATATAATGCAAATATACATTTTAATTTCTTCTGTTCACTTTCCCAATCCAACAGTAAACATACTTTCAGGGGACAATGAGCTCCTTATTTACAGAGCTCATTGTTGGGATGCTCCAGGGTTGGCTGAACACTTATTAAAATAAATACGTGAGGGGTGTGGGTAAAATGAGGGGGGGGGGGGGGGTACGTGAAGTGGTTAACATGTGGGGGGGGGGGGTAGGACCTACACATGGTTGCTTGTGGTGGGGGGGGGGGTTACTATGTGTGCGTTCTGCTGACACTGGTCTCCGAGGGTCTTAAGACGTGAGGTGAACTATCTTGTGAATATAACCCTTCCCCATTCCCGTGACGTACATTTACGTCATCGGTTTTTCTCCCGATTCTGTTCAATAATACATGACATGAATGTACGTTATCGGAACGAAAACTAAAATAAAATCAATTTATATTGGTACGTCTTCATGTCGTAAAATGTACTCGGGCTCCCGCTTGCGTGTTCTGAGATTCAACGGGACCTACCCTGTAACTTGAAGACTTCTTGGAGCGGGAAAGGGTTAAGCCGTGCAGCAAACTGATCTGAACAGGTCATTACACTGTTTAATAAATATCTTACGTGATAGATCTATTTTAACGCATAAAACGCCCAGTACGCTGCTTATTTGGGGTCCTGCGTACGGACATGTACTCCACTACTCACGAAGGCCGTATATCTCAATGTGTTGCCGTCTTGTGTTCTGTGTATTAAGGTGCTCTTGGACACGCCTGGTCTGACAAGTCCCTCTCGTTCCAAACGGTAAAGCACAGTACACAACACGCACACAATGTATGACAGCACGTGCAATACTGTACGTCCAACACACATTGCAAAGCACAGCGCGTGTGGGGAGCGTTGACACTGGTTAGTGGACTGCGCTACGAACCCAGCAACCTTTGTTTGATTCCTGCTTACGGCCAACACCAGTGAATCTATCTGAACCGGTCTTGGGCCTCCCCTAGGTCGACTCGTATTAACTTGAAGCTCTGGTGCGGTGTGTAAACATCGCCACTTGGGAGACAAAGGCAGTCAGGCGTGGTGCTGGCCACCCACTCCCTCGTGTGCCGTGCCGGCCTTCATATGTGCTTGCTAACAGCACTTGCCTCAACAATCTGGTAAAGGCTACATGGATGGTCTTTGTATGTGTGTATATATGTACAATACGTATGTACACATGCAATAACGTAAATGTCATTTATCATGAAAAGTATCAATGTATTTTTTTTCATGAATGTGTTTGGCCATTTTCTACATTGATGTTTTGCATGCATACAAAACATCAATGCATACGTGTTTGTGTATGTGGGGAGCAGTGGAGCAGTGGTTCGTGCACTGTGCTACGAACCCAGCTACTTTAGTCCGAATCTCGGCTATCGCTAACATTAGTAGCAAGTGACATCATCGAAACGGCTGTGCTTTCTCGGCCTTAAATGGGCAAGTACCTGGTGTAGCATTTGAACATCATCCCTGGGAAAACGAAGGCCCCACCACCCCGTCGTGTGCCATCGAGGCCTTGCTGTTGTGCTAACGAACAACACTTGTCCCAACAGTCTATTAAAGGCTTCACTGAGAATCCTTAACGTTTCGTCCTTATCTTTTTGCAGACATGGCCTGGCTCCATCTTTCACCAAGGATCCTCAAGCATCGCTTGAGCAAGCGGATGTGGGTACGGACCAATGTGTATGCGCCACCGTGCACTCGCCGCGGTGTCCGTGTGCCAGCGCTAGGTTATGTATTTGATTGGAGAAGGGGTCTTCATTGGATAAAATTAACCTGCTACAGATTTAATGAGGGTTCAGTATCAACTGAGACGAATCTTCTTTAATGAATGAGGCAATCGCTCGGTTTCATATGGTTACTGCTGTGGCTGTGAGTTGGCCACATCGCGAATAGAAGAAGTTACCGTGGCTGGTCTTGGTGCTCACTAACAGCATTTGCCTCGGCAGTCTGTATGGCCATACAGCGGGGGCTATACAGGGGGTGTTTGACTTTGTGTGTGTGTGTGTGTATGGGAGGGGAGATTGACATAGTGGTTCGTGGACTATATCGAACCCACAGAGCTGAGTTTAATTTCTGTCCGAGGACAACAAAAATGGTAAATTATATCTAAACATATATTTGGCTTTTGCTACTTGGACTCAGTTTAACACATAGGCTTCCGCAATCAATATAATATAGGTTTTTGAGTTAGGTCGCTGTAAGTATAAATGTGTTGTAACCCTCCGCCACCTGACACAACCGGTAAGGTTTGTCACGTAAACAAAACATGTCAATTAGTAACGACTTCAGCACACCGGTGTGTTGGAGAGTAAATCCACAACATTTGATTTCGTTACAAACACTAGCAATACTTAGACTCAGCCTGAAATTAACCGCTAGCACACCGTGGTGTGTGTAAACATCAGCACTGTGGAGATAAAGGCAGCCAGGTGTGGTATTTGACCACACCACTTGTTCCAACAGTCTTAAGGCTACACGGGGACACGTATTTGTGTTCTCTTAGTGTTGGTGTGCGTGGACGTGTCGGACCCATGGTTGAAAACGCGATGTCAACTCGACGCCCAGACCCTAAACTGCCTCCGCAAAAACCCAGAGCTTCCCAGCCTTCTGGTGCTGAACAAGGTGAGTGTGTGCAAGAAAACGGAGACACGGCACTCGTTTGTGACCAGGCCACACGTAGCTGTGAACACGCCACACTCCATGTCATGCGATTATACCACCAACACGCCGCACGCGTACGTTAACCCTTTCCCATTCCGAGACATCTGCAATTTGAATGGGTGGGGTCCGGTTCACCGCTGAATCTCGGAACGCGCGAGCGGTTCAGCATTAATTTTATTTGGAGAGCCCTAGCGCGACTCTTTTTAAAGACATTGTACTCACCGCAGAGAACTGTAGCGACACGTCCGCACTCTATAATAACTTGCGCCAAACTGCCACACGCCCCTCTGCATGGCCTCTGAAGAAAAACTGATTGTAACGTACACGTACATACACATACGTCATTGGAACCGTAAAATGTTAATATCACCATTCTACCGTTAGTCCTCATTACTGAGCTAATTCGAAGTTGAGATGCCGTGCCTGGCTTGAAAGGTGCTCGCAAAACAGCACTTGCCCCAGTAGTCTGTTAATAGCTATAAGGGCAACTCTTTCTACCACCAACAAACCGAACCACTGTTGATGGCATCGTAGTTGACACGCTGGTGGCATAATCCAAGTTACCTGGGTTTGATACCTGGTCATGGAATATATATTGGTGGAAAGTGGTATCTCCTGGGGATCTCCCAGATTGGCTCAGCCATCGGTGTGAGTGAATACCCGTGCTCGGTAGATGAGGTGGCCAGCTGTGATATCGGCAACACCTCCCCTCCTGCACCTTGCGCGCAATGATTCCCCACCATTAAATGAGTGCTTTGCAACGTATTTCAGAATTTGACGGAAATGGTTGTTATATAACTGTGTGTGTGTGTGTGTTACTAGACAGCGGTCCCCAACCTTTTTGGCACCAGGGACCGGTTTTGTGGAAGACAATTTATTCACGGACCGGGGGAGGGGGGGGGGGTTCATCATTGGGTCTTTCCCCCTTTTCAAAGAAGCTCTCCAGTGACATTTGTTTTTTACTCATTGTGGCTACTAGGGGTTAGAGCTTGTGGGCTTACCAACACCACGTGACTGAGACAAGTGCGCAGTACGGGAAAGAGGCGCGGACGGAAGTACCGGTCCACGGCCCGGGGGTTGGGGACCCCTGATATAAGTGATATAGATTGTGAAATTGGAATGATTTATGGCTGGCTGAAGTTGATTGACCTGCAGTAAAAATAATAAATTCAGTTCCAACAGGCAATTTGCCATAAGCACCTGTTGAATCGCATGAGGAGGCTGGTTGTAATCACTAGCGAAACGTCATACTCAAATTGTAAATGTTGTGGGTTTACTCTCCTGCTGAAGTAGTGGACTACTTGGCACTTTTTGTTACGTGACAAACCTTACTTATTGGCTGTCGGGTGGTGGTGAGGTAAGGACATATTTACGCGATCTAACCCAAAACAAATCCCCTGTGTTATGGATAATATTGGTTGCGAAACGCTACGCGTTCAACTGAAATTCAGTTACAAAGTTATAGAACACACGTCGATATTGCAATAAACATTGTATCATGAAAATTGCTATTGTATGATGAAAAAACTTCGTCTCGACAACGCCGTTGTGTAGGTGGACATCCTCAAGGGTAAGAGCGATCTGCTGGAGATCACGGAGGCGCTGAGCTATGACGTCACCGCTGCCCTCGCCAGGGATAAACGTGTGGCTGCGGAAGAGGCGGGGTCTGAACCGGATGGGGCGGGGCCTCTGCATGAAGGGGCGGAGCCTCCCAAGGAAGTGACGAGGCCTCGGCGCCATGGCAGGGCGCCTCGGTCATTCTTCCACGATGTGTTCATGGTATCGGCGCTCAACGGCGACGAAGTTGAAACACTGAGGGTGAGCACGCGCGTGCATATGTGTGTGAGAACGGGGCCGAATAGGTGCTCGATGTCGCAACGTTTTGCTCCATGTGCTTGAGCGTGGAACGAAACATCGGACATCGTGACGAACAAATGGGAAAACACATCGGAGAACGTTAGCAAGTTTGTGTTATCTGTACCTTTCCTGGGCCTCCCCTAGGCCGACTCGGCCTCAAATGAGTGCCTGGCGCGGTGTGTAAAACTTCGCCACTGGGGAGACAAAGGCAGTCGGGCGTGGTGGCGGCCACCCACCCCCTCGCCTGCCTTGCTGGCCTCCATAGGCGCTCGCTTAACAGCACTTGCCCCAAGAGTCTGTCACGGGCTATATGGGGGACCTTTGTCTTTGTGTGTGCGCATGAATAGGGCTATCTGCTGTCGCGGGCCCGCGCGTCGCCATGGCGGTTCCACAGCTCCGTGCTCACCGATCAGACGCCCATGCAGCTGAGCCTCGATGCCGTGCGAGCGCGGCTGCTCGAGGTGCTCCCACAGGAGGTGCCCTACCTCATCAAGCAGGTTAAGTACACACAACACATACACACAAAGGTCCCCCGCATAGCCTCAACAGACTGTAGGGGGAAGTGTGCTGAAGGCTGGCACGGCATTTGAGGGGGTGAGTGTGCCAGCACCACACGATAGCCTTTGTATCTCTAACGGCGATGCTTTACACATCGCACCAGTTACTCGAGTGTGACTGAGTCGACCTTGGAAGGCCCAGGACCGGTTCAGATAATCGTCACTGGTGTTGGTGGCCGTGAGCGGGAATCGAACTCGGATTGTTGGGTTCATAGCACAGCACGCTAATCGCTGCACGACTCTCCACATATGCATAATCAGAATCTTTATTTATCCTGGAGGAAACCGATGAGCTATTAAGCTCCTTTTCATGAATATCAAGTAATGACAAGTCAGAAGGTTACAACAACAAGCAATACAAAAACACGATAGGAGTGCAAAGGATAGGAAAGGTAAGTAAATCACAAAAAACTAAACTTATTTTTTATTTTACCAGGTAAAGCCCACTGAGCCACACTCATTGTTTTTTTTTTTGGTAAAGTTACGTATGTAGAAATAAATTTAAAATAAATTGCGACGTTTCAAACGCAACACAAGCGCTCATCCTCGGGTGAAAATGGCGTTAACCACACAGAGAGACATCACACACAGATGGACATCACACACAGAGAGAGACATCGCACACAGAGAGACATCGTACACAGAGGGACATCACACACAGAGAAACATCACACAGAGGGACATCGCACACAGAGAGACATCGCACACAGAGAGACATCGCACAAAGAGAGACATCGCACACAGAGGGACATCACACACAGAGAGACATCACACACAGAGGGACATCACACACAGAGGGACATCACACACAGAGGGACATCACACACAGAGGGACATCGCACACAGAGAGACATCGCACACAGAGGGACATCACACACAGAGGGACATCACACAGAGGGACATCACACACAGAGGGACATCGCACACAGAGAGACATCGCACACAGAGGGACATCGCACACAGAGAGACATCGCACACAGAGAGACATCACACACAGAGGGACATCGCACACAGTGGGACATCACACACAGAGGGACATCACACAGAGGGACATCACACAGAGGGACATCACACAGAGGGACATCACACAGAGGGACATCACACACAGAGAGACATCGCACACAGAGGGACATCGCACACAGAGGGACATCGCACACAGAGGGACATCGCACACAGAGACATCACACACAGAGGGACATCGCACACAGAGGGACATCACACACAGAGGGACATCGCACACAGAGGGACATCGCACACAGAGGGACATCACACACAGAGAGACATCACACACAGAGGGACATCGCACACAGCATACAGAGAACGGCAAACTGCACGGAGGCAAATACATCAAGAAGATGGGAGACGCGAACTCGGCAAACCTTAGAAACATAATGTGATGCAATCCCAGTCGGCCAACAACACAGTTAGACACTAAACCTGGTTGACCACGCATTTCAAAAGGCTGCTAAATCTTTTGTTCTCATCCTCTGGGCTGAACACACCAATGTAAACAGAGGACAAGGACTCGTGAACAGACACGAGGTACAAGGTAGCAGAGATACATACAGAGAAGACATGCAGGGGAAGGTGTTTAGGGCAGTACAGAGGGACACAACGAGCAACACCACACCAAGAGGCATTCACACATGGAGAAGCACAACACAGAACGACGCCCGGAGGGGTAACGTACAGGGACTTCTATAGGCCGTAGAGGTGGGGGAAGGGAAGGGTAACCGTGCATGGACATGCACATACCAATGCAGGCAATAAATCGGGGGAAACACATGGGAAATCGACAGCGTAGAAAGCACATGGGAAACAAACTAAAACGGAGACACCAACCACGGTAAACGAAAGCGAAACAAAATTACAACAAGTAGAGATACATACACAGAGAAGACAACACGGGGAAATATGTTTTGGACATAATTGTGAGGACAACCTCCCCGTAGAGGTGGATTAATCTAGGATTGAAGCTTTCGTGACTGCAGGAATTACTATGCTCATTGGTTCTTTTGGTAAGGTCACGTATGTAAAAATAAAATGAAATTAAAATAAATCACGACGTTTCGAACGCATCACAAGCGGTCGTCCTTATTTTTCAGAAGCAACCTTGCCACATACGATAGCTCAACGACGTAGATTATCAGGTGGAAAGTTAAAGCAGCCAAATAATCTGCAAATATATACACACACACACGCACGCAGATATACACAGCACCTTGGAGTGCTTGGATGCGAGCCCTGGTTCTGGGTTTTGTCTCGCACAGGTGATTCACAGTGGCCACATCGGGCCACTGAGAAGCTGACCCCACTAACGCTGTAACGTTTGTTCACACAGAGCGTGTTGCACTGGGAGGAGGGGCCAAGTGGGGAGCTGCATATCATCCAGCAGCTGACCGTCACCAAGAACTCGCACATGGTTGGCACCATCGCCGACATCACGGACATCGCCACATCACTGATATCAACACCATCACCAGCAACACAGACTTCACCAGAAATTACTGGCATCACCGATACCACCAATATCACTGACATCATCAGCATCATTTACATCACCACCTTCACTGATGCTAACACCATCACCAGCATCACAGACGTCGCTGACATTAACACCATCACCAGCATCGTCACGAACAGTGGCACCATCGGCGATGGCACCAGCATCACCGACGTCACCAGCGTAAACATCACCGGCCTCACCGACGGCATCACCACGCCATCGCCAGCATTTATCCCCACGTCGTCACCGACACGACCCACGTTAGTGCACCGTGTGTCGTATGGCGACTGTCTTAAGGCTATCATTGTGTCATCGTTATAGCACGTTCAATATTGTCGTGCTGGGCCATCGAAATATTTAAGTAATGGTTCACTCTTACAATTATCCAGTACAATACACGAACAATCAAATAACGCGAGAAAAAAAGTCTCGCTCACCTATTTGTTGTTCCCACGTGTGCCGCTGAACGGGAGGTGATGGGCAGGGCTTTATGACATCATTGGCATCATCATCGTCAGCCAGATCACAGTGCTGGTGGTGTTTTGGTCACCGCTGTTGTGATGGATTGTTTCTTGGGTCCTGTCGAGTACGTTATCCTATAATTGTTATCGTCGCTGTCGTGAATGCCTTAATGTGTGTTACGTGATTATTGGCCTTGTTGATGCTGTAAAAGATGCCGTGTTGCGCGTGATTGTTGTTGTCGTTGCTGCAGCGGATGCTGCTGGGGCGTGGAGGATCGTGCGTGGCGGCTGTGTCACGCTTGGCTCAGTGGGATCTGAGTTCCGTCTTCTTGCGCGACGTGCGGCTCAACCTCTCCGTCAAGCTCATCTCGTGACTACTACCGCCAGCAGCAGCCTCGTGGCTACTCAAGACTACACCTGCGCCATCCATGTTACTACCGAACAGCTGCATCGTGACGCGTTGTGACCTCCCGTGACTACCGACAGCAGCCTTTCGCGGTCACAGCCCCATGCCTGCATGACTACCAGCTTCGCCCCTGTGACTCATCATGCCTGCTTGTCGCTGGCCAACGCCAGCAGTGACCAACCACCATCGCAATGTGCAAGACACTTTTTCATGAGCATCCTATATTGGGATGTTTGACCAATTATATTTCAAGGAACCCCTTGACCACTGTGGTCATCATCGTCATCATCACCATCATCTCTGTGACCACCAACACCGTACGCTAGTGGTGGCCAATACACCAAGCACTGTGATCGATTTTGGTGGATCTCAACAGGCTGCGTGATCCACCAGAAAGCTGTCACCAAAAATTACCAATAGATTATAGACGCAAAGTACTAGCTTCATTTATTGGTAAAAGTTATCCTTTCATTCAACGGAGAAATTCTTAGTCAGGGATTTTTAATGTGCTCAGCCATAATGAAATTGTCTTATGCTTATGTAAGTGTCTGTTCTGATTTGTCCTGAGATCCTCAAAAAAACTTTTGTGATCCACCTGGGGACGCAGGATAAAACACACCGGCAGCACATGTGGGGGACGCGATGGCACACCATGCAATTTCCGTGAGAGGGGAGTTGCAAAGCGCAGTGTTGTATTGTTGCCGCTGTATAAGATAATGCAGAGCGGCAAGAAGAAGCGAATCCCACTTCACCTCGTCACCCACGTGACCGCCAGTAAATCGGCCCAGCGACTCTCAGCACCGCCCTCGCAGCTACCCGTGACTACCCGCGACTATCAATGACCACTAACACCCTAACCCCGTTAACATCCCTGACTACGGGGGAAGGTTTTCACCCACCCTCTCCCTAAGCCGGTCTGTGAATTGTCACAATTCACGCTTGCGATTCAATTGAAGGATCAAATGTTTGTCGTGTTTTTACCATCTTGTTTGTGCAAGTTCCTCGCTCCCCATGTGTTTCTCGTATAGTTTTGTTCGCTGAAAAAACCTAAATGTAACGGCATGCAATCTGCGTACGCCGTGAATTGTCAGTTCTCTACACAATCATTCGATGCGTAGCGTATTATTGCGGGTGCAACAATTGACTTTATTCGATCAGTCGTCACATCGTTACGTGGCCAATGACTGCCCTTGACAGCTGTGATTAGCAATACCAGTCCGCGTGACTGCCTGTGACAACCAACACCTGTCTTGTCTGTACCAACTCCGCTGTACTAGATTTGAAGCTTTCGTGACTGTCAAGGATCCATATTCGTTGGTTCTATTCGGTAAAGTCACGTAGGTAAAAAAATGAAAACAAAAAATCACGACGTTTCGGCCACAACACAAGTGGCCTTTATCAGGTGAAGGGGCCGGGACTGTTCCAGAGTACAGAGTTTGGTCCCTTCACCTGATGAAGGCCACTTGTGTTGTGGCCGAAACGTCGTGATTTTTTTTAACTACGTGACTTTACCGAATAGAAATCCGCTTTAATTTACTCTGAATACCCGTGACCATCACTGCAGACGTGCGTTTGATTGTTTTAAGTAATATACAATGTTAATTTTTACACTTGAGTAAAATGTATTTCCACAGGGGTGAGGATAGATGATTTATGTTTATCATATGCGAATGATATGCTCCTGTTACATTTAGGTAGTTTTCGTAAATTACTGTGCAATCTATAATGCTAACTTATGATATGCGCGTTAACTAGCCTTACATTTTAACTGCAATGTTACTTTGAACTAACTGTACAAAAACGTGGTCTTACAATAAAAAAATACATCTAAAAGAAGTTAAAAACCAAAAACATGGAAATGTTGTCATTGGGAATATAAAAAAAAATTATTCCCGCAAACTGCATACCGTAGTTTAAACTGCATACGGTAAAGTCATCGCTTCGCGTGCGTTCACACAGCACGTAGTCGCTGTCAAGCAGTTCTTCAATCGGGGAAACACTTTTCGCACAAAGCGGAACGCACACTTTATGTTTCCGAGCGGTCAACGACGAACTACTTTGGACGCGCGGCTGAGCGTTATGATCGAGTACGCGGAATGATACAGCGATGCAGCGGTGTCCATTGTTCATCGTAAAACTTTTTATTGTTACATGATGGGGAAATTGTTTTCGCTTAATGATTTTTTTTTTCCCGCTAAACGAGGCACTTTTCAGAACGCATCTTCCGCGTTAACCGAGGACTTGCTGTACTCGGGTTTAGTGGCATACATCACTGCCCTCCGTTGTCAACCAACATAGCCCCAGAACACCCAATACCAACTTATGTGCATGGTGGTGGCCCATCTCGAGCACTATCTAGGCTTAACCCTTCTTCGCTTTTGAGATCTGACCATATTGGGGTACTTTCTGTGTGATTTGGTCAAAGACGCAAGCCCTTTCGACTGTACTGTAAATAGCCATGCTGCCCACATAACTGCTGCATGATTAAGGCTCGTGACTGCCTATGCTAAATGTCTCAATTCCACGTTCCTGTGGTGGGGCCTTGTCCATCTTACAATACATAAACAGTACAACAGTCCGCGTTGACTAGTGTGCTTCGATCATTGTTAAATGCACGTTCCTGTTACGTGCCGCAGTCTGTCCATTCAACAGAATTGCAACAACCAGTACTGCTTTTCCTGTGCTAAGCATGATTACAGTTCCTAAAAGTCTGAATTTAACACAAACGTAACCACGAACAACTGCCCTGTACCGAACATGCTTTTGACGTTCTTGCACGAGGCCATGATGCTGCGATTCCACCGGCGTCGTGAGACGGGAAGAATCGATTCGGAACACTGTCGGAAATCCAAAACCATCTTTGTAAACGAGCCCATGGAAGAAGATGACTTAACTTCAAAGGGACACGGTTTTTTTTAGCTTTCCCATTTGTTGTTTTTAATTCTGGCAACTGGAACATAGCACAATTAAGTGCGACACCCAAATGTTAAAACGTAATGTGTTTGTGCCTCGGAGCGACCTGCCAGTCACACCTGTGCGTATGTGTATGGTGAACTTCTACCGCACCGTACGTAGCCAACCGTGCTAATCGGAGGTGCGGGAAAGCCGAGCTCGTGTGTGAGAAATGCTATATTGTGGTAAATTGAAGATGAGCTTGACGTGAGGTTTGTTGCCGAGTTGCCCGTGTAATGTTATTGAGATTAATGGTGCGATTGTCGCAAGCTCGAGCAAGACGAAAGAGAGGTCCCCTCCCATTCCCCACGTTAATTGTCAATGCAGGAGGCATGAGATCATGCTTTACAGAGGCGAGACCAGGAGTCGGGTATAACTGGTCTTGACTGATCCCCCCCGAGGCATACCTTTTTTGGTGAATGACAAATGTGAAGTCATTATTGGATCATACACGGCCAAGCGATGCATACACCACGGAAAAAGAAAAGTTTGGACCACACCCGGCGGAGGAGTATTTTTTAATTGTCCAACCTTGAAAATCCACCTCTTTAAATTGGCCTTATCATCCCAGTTAGTTCTGTATGATGCGCATGTATTAGATAATGAAAGCCGGCAAGAAGAGCCGAATCCCACTTCACCTCGTCGCGCACGTGACCGCCAGTAATCAGCCCAGTGGCTTGCAGCACCTTCCTCGCAGCAGGCAAAGATGATCCCGTGACCACCCGTGACTACCCGTGACCATTAACACCAGCCACAATGACATCCGTGACTACGGGGGAATCTTATACAGTGAGGGGAAAAAAAGTATTTGATCCCCTGCTGATTTCGTACGTTTGCCCACTGACAAAGAAACGATCAGTCTATAATTTTAATGGTAGGTTTATTTGAACAGTGAGAGACAATAACAACAACAAAAATCCAGAAAAACGCATGTCAAAAATGTTATAAATGGATTTGCATTTTAATGAGGGAAATAAGTATTTGACCCCCTCTGCAAAACATGACTTAGTACTTGGTGGCAAAACCCTTGTTGGCAATCACAGAGGTCAGACTTTTCTTGTAGTTGGCCACCAGGTTTGCACACATCTTAGGAGGGATTTTGTCCCACTTTTCTTTGCAGATCTTCTCCAAGTCATTAAGGTTTTGAGGCTGACGTTTGGCAACTCGAACCTTCAGCTCCCTCCACATTTTCTATGGGATTAAGGTCTGGAGACTAGCTAGGCCACTCCAGGACCTTAATGTGCTTCTTCTTGAGCCACTCCTTTGTTGCCTTGGCCGTGTGTTTTGGGTCATTGTCATACTGGAATACCCATCCACGACCCATTTTCAATGCCCTGGCTGAGGGAAGGAGGTTCTCACCCAAGATTTGACGGTACATGGCCTCGTCCATCGTCCCTTTGATGCGGTGAAGTTGTCCTGTCCCCTTAGAAGAAAAACACCGCCAAAGCATAATGTTTCCACCTCCATGTTTGACGGTGGGGATGGTGTTCTTGGGGTCATAGGCAGCATTCCTCCTTCAAACACGGCGAGTTGAGTTAATGCCAAAGAGCTCCATTTTGGTCTCATCTGACCACAACACTGTCACCCAGATGTCCTCTGAATCATTCAGATGTTCATTGGCAAACTTCAGACGGGCATGTATATGTGCTTTCTTGAGCAGGGGGACCTTGCGAGCGCTGCAGGATTTCAGTCCTTCACGGCGTAGTGTGTTACCAATTGTTTTCTTGGTGACTATGGTCCCAGCTGCCTTGAGATCATTGTCAAGATCCTCCCGTGTAGTTCTGGGCTGATTCCTCACCGTTCTCATGATCGTTGCAACTCCACGAGGTGAGGTCTTGCATGGAGCCCCAGACCGAGGGAGATTGACAGTTCGTTTGTGTTTCTTCCATTTTCGAATAATCGCACCAACTGTTGTCACCTTCTCACCAAGCTGCTTGGCAATGGTCTTTTAGCCCATTCCAGCTTTGTGTAGGTCTACAATCTTGTCCCTGACATCCTTGGGGAGCTCTTTGGTCTTGGTCATGGTGGAGAGTTTGGAATATGATTGATTGATTGCTTCTGTGGACAGGTGCCTTTTATACAGGTAACAAGCTGAGATTAGGAGCACTCCCTTTAAGACTGTGCTCCTAATCTCAGCTCGTTACCTGTATAAAAGACACCTGGGAGCCAGAAATCTTTCTGATTGCGAGGGCGTCAAATACTTATTTCCCTCATTAAAATGCAAATCAATTTATAACATTTTTGACGTGCGTTTTTCTGGATTTTGTTGTTGTTATTCTGTCTCTCACTGTTCAAATGAACCTACCATTAAAATTATTGACTGATAATTTTTTTGTCAGTGGGCAAACGTACAAAATCAGCAGGGGATCAAATACTTTTTTCCCTCACTGTAGCTACCTAGGAGGAAATCTTCTGATGAGTGCCCTTGGAGAGCCTCGCATTAATTGGAGACCACCTCCGCAACATCTCTTCTCGAAGACGGCAGAATCTTCTGCCCCAAAAAAAATCGAGACTGCGCTTCGAAGAAGGGTTTTCTCAAAGAGAGCACGACCAGGTGATGGCGTCTTGAGCAGCAGCAGCAGCATCAACGTTTGAATAGAGCCGGCTAACTCCTTTACGCTTGAAATGCTTGGGAGCTACCTGCAGCTAACCCTGAGCGCACTGCCTTCGCCTCTCCCTACAGATGCCTGGAGAAGACTCTGAAGTGCGCAAAGCCTCAACCCTCGCCTCGAGATCCCCCCCCCCCCCCTGGAATATTGGAGAGCTCCGCCTCATCGTGGTCTGCAAGCAATTCGGCACTGGAATCCCACGTGCTTCACCGCATCACTGGAATCCCGAGAGTTTAATCTTGTCATTGTTACGTGTTCTTGATAGCACAATTGATGATCTGGCCACTGAGTTCAATGACGTACAGTTTTCTAAACAGCGTTGTGTTTTGGTTTGGCAGAACTATTGCAAGTTTATATTTTGATTGAAAGCTTTCGTGACTGCAGGGATTCATATTCTTGGTTATTTCGGTAAAGTCACCACCACGTAGAAGGGAAGCAATAAAATAATAAAAATATAAAACAATAAAATTCTCACGACGTTTCGACTGCAACACGAGCAATCATCATCAGGTGTGAAAACCACAACAAGAAACTAAAAAATAACCCGCCACTTTTTTCAAATTTTCTTGCTGTGGTTTTTACACCTGATGATGATTGCTTGTGTTGCAGTCTAAACGTCGTGAGAATTGTATTGTTTTATATTTTTATTATTTTATTGTTTCCCTTCTACGTGGTGGTGACTTTACCGAAAGACCCAAGAATATTGCAAGTTTGCTGTCCCCCCCCCCGCACCTCTGATTAGCACGGTTGGCTACGTACATTTACATGTTTCGTGGTCAAAAGACAATATACTAATCTGGTCTCCTTGAGTGCGATTGGTGACCAACTCATTTGTGTGCGCGGGTGGTCTCTTAGTGGTGTTTTTTTTACCATCGGTCGAGACGTCGGTTCTTTTGGGGTTTTTTTTCTAGCGAATGGCAAGCACAGGAATACCCAGATTCACGTCTCCCGCTTGTACGTCGCTTTTGCAAATACGTCGTCACTTTATGAGCACCGCGACCCGGTTCGCGTCGCCTCAACTGCCACACTTAACGGTCCCGGCAACAGCAGCAGCAGCAGCGTCAGCATCAGCATCATCCGTCTTTGATCTTATCCGTCGCCTCAGCCTTCGCCTTCCACCTAACTCCGTACATCGCTTTGATTTTACTTCGCTTCGATGTCCGTCGCACCATTCATAAATGACGTCACGCGATTTTGGAAAATTTTTGACCCCCCCCTTTCGTCACACGGCGTCACAAAAAGTCAGACCCCCCCTCAAATATGACGTCACAAAGCTCTGCCCCCCCCCCAAAAAAAATATATATCAAACATGATTCAAATCGCTTTAAACTATTGTCACTGTAGTGCGTGTTTAATGTGGCGCTGCACTCTGATGTTGTAGGAGTAAAACATTTATTAAAAAGTCTATTTAATTAAGTAGAACGTGTTGTCTATATTTATTGAAAGTTGCGCATTTTCATGTGACGTCACATTTCTCATCCCCCCCCCCCCCCCCCCATCGTCACAAATGTCTGACCACCCCCCCCCCCCTAGGCGCGTGACGTCATTTATGGACGGCCCCTTACCCGTATTCTTGTACAGGGAAATAGTTTTTTTCAGGTCCATATGGCGTGAAGCCGTTTCAATGATTTCAATGTTTTTGTCTATTTTTTTTGTGTTTCTCCCTTGTGAAGGGACTTTGTAGGATGAACGTTGAGATTTATCAGGGGCACGGGGTGACCAATAAGGTCTGAGTTGGTCTGTAATACGCTAGGGCACTGATAAGGGGTTGACAGGTTGCAGGTAGAGTAGCCAAAATCAAGGTCGAGAACCACTGCTTCAGACCGCGCCAGCGAGCTGTTGATAAATGAGAGCGATTCGGAGAATGCGGGTTGGAGTTGGTTGGTGCATTGTCACACACTCCGTCATGGCGGGGGGGGGGGTGTGTAAGTTTGTGAGCCACGGTATGTATAGCTTGGGGGAAATGAGTGCGACGAACACTGTCCAGCCCGCCGGTGCGCCGGTGTCGTGGAACGATGCCGTTGTTTGCGATGTGCTCCGCTCTTTGTTTCTGGTGGCCGCAGTCACTACTCCACTGTGGGCGTGGGGGAGACGTCATTTTTTTACTACGCGCTTTTATTTAACTCACTCTGTCTGTTGTCATTGGTTCTCTCGGTAAAGTCGCGTAGAAGGGAAATAAAAAAATAATACAACTTTTTTTTTTACAACGTAATAAAATTCTCCCGACGTTTCGGGCACCTCACCTGTGGACGGCTGCTTGCGTTATTAAAATGAAACAAAAATGTTTTTTTTTCTAGATTTGAAGCTTTCGTGACTGCAAGGATCCGTACTCTTTGGTTCTATTCGGTAAAGTCACGTAAAAAAAACAACAAAAAAATAAAAATGTTTTTTTTGTTGTAGTTGTTTTCATTTTTGTTTTCTTTTATTTGTACCTACGTGACTTTACCGAAAGAACCACAAAATATAAAAATGAAGATGATGGAAACTTAAAATTGACCAGGAGGGAAGGGGGGTTTGAGCCGAGGACCTGCAGTTGCACTTGTGACCAGTCTATTTCCTTAATAACAACAATGTTGGCGTTGCGGCTATATTCGAAATAAAAAAAATACATTCCTACGCAGAAAAATGTCAGGCAGACTGGTCTGATGGCATTTCTGTATTTCATGAAAACCTTTAAAGACTCTCGTGTGTGTTTTCCCCCCATGCCTGTATCTCTCACTGTGCTGTCGCGATCTGTCATCTCAAGGAAGACAAAGATCACCCGTATAGTCTGAACAGAATGTTGGGGCAAGTGCTGTTAGCGAGCACCTATGAAGGCCGGCACGGCACACGAGGGGGTGGGTGGGTGGCCAGCACCACGTCCGGCGGCTTCTGTCTCCCTAGTGGCGATGTTTACTACACACCGCACCGGGTACTCATTTGAAGCTGAATCGACCTAGGGGAGGCCCATGATCGGTTTAGATAATCGTCACAGGTGTTGGCCTTGAGTGTGAATTTAACTTGGGTCGCTGGGTTCGTAGCGCAGCGCACTCACCGACCATACGCACACCACGTACTGCACTGACCAGCGTGGTGAAGTATGGTCAAGCAATTCCCATGACCGACACGGCACGAGAAGGCCTTCATTTACTGATTCATAGATTGACAACTTCAACTAATAGTTGAACACATGACGAGTGATATATTTCCTTCACGTGTTATATGCAATTAGAAAACAAATGCGTTTTACTTTGTCTCAATACTCTTCTTTCAGGAGGGTTCTGCTACATACAGAGGGATGTTTGGCCAATAATAATAATGATTTAAACTTGTAACGCGTCGTGGGGCCTTGTGAACTCACTCTGGTAGAGAGAGAGATCGACTAAGAGGCGAGAGGAACCACATACAAGCAGGACGGTAGCCTGGCAGTTAAGCCGGCGCGCCAACAACTTGCCCAAGCTCTGCCGTCCTCTATATACTGCGGTGTTATCAGCCAATTAATTAAAATTTTAACATGTGGGAGGAGGAAGCCGGAACTCTCAGAGGAAACCCACGTGTGCGAGGGGCGAGGGGGAAACACTCGATCCCGTACAGACAAAACAGATGGGCCATCTGTATATGAAGGTGTTATTTGCCAATTATTGAGCGTTTACACGTGGGAATGAGCCGGAGCTCCCGTAGTGCGAGGGGGAAACGCTATATCCCGTGTTTAGTCTGTTGTCCTTCTCCCGCACCTCTGATTAGCACGGTTGGCTACGTACGGTGCGATTGAAGTTCAACATACAGCAGGTGGAGTCCACATTTTGATGTACTGCCTTTTTGCAAGCGAGGGTTTATGGCTCCTAGACTTACACTGGAGGAGAGTTTTTGCAACATTCATGCAATCCACCAACCCTCGCTGCCTCTGCAGGATGCAACAAACTTAACATTTTGAAAGTAAGGTTTATTTAAAACATTAATAAATATGCGTCGCTAATGAGAGGTTTGGGTGCTTGTCAGAATATGAGTGTGTATTTATTCCGTAGGAATCCGATGAGCTATAAAGATGTTTTCACAGACGTCCAGTAGCTTGTGGGAAGGAAACACGTTTATTTATTTATTTTTCAATTATTAGGTATAGCCCTGTGAGCCATGCGGCTCTTAAGTCGGGTGCAACCGCAACAAACTAAATATGAATCTACATTGCAGAAAACTATTACACCACAACCAGACCAAAATAAAGCTACAAAAACAATGTAACAACAGTAATCATAGGAAACGGGGGGGGGGGGGGGGGTGGAGGGCGGAGATCGAACTTGGGAGGGAAAAAAAACCCCACCAGGAGAAGGGGGGGGGGTGACACTTAAAGTTCCGGAGCAAAGAGAAATTCAAGAATCCATCACGTCTCTTGGCCACCTGGACCTCAGCCAGCCTCACCCACCGAACCCAACAAGCACCCCGCTGCCAAGTATACGAACCAGGTTGTACCTCTGCTGGCAATTGCCAATTCGGAGGAGGTTGTATTTACATTTACCTCCCCCCGGGGAGATGCTATCTACGAGGGAGATGATATTACGTCGATGCATCGACTCCACCGTCATCCATCACTGACAATGCACCAACCAACTCCAACCCGCATTCTCCGAATCGCTCACATTTATCAACAGCTCGCTGGCGCGGTCTGAAGCAGTGGTTCTCGACCTTGATTTTGGCTACTCTACCTGCAACCTGTCAACCCCTTATCAGTGCCCTAGCGTATTACAGACCAATTCAGACCATATTGGTCACCCCGTGCCCCTGATAAATGTCAAAGTTCATCCTACAAAGTCCCATCACAAGGGAGAAACACAAAAAAAATAGACAAAAACATTGAAATCATTGAAACGGCTTCACGCCATATGGACCTGAAAAAACTATTTCCCTGTACAAGAATACGGGTAAGGGGCCGTCCATAAATGACGTCACGCGCCTAGGGGGGGGGGGGTCAGACATTTGTGACGATGTGTGACGAGGGGGGGAGGGGGGTGGTTGAGAAATGTGACGTCACATCAAAATGCGCAACTTTGAATAAATATAGACAACACGTTCTACTTTATTAAATAGACTTTTTAAAATAAATGTTTTCTCCTACAACATCAGAGTGCAGCGCCACATTAAATACGCACTACAATCACAATAGTTTAAAGCTATTTGAAAGCAAGTTTTATATATTTTTTTGGGGGGGAGGCAGAGCTTTGTCACGTCATATTTGAGGGGGGGTGGGGGTCTGACTTTTTGTGACGCCGTGTGAAATCGCGTGACGTCATTTATGGACGGCCCCTAAACCGTATGGGTTGACAGGTATGAATGATATTCATATTCTTGGTTCTTTCGGTAAAGTCACGTTGAAGGGAAAAAAAGTAATAAAATATTATTTTATTATTTTGTTGTTTCCCTTCAACGTGACTTTACCGAAAGAACCAAGAACATGAATCACTGCAGTCACGGAAGCTTTAAATCAAAAGGTATGAATGATTGAAAAAATAAATGAGCCAGGAGAAATGTCCCCCAACAAATTCCACGCCTTGGTGTGTGTGTGTGCGCGCGTGTGCACACACACACACAACAAGGCGTTCTCTATTGTGCGTGCAAATGACATTGAGACGCCTAAGGGACATTATTTCCGCATATCCATCCTTAAGCAAATTTGCCGCCGAGATAGCAGGAGGGGAACGGGGGTGGAAGGGGGCGTTCGATTTTGGTGGTCACGAAGGAGGAACGAGGAAACTGCGTCGTTCCTCAAAGCGGTGCGACAGAGCCAACTCGCTCGCTGTCTGCAAGGTTCACGCGCGCGTGGTGGTGGTGGTGAACTATTGGGGTTGTTCGATAGGCTAGACGACAGAGTGAGGGAGAGATCGATTTGATCGCAAGGGGTTACAGAGGTGGGAAACAGACGCTCGGAGATAGCGCAGCGATTGAGAAGAATAAATACCATGCGCACGGTTGGCCACGTACGGTGCGAAAGAAGTTCAACGGGCACACTGGCGTAGTACAGAGAGAAACGGGGGGGTAATAATAGAGAGAGATAGAGCGACGCAGATAGGAGGGCACCTTTTGTTGTCGACTCAAACTTAATAAGAACACAGAGAGAAAAAAACACGAAATGATGAACTTAGCAAAGTGCCGACAACACCGAGCATCTTCTTGTTTCCTCTAATCGTTAAAAAAAGAGAGACAGAGAGAGAGAGAGAGACAGAGATCCGCGGGGAGAGACAGGAAACGGGGGTAGTGGGGGGTCTGAACGAAGCGGCAAAGTGAAAGAGGCAATTGTAAAGCAAGAGACAGAAGAACATCAAGGAACAGACACGGGGAGAGCCACAGAGAGAGAGAGAGCGAGAGACAGGGGACAGGATAGATAGAGAGAGACACACGGAAAGCGAGAGAGAAAAACAAAAACAAAAATTTAAAAGATAGAAAAGCGACAGAGAGAGAGAGACAGGATTGGAGAGAGACGTAGGGCACACGGTTCCGAGCAAGCGAGACTTGCAGAGAGACACAGGAGCAGAAGAACCCAGAGAGACAGAGGCCGAGAGAGAGAGAGAGACACGGTCCGGTCGGAAGCAATGGAAGGAACTGTCCCGTGCGATTACTGCCTTGGAGGATCTACAGCTGCCGTGAAAACTTGCCTCACCTGCTTGACGTCGTTTTGCGAGGAGCACCTGAGACCACACAAGGTAGGGGAGGACATGCGAAGTAACTCAACTTGAGGATGAGTCGACCTCGACGAGGATCGGTGTTGGGGCGTGAGCGGGAATCGCTGCACCACCGCTCCCCACTCACGGATAGACGCACACACACAATCACCACCTTTGGTTCGTCGTCATCATCATCGGTAAGTCAAGTATTCAGTATTTCTACTACTATTCATTGTCTAGGAATGTTTTTTTACACATATATAGTGGTTTTTCACGCGACTATTTCAATTGTTTTATTTGTAGTTTATTTGGCATCGATTCAAGTTCTGATTTCAATTGCGATGAAACTAGTCGTAAATGACTGGCGAAACGTCGTACTCATATTGTAAATGTTTGTGGATTTGCTCTCCAACACACCGGTGTGCTGTACTGGTGACGAATTGACACGTTTTTATTTTACGTGACAAAGCTTACTGTGTCGGGTGGTGGCGGGCTTAACGACACATTTACATATTTACACGATCCAACCCCCCAGAAAAACCCTGTGTTGTGGATTCAATTGCGATGCTGTCTATTTCGATTTAAAACTTTCGTGACTGCAAGGATTCATCTTCTTCGGTTATTTCGTTAAAGTCACGTAGAATGAGAATAAAATAATAAAATAAAACAATAAAATTCTTACGACGTTTTGGCCACAACACGAGGCCACTTGTGTTGTGGCCGAAACGTCGTGAGAATTTTATTGTTTTATTTTATTATTTTATTCTCATTCTCCGTGACTTCACCGAAAGTACCAAAGAAGATATTGTCTATTCTTACTCTTTGGTTCTTTTGTTTAATTTTTCGACCTATGTGACTTTACCGAAATAAACCAAACAATTGAAATAGTCGCGTGAAAAAACCCGATATACATGTTTAAAAAAAAAAACATTCCTAGACAATACAACAAAAATATATATCTGTTTCCTTTTATTTTTCGACCTACGTGACTTTACCGAAATAAACCAAAGAGTATGGATTCCTGCAGTCACGAAAGCCTCGAATCAAGATTGTCTATTCTTGTTTGCCGGGCGACCTGACCCCATGATTTATAGACAACTTAAGGAGGCTCTACGGCCACAGTCCGGGCAAATACGCAGTGATCGGGTCTGCGTCAGCAAATTGCAAATGTAATCAAAGGAATACAAATAAATGTTTAAATTAAGTATTGTATTAGGGGCTGTCCGTAAATGACGTCACGCAGCTAGGGGGTGGGGGGGGGTCAGACATTTGTGACGATGTGTGACGAGGGAGGGGGTTTGAGAGATGTGACGTCACATCAAAATTAGCAACTTTAAATATAGACAACACGTTCTACTTAATTAAATAGACTTTTTAATAAATGTTTTTCACTTACAACATCAGTGTGCAGCGGCACATTAAATACGCACTACAGTGACAATAGTTTAAAGCGATTTGAAGCATGGTTTATAATTTTTGGGGGGGCGGGGGGGGGCAGAGCTTTGTGACGTCATATTGGAGGAGGGGGGGTGTCTGACTTTTTGTGACGCCGTGTGACGAATGGGTGGGGGGGGTCAAAAATCGTCCATAATCGCGTGACGTCATTTATGGACGACCCCTTACTTCTAATATGTCCGCCTCATTGCTTAATAAAGCTCTCAGTTTCCATTAAGTCCCAAATAGTCTTCCTCACCAGCCCCGTGTATTTGTTTTGGACCCATGAGAGATCGCACGGCATTTTGGGCCACTGTGTGTGTGTGTCTGTTTCACAAATGCCTGGGCTATTTATCGCGTTTGTAGCTTTTGGGGCACCTTCCAAGAACGTATTAACAACCCCCGCGATATTCAAGGATCCCTTGCATCGTCATCATCATCATCACCACCAGCAGCAGCAGCAGCGCCGTCATACATTCCGTCGATGCACCAAATTCCACCAGCATCCATCACTGACAATGCATCAACCAACTCTCCCCGCATTCTCCAAATCGCTCTCTTTTATCAACAAGCAGTTTTCAGTTTTTTTCAGTTTATATTTATTTTGGTATAGCCCTGTGAGCCATTCGGCTCTTGAATCGGGTGCAACCGCAACAAACAAAAAACAAAAACACGAACAAGAGAATCATCTTAAAGTGACTTTGTGTGACTGTGCAAACAGAAAATCCATGAAAAAAAACAGCAAAATATTCCTGAAAAAGCACCGTACACAAACGCTGTGTGCAAAAAATCCCAGTGGGATGCAAGTCAAACAACAACAACAACCACAAGAAAACTTAGATTAAGGCCGTCAGTCTAACTCCGTACTACAACAAAACTTACACGTCCAAACCAAAAAAACTCTTCGAAATTACCCAAAAATAAAGCCATAATTGCAACGTAACAATGATCACAGGGACTGTGACCGAATTATTTACAATAACTACATAAATCACATGTAACACCAAATCCTAGAGCCATAGCTGCCTGCATGAATTAAAGCACGCCGCCGTAGTCTAAAGCAGTGGTTCTCGACCTTGATTTTGGCTACTCTACCGCAACCTGTCAACCCCGAATCAGTGCCCTACCGTATTACAGACCAACTCAGACCTTATTGGTCACCCCGTGCCCCTGATAAATCTCAACGTTCATCCCACAAAGTCCCTTCACAAGGGAGAAACACAAAAAACTAGACAAAAACATTGAAATAATTGAAAGGGCTTCATACCATATGGACCTGAAAAAAACTATTTCCCTGTACAATAATACGGGTAAGGGGCCGTCCAACAATGACGTCACGCGCCTAGGGGGGGGGGGTGGGGGGGGTCAGACATTTGTGACGATGTGTGACGAGGGGGGGAGGGGGGGGGTGTTTGAGAAATGTGACGTCACATTAAAATACGCAACTTTAAATAAATATAGACAACACGTTCTACTTAATTAAATAGACTTTTTTTAAAATAAATGTTTTCTCCTACAACATCAGAGTGCAGCGCCACATTTAATACGCACTACAATCACAATAGTTTAAAGCGATTTGAAAGCATGTTTTATATATATATATTTGGGGGGGGGGGCAGAGCTTTGTGACGTCATATTTGAGGGGGGGGTCTGACTTTTTGTGACGCCGTGTGTAATCGCGTGACGTCATTTATGGACGGGCCCTAAACCGTATGGGTTGACAGGTATGAATGATATTCATATTCTTGGTTCTTTCGGTAAAGTCACGTTGAAGGAAAACAACAAAATAATATTTTATTAAATAATATTTTATCATATTTTATTATTCATATTCTTGGTTCTTTCGGTAAAGTCACGTTGAAGGGAAACAACAAAATAATATTTTATTAAATAATATTTTATAAAGTCACGTTGAAGGGAAACAACAAAATAATATTTTATTAAATAATATTTTATAATATTTTATTATTTTGTTGTTTCCCTTCAACGTGACTTTACCGAAAGAACCAAGAATATGAATCACTACAGTCACGAAAGCTTTAAATCAAAAGGTATGAATGATTTTTAAAAAAATTAGCCAGGAGAAATGTCCCCCAACAAATTCCACGCCCTGGTGTGTGTGTGCGCGCGTGTGCACACACACACACAACAAGGCATTCTGTATTGTGCGTGCAAATGACATTGAGTCGCCTAAGGGACATTATTTCCGCATATCCATCCTTAAGCAAATTTGCCGCAGCAGGAGGGGAACGGGGGTGGAAGGGGGCGTTCGATTTTGGTGGTCACGAAGGAGGAACGAGGAAACTGCGTCGTTCCTCAAAGGGGTGCGACAGAGCCAACTCGCTCGCTGTCTGCAAGGTTCACGCGCGTGGTGGTGGTGGTGAACTATTGGGGTTGTTCGATAGGCTAGACGACAGAGTGAGGGAGGGATCGATTTGATCGCCAGGCGTTACAGAGGTGGGAAACAGACGCTCGGAGATAGCGCAGCGATTGAGAAGAATAAATATCATGCGCACGGTTGGCCACGTACGGTGCGAAAGAAGTTCAACGGGCACACTGGCGTAGTACAGAGAGACACGGAGGGGGGTAATAATAGAGAGAGAGAGAGCGAGATAGAGCGACGCAGATAGGAGGGCACCCTTTGTTGTCGACTCAAACTTAATAAGAAAACAGAGAGAGAAAAACACGAAATGATGAACTTAGCAAAGTGTCGACTACACCGAGCATCTTCTTGTTTCCTCTGATCGTTAAAAAAAGAGAGACAGAGAGAGACAGAGATCCGCGGGGAGAGACAGGAAACGGGGGTAGTTGGGGGTCTGAACGAAGCGGCAAAGTGAGCCAGAAAGAGGCAATTGTAAAGCAAGAGACAGAAGACCATCAAGGAAGAGACACGGGGAGAGCCACAGAGAGAGAGCGAGAGAGAGGGGACAGGATAGATAGAGAGAGAGACACACGGAAAGCGAGAGAGAAAAATAAAAATTTAAAAGATAGAAAAGCGACAGAGAGAGAGACAGGATTGGAGAGAGACGTAGGGCACACGGTTCCGAGCAAGCGAGACTTGCAGAGAGACACAGGAGCAGAAGAACCCAGAGAGACAGAGAGAGAGAGAGACACGGTCCGGTCGGAAGCAATGGAAGGAACTGTCCCGTGCGATTACTGCCTTGGAGGATCTACAGCTGCCGTGAAAACTTGCCTCACCTGCTTTACGTCGTTTTGCGAGGAGCACCTGAGACCACACAAGGTAGGGGAGGACATGCGAAGTAACTCAACTTGAGGATGAGTCGACCTCGACGAGGATCGATGTTGGGGCGTGAGCGGGAATCGCTGCACCACCGCTCCCCACTCACGGATAGACGCACGCACACACACAATCACCACCTTTGGTTCGTCGTCATCATCATCATCGGTAAGTCAAGTATTTATTCAGTATTACTACTACTATTCATTGTCTAGGAATGTTTTTTTACACATATATAGTGGTTTTTCACGCGACTATTTCAATTGTTTTATTTGTAGTTTATTTGGCATCGATTCAAGTTCTGATTTCAATTGCGATGAAGCTAGTTGTAAATGACTGGCGAAACGTCGTACTCAGATTGTAAATG